TCTATAGGAGTTTGAAATGTCAACGGATCATATCACATCAAATTCAAATACCAAATTTTATTTTGCATATTTGAATGAATATTGCATATGAGTTCATAAACAATAATAATTATAATAATAATACTATTTATTTGTAACCAGCAAGTAGAATATACATACGAATTCATACACCATGGGGTTATTAAACCCCTGTAAGCTAATGTTTGTATTAGGATTTAGAGTTGAATTATTTTAAAAAGAAATTTAAAAAAATTATACAATATATCAATAAAAAAATGCATATAAAATTGGTATTAAATGTGTTTTAAATCAATTGACAAATTCAATTTATGATAAATCAATTATACTAATGAATAAAAATGTTGGCGTTGTTTCTCGGAGAACATATTCAAAAAATTGTTAAAATTGCCACACTTGGATGTTTTTAATTTATAATTTATGGCATTTCGTTGAAAAAAGAATTCAACCACACTGCAACATAATTTTCAATAAATTTGGTTCGATCTCTGTGCGCGCAAAGATTAATAAATACACATTATTGATATCTCGAGTCTCCATTTCGAACAGGATATCGATACTATAATATTAATGAAGTGTTGTGCCCCCATCCGGTTTTATAAGTTATTCAATAGTATACCTTGGTAGCTACATGTAAGTATATATATGAGAAGTTGTTTCGTTTTTCCGCTGGGATAATAATATCGTTAATAAAATAATAGGCACTTTGAACGAGCTTTAAAATTTTCTACCGACATTAATCTCTTAAGTTTTTCTCGAAAAAACAACGTAAAAGATGCATATAGTTACTCGTATGTGTATAAACTGTAACTATACATACATATTACATATACATAAAGTTGAAACGAAAAACATTTATACGAGAAAAACTACAAAACGTCTGTTGTTAACAACAAGTAACCGTGTCACTGCTAGGAAAAGAATTATAGTGATGTCCGCTGTACTTGTAATAAAAATATTTGAAAAAAGAATCTGCTATAGGATATTTGTTTTAGTTTTAAATTTAAATGTCTCCATAAAACATGTTGTTTTTTTAATGTGCACTATGTGGTTTATTTAACGCTTAATAACAAAAACGGAAAGAGCTATTATGGTCCTTGAAAAATCCTAAATTTAATTCATATCAAAATCCGAAATCCGAATTCAAAATAAATTTCAAAATTTCGCATTATCAGTCAATCCAGATTTTTACTATATTTTGGTATCTGAACGCGTTCTTTCACACGTATGCACACCATTTAGACACCCACAATAGATAGTAAATTTTAGAAAATTACAAATCTTAGGAAACACTAACATTTATAATGATGACAATGATAATGACAATAATAATGCACACTCTGTTGTTTTACGCGTATATAATTTTCATTGTGCGTCGTTAACCTAGTCGCCAGCTGAATGATGAATCACTTTGTCTTCGATCCGCTGCCAGTCCCGACCGTCTCTCCCACCCATAATCTCTTTTTGGTTAATTTTACAGAAACGGTTCGAGGGGAAGAATAATGGAGTGAACTAACATCATAAAACCCATGCAGGCGGATAAGTATTGTATACATGTCAAACTCTTTATCCTAACTACCTGATCAAACTCACATAAGAAAAATGTTATATGTAATAATGGTTGTAATTTTATATAGTTTATATAGTTTTTCTAGTTATTCTAGTTAATAATAATTGAAAAACCGGATCGTCCATCATTGGTTATAAATTATAATAAGTCTTTTAGGAAAACCTCGAAAAAAAAAATAAAAATTTAAAAATGTGTACACGAGAGGCTGTGGGATAAAAAAAATCTTATAGGAATCAACATATCAAAATGAACTTTAAGGCGGGAACGGTCGAATACGGGAACAGCAAATCTTTTTGCTAGTACCCGTGTTCTTTTTCGGTCGATTCGTGAGTCTTAAGTATATAAAACACTTTATTATAAAAAATAAAAAAGTAGGTACCCTTAGAATAAATTCACAAATGCTGAAATAGCACACAATTTTTAGAGTAGGTGGATACGTATATATTATATTTGAATGTATTTTATGAAACAGCGACCGTATAAAAACTACGAAAATTCCAGACATTGGCCATCGGTTATAAATTGAATAATTCATCAGCATCACCATCATATGTGTAAGTCATAATTCTGTAAAAGTTTCAGTCACCACTATCACTTGTCCTCTTACGACTACAACACACTCGCGATTCTGACCATATTTCTGTCATCCCGTCACTTCAATATTCTTTTGGCATTTCTCTGAGCCTTCGTTACTGTTCCTTCTGGCATTCCATTTCAATGACAACCGTTGAACACTTTATTGCAATAGGCAGCCTTATTTTTATGCGAAGCTGAAAACCAAACTAAATATAAGTGTACGTGTGTACCGCAGACTAACGCACATGAATTCGATATTTGTACCATTGCAATATCAGTGTAACACAAAATTTGGAGATTGAGTTAGTAACACCATTTCACGGTAAACGCATAGTAAAATTTATGTTACGATGGTGTAAATTTTTCTTTAATTTTTTTTTTAATTTTCAACAAAATATAACTAAAAGTTATTACTTTTGTTTACAATGAATTATTTGATTGATTATTAGAATAAAGTATATTGATTATTCTACTTTTGCTAAACATTTTAATTCTTACGATCACTTGTTATTCCACTTAATCGTGTTTAATTAAAACGATTTTTAGGTTACTTGAAGTTCAAACTTTATTTAAACCCGCTTGTTCCATATGTATAACATTATTATGCGCTATCAAAAATCAAGCCATTTATGTCATTGCGTTGTGATAATTTTACTACTAGTTGTCGATTTGTTATTATTTACATGTACATAGGGCTTAAGGAAAATGTTTGTGAATCATTATAACTAAATTTCGATATATTCCACAACAGTTCTATACAATCATAGGTACTAAATCAAAAATATACAAAACTATATTATTATTCACGATTTATTCACAGATTACACTAGGCGGAATAATTCTTTTTTTTGTTTTATTTCAATAATAAAAATATTTAGGATAAAATATTATTCTTCCTTCGTTAAGTAATCAGTTATTCACGCTTTTGTTTCTTATTTCTTATTTGTATTTGTTGAACTCTGGCTTATGGATGGTTACGGAAGTGATATACTCGGCAACACACGTTATATTTTTTTTTTTTTTTTTGAAGATAACCGACGCTATGGTTTACTACAATGTTTCCCCGGACATGAATAATGTTTTAAACATTTATTCATGGTTGCGACGACGATTACTGCTGCGATATAATATTATAATATATGCAATATCTTTGCACGAGCGAAACGCCCGCGGCGGCGGTGGCGGCCGTTCCGTTGCTATTGTCTTTGGTCTAGCGTGGAGCAAAATACGGTATTGTCTAACGGAGAAATGCCGCGTTTTTCCGGGCTCGCAAGTTTGCGTCACGACGAAAAAATGATAAACGACCCGGGGACGACACGAGATCGTTATATGCGTACCTTTACACACGGGTTAAATTTAAAATATATGTATATTTAAAAAAAAAACGTACGAGGTAATAATAGTAGAGTATATTATAATTTTTGCGGTTCCTGCGGCGGTGCGATGATTTTCGTGCCGATCCATGGACATCATCCGTGGAAGTCCAGCCACGGCCGGACCGAAAGATTTCTATACTGCCACCCTCTTTCCCCTTTTAAAACGTACACACACATGTCCGTGATAAAAAAATCACGTGTTTTTGTTCGTGGCAGAGTCTCAAAAGTCAAAAAATGTATTGTATTACTTTTTTTTTTTTTATCACTATATTATTTTTTATACACCATTTGATATCGTTTTAATAAAACGTTGGTTATTATACAAAATAAACGAACTTCAATCTACTCACGAAGTCTTTGGCCCAAAAGTTCCTAACAAGTAAGCCACTGGTAAGTCGGTTTCGGGAGAAATTCCACATTTAAGTTTAGGTCGGAGTAGAGTGGCGTTACATTATCAACACGTCACGCGCCGTACCGCCACATAAATAATACTCCACATATTATCGTAAAATTCATAGCAAGTGCGTTTACAAAATAATATTTCGGGGGGGGGGTTAAAGTTGTAGACTTTCATACTCTTATAATTAAGAAATTTACATACTTCCAACTGTAGAAATATATATTTTTCATTAAAAATTTCAACATTTTATAACATTCATTTTTAGCTTTTAAGACCTATTAAACAATTCATATTTTTTTGTTGAATACGGCCTAAACTATAACGCAATTCATATTATTGTGATGATAATGTGAATTTTGCGATATCAGTTATAATTTTCTAAAAGCAGGAATACCACAAAAATTAGAAATTACAATAATCACAATATATTATACGTATCCAGTAATCAAATAAAAATAAAACCAACATTGTATTTATCTTCCTCATTGACAGAAACCACTTTTAAAACTCTATCTTACTCTACAGAATCTAATTTCATCATAATTTTCAAGAAATTTCGGGGGGGGGGAATTTGAACTACTAAGCCCGTGCATGTTGCGTGCAAGCGCATATTAAAAGTCTCGTATCTTGAATTTTCCAAAAACCAAATACTCGTAAGTCAAATTTACTTCTATATCGAAAATTGAACATATATTTTGTTTTTTTTTTTTGTCTTTCTAATAATACCAAATTATTGAAAATATTTTTATATTTAAATAGTAAAATGTGAAAATATTTTTTAATCGGTCCCGGTTTTTCCCTAGACGATACATTATAATATATAATACGACTTTATGCTCAAACAAAACGAGTGTGTGCGTCATAAAGTTACCGGAGCATATAATAATACAAGTACCCTACGTGTCTCTAGTATGCGCAGTACACGCATAAACCTCTTTCGATTAGGTTCATTTTTATTCTCCCTCTTCTTTTTTTTTCCTCAGACTGTACAGTATACGCTATTTATCACGTCTGACGCGTCGTCGTTTTTATTCGTTAGTCGTTTATTCCCGACCAAGAGATGGAGAGTCAAACTATATTTGCTTACGCCTTCGTTAAAGGGAAGTTTCTATGTACCTGCACGCGTGCGGGCCAAAACGTCCGTGAAACGACTCGGGAAGTCGACTGCGACAAATCACCTAAACGATTTATTCGTATGCATGTATGCATACATATTATATTATACTATAGGGTGTTTCTTAGCTATGGAGGTTGAAAATAAACTTTCGATTTTTCTGCCCCGTCCCCTTAAAAGCGGTTAATACGTGCATAAAATGTAGATATTATGTGAACATTTCCTATACAATCGAACAAAGTTAGTCAGGTACCGAAATGGACTTGAACTTAGAAAGAAAAGAAAGTTCATTAAAAAAAAAAAAAAAAAAAATGAAAGTCTAAATCGGCGAGGCAGAAGAAAACGGGATGTTGCTTTTACCTCTATAACTAATATGAACACCCTAATAATGTACGAGTATACGAACACGTGAGTGTAAACACTTTACGGTTTAAATACGTTTCGTCTGTATTAATTAATTTGGTATTGGTTTAGATTTTTCCGAACCGCGCGAATATAATTAATTTAATGATTTTACTGGAATTTGCGTCACCTACTCCCCACTTTATCGATTCATAAAAAATATGCCAAGACTCTTGCTGCACGCCCATTTTATCAAGTGAATTGTTTGCCCGGCGGCAGCGGAGATATTTTATTCGAAAAATATTTTCGTAGTTTCCCGACGCTCTAAGTTTGCCCCAAAAATTGAATTGTGAAATTTATTCGAAACACATCGCAAATCAGCGAATTACGCACGTCGTAAACGTATAATATTATTATATTATTTGTCAACACATTTAATATTATAATATATTATTGTAGTGATAACTCAAAAACAGGTTGACTCAAAAATAACTATTGGCTGATCGTTATGTGCGAGAAATAAATAAAATTATGTACACCGTTGATTTTTGTCGGTCTATACATCCCAACCGTCTTGTTATATCTAACGAATGTACGCGTTTGTATACTTAACAAACGTATTGTTTGATATTGACGACGGTCAGAAATTAACTAGATAGGTGCCTACTTCAAAATGAGCGTCATGCTATTCGATGATAACTTTTGACGTTTAGTATCGCAATACAAGATACTAAATACTCACGTTTTATATATTTAAATACTGTACAGTTTAAAATTTATTAAAATATATCCGTTCAACGAATTTTAACCACTTTTTTACGGTATGTTTCAGTGGCCGGACCACCGGAACCCGAAGGAGGCGCTGGTACTAGCCAAGACAATATGGCATTGATGGAACGTAACGAAGGCACTCACGATGATCATATTAGTGAGTATTATTGGATTAAATGAACACTGTATTAAGTATTAAGTCGAAAAAACCAATATGATATGAAAACCGATCAAAGGTTTTTGTTCAATAAAAAGACAGCTCGGCATTTTAGCGAAATATATGTTTTAATTGTTATTGATCAAGAAACTTATTATCATATTTTGTGTGCAACAACGAGCAAATCCGATTGGAAATCTGTATGAAAGTTACAACGTAATCTTAAATGAAATTCTAGATAATTCTGATAAAAAAAGGCAACCGCACCTGTTTTATCAAAATCGAATGTAGCTACATTTATTTTTTGTTTCCCGTAACAGTTTAAAATATTGTTAATAGGTATTTTTATCAAAAAACAAATGATAATAATTCAATAATAAATATAATTACAGATAAACATTGTTTATGGGTGAATTCAATGATTTATTTGAGGTACCTACGCAGTTTACATTTTTTTTTTTAATGTCAAATTTTATTAAACTACAGTTTGTGTTGTGAAGGTTAATTTTGTTTTTTCGGAAACAAGACTTGTTAAATTCGTTTGGTGTACTAACAATATTCCGAAAAAAACTTTATAATATTAATAGACGATAATTATTGATACTTTGCGTATTACTGAACGACGATAATAGTTTTCCAATTTACACTTACCAATGTTTAAATTCAAAATAAGATTGACACTCATATTAAAAAGGAAAAAATAACATAATTTTTTTTTAGTCTTTTAAATATGGATAGCAATACACGAGAATGTATTAAAATATTAATACCGAGTGAAAAAAAAAACGAATGCTACCTAGCTATGACACAATCCAATCACTAAAAACGGTAAGGAAAACTGTCACTGCGGTAATTGACATTTTTTTATTGGTGTATGACAATTAGACAATACTTTATATATTATTCAATGAATTATAAATGATTTGTTTCTTACAAAAAAAAAAAAAAGGAAAACTCGTAAAAATAATCACCGTATTTAAAGTATACAATGAAGTCGAGTCTCAGTTTTTTAACCGATACGTTTTCAACTATCGGACGTTCGAATCTATTGAAATATCTACTATAAACAAAAGTGAAGGTAGGTATAGGTATGCGTAAAATTCAATAAAGACCGGGGCTGGCCTCACAATATGAATTAATTTTGATCCTTTTTTTATTCTCGTACAAATCGAATTATTTTGAATAAATAATTAAATTTTTAATTAAAATAAATAAAATCGCTTAACGAGAAATACGGTTTTTTGTTTAGCTTTCATTAGGGCTTTCATTTGAAAAAGACGGGCATACATTGCACGTGGAAGGACCACTGTAGTAGGTTTTGAGAAGGTAGAGGGGAAATTAAATGTATATCTATACGGAACTATTAACTATTGCTAACGAAAACTCGATTCTGAGCAGAGTTCGGTTAATAATGTTGCTTTTTCAACAATATATATGTCATATTATGGTAAAATAATTACATATGCATTATATTATATTCTCTTTAATAATATTTGTTTAATATTGTACCTACTTTCCCGTTTTTCCTATTTGGTTTTTCACATATATTGGTAAAACTCCTGGGAAATCAAAAAATGATCTTCCTAAAGTACCACTCCAGTCAGATTAACTTTCAGAAATGTACTATCGTTGTAAATCGGAACAAAATTGCAGGCAAAAAAGTTGTCTATGGAAAAAAAAAAGAATTAAACATTATTGTAAAACCAATACATTCCTAGCTCCACTTAGAATCTAAAAAAAAATTTGACGAAAACGTATTTGAAGAATATAATATTAATACTCGGGTAAATGTTTGAATATGGGGTTTATATTTATGGTTTCATAAATATAATTTCGAGTAGATAATGTGTATAGGTAAGTACGGTGTACATCGTTCCACCGTTTTGAAATATTATTATAATAATAGTTAAAAACGTTTATGACTACTAGTGTGCACTATTTACCTACTATATATCACTTGCCATCATTAGTACGGTAGACAATGCAAATAATTCGATACTATGATGGAATGAGTACGAAAAAAACAACACCTTCGATTTGATAGGGTTACGGTAAAGACATATAATATATGATAAGTATTTTATTATAAACCCGTACAACAATATGATACCAGTCTGTTATCAGTAATCTGAAAAAACGGCTTTAAAGGGACGAAATTCGTTGATTTCATTCACTTTGCAGGAATATATCGGAGACGAATCTATGTTGGGTAGTATTAACATTTCGTTCATTTTTTGTGGGAAGAAATATGTACGTTTTCATTAATTTTGCGTCGTCATACTAATCAAACCCAAATTATTGTATTATTAATAAGTATATACATTTGCAACAGTGTTTCCTATAAAGGACACTTGCAGGTAAAGTGTTTATGGAATCGATAATACATTAAAATTGAATTCATAATATGTATATATGCAATTGAATTATTTTTATTTAAGGAACGAAAAATGTCTCTTTATTAAAAACGATAAAATAAACTAGTTCTTTCTTCAGTCCTAGAACGAATCTCGATTTAGTTCCATTTTAATAAGACAAAAGTGAAGTCAACTAATTCATTTCTAAAAAGAACTTTCTAAACACATAATTTTACCAAATTAACGATATAATACTATGTCACATATTATAATATTATTATGGCCCACTACGTATTTTAATGCCAAGTATGCTGCTCATAGAGCGTGAAGTACCACTGACCCCCAATAGTGTACACAGAGTGTAAACACATAGAAAACGCTAATATACAATGCATTATTTTAATAATGTTCTATACATTTTTGACGATAACTATTACTATAAATATGGAAATGCTCTTTAGTGTTGCTCAAACGCTATGCGAAATATATAATGTAACTTTTAACGGTTATTTCGTGAACCTCGATCGGTCGGTGCACCGCGGGTAGGACTAGACAGGGCAACTATGCCGAGGTCGGCGATACGGTCACGGTACGACGGCATTTCCCTGGTGGAAAAGTGCCCACGGTCGGTGTCACCTCGTGAAATTAATATCCAAACGCGAGCAAAGAGAGCTTAGTTTTTATATACGATATTGACGTACTGTATACTATATACCTACGTACAATAATGATAAACCCATTTGGTTTTCCTGAGCACTAGCGAAATGAGTAGAACTGTTACTCGCCGATTAATTAGAGACTTTTATAAATAGGTATAAAGCGCAGTTCTTTATTATTTCGAATTTAACCGAAAATGAATCTGAATGGATAGCGTAGTCTATGATGGTCGGAATTTCACGGGCGGTCAGTATTTAAACGGGTGTGCGTCCGCGATACTAGTGATTTCCGTGCGGATTTACCGAAAATACTTCCCAGGATAACGCGCAGGGTAGACGGTCGGGGCTATCGACGTTCGTTTGTATTATTATAGAATTATAATTTACACACAACTTGTAACTCGTCTTTCAATCATTTGAATGGTTTGCTGCATTGCACCGCGTTTCCATTGCTTAACTCAATTTCTTCAACGCCTTGTTAAGTTTTAACTACTTACCTATCTTTATTCGTGTCTATCATGATTTAGATTTATTTCGTGTACACCGTTCTTGATCTTCCTCTTTCGATATGACCTTTTACGTCACCCTCTATGACGCATTTCATCGAGCTATCACGATGCAATTGATGTTCTATCATTTTTCTTTTTTTCTGACTTATATATTATGCCAAAGTTATCGTTTTTCTTTTATTTCGTTCAATACTTTTTCGTTTGTTATTTCTTTCTATCCATTTAATCTTGCATTTGTTGATAACACTGCATTTCAAAAGCATCAAGTTTTCTTCTATCTATATAACATATATTCGTTCGCATGACAATTTAGATAGATATGATCTCAGGTTTTTCATACGCACATCCCTTTCGGTATTATTTCTCCACATCGCCGATTATCGTAGTTTCCCATCGATTTTTATTAGCTAACATAAACATTGCCGATGGTAGTGGAGAATTACCGCTTAAGCCAGGTGTGAAAAAGAGGCACATACTGAACGAAAATAAGATACACTGTATTTTTAACTATCTATTTTTTATAATCCCTTATAGGAAGAGGGTTTAGAGGGGAACATTATTCCTTCTCCCCAAACTTGTAAATTCAGTCTGCAGAATAGGCAATTCAACGAAAGCTAATACAATAGCAACGATAATTTGAAATTCGACAAAACTATTAATTCTTTTATTTCATTTTTTTTTTTATTTTTTATTAAGGTGAATATCGTTAATCTTTGTATTATTGTAAAATTTGGTATATTTATTATCATTTAACAAATTTTTTTGACAACTTTTAATCACGCCCTTCGGTTCAAGTCGTACCAAATAAAAACAAAATATGTATCGCAAATAAATTATGGCTTTAACCTCCCCCTTCCCCTTCAAGTTTTGTTAGTTTTTAAAATCGTATAATATGAATTATAAATTTATTTATAAAGTAATTTGGTTGATTTTTATATACATAATATATCATAGGGTTGCTCGGATTTCATAATTGCTCGTATAAATATACGAGTTTAAAAAGTTGTATAAAATAATAAAATGTGAAAAAAAAACTATAATGAGGTCAAAAATATCATTCGAACCCTAAATATCGTACTTACAAAAATATCCGTTATCGCTCCTAAATATCATAATGTGGGGCCTTAAAAATTTAAAAATTAATTAGCGACTAAATATACCTACTACTATCTATAACATATCCGAGTGTTCCTGGATTATTTCGTAAAAATAAAAACATCACAACATTATATAGATTATTGTCTGTGAGTTCACACCACGTAACAAAGACCTCCCGAAAAATATCGCATATTCAAATAGTTTTCGAAAAAAGAAAATGAAAATTGGCGAGGGGAAAGTATAGTACAATATTATTTAACGAATTTTTCGGATCGAAACTTGCTGAAACGAATATTTACAATATTATTCTGCTCTGTGAAGAGCATAAAATCAACAGAAAACCCTATGTCATTTAAATGTCATAAAAATACCCCGACTATTATAACGTTTTTTTTTATATATATATATAAAGGAGTATTGTTTATGTTCCTGATGTATTGCTGTTTTTATTCATATTGAAAATTCGGGATGTACAAATGCAATAATATATTATTATAAATTCAAACGGTCAGTGTTTCACTGTTTACCCGTATGGTTTTTTTTTGTTTTTGTTTTTTTTAAATATTGCGTAGAGATTTTTTTTTTATTGCAATAGTAATATTATTGTTCGTTTCTATTATTTGATTGTCGAACCACGAAAAAAAAATACCATGCCACATAGAATATTATAGTGTAATCATCACAGATAGTATACAACAGCATATAAAATTATGGTGTCCACCGCCATTCGTCATTTGGGCAATGATAACAAATCCTTATAATTTGTATACTGACCTAATCACAGATAAATATAACAACCATGCACGAGTACTAAGATAAGATAATATAGATAGGGCGGGGTTTTTTTGTTAAACCTCCCCTCCCCTATTTTTTTTGTTTAGCTATAAGTCAGGCTAAGAAGGTTATAGAACCCTAAACTTCCATAGAACATCCAAAACCCATCCTTACTGAATAATCCTAGCTACGCTACTGTTAGCACCAAACGTACTATTACAATATTTTGGATATTTAAAAAAAAAATATTAATTTATATATAAAATACTTGTATGTTAAATATGTAATACTTTTAGTGACAGTCAGTACCTTTTACTTACTTTTTTTTCGCATATGAATATAATTCTATTTTTTGTGGCAAGCGTAAAGAGCGACTACTTGTCATAATTTAAACTGGCAAAGTTACTAAAATAAAAAAAGAAAAACATGAATTTCGATAGTATTAATCGTTAATATTTCATTAACCGTATGTTGTTGTATGTTATCATTCGACCGATTAGTAAACATTGATAAAAACACAGTCCAGTCTATTTGGTTATTATATATATGTTTATGGTAGACCGGTAATGGTGTTAATTAGTTTCGAATGGTAATATATACTCCTACGAGTAGCTCTAGATAACATTATATCAACACTGGCTTTTTAAAAAAATTAATAGCATTATCAATAAAGGTCTCCCGTATAACTTTAAAAATGTAATCGCTTAATTGCGACTTGTTTTTTTAACAAAACTCGATTACTATAATAATACCTTACATTTTTTACAGGACATGGAGGGTTGACAATCGTCCGTCGCAGCAGCCAGAAAAGGAGCTCGTACTTCGATGAATACACTATGGCCTTGTCAAGAGAAGCGGAATCGATGTTGGGCGATGTGGATCTTAGCATTGAAGGATTGCCATCGATAGATACAACCGAAGCTATCGATAAGGCTGCTCTTAGGTAATTCATATACGTCATATTGTTGTTCTTAACGAAAAAATATTATGTACGTAAAGGCAAAACATTTAGCAATCTCGGTTTACATTTGTTATCCTACCAGAAATTCGTCCGAAAAACGCATCTCAGTAAAACGAACAATTTGGTAGAAATCACAATTCGATATTAATAAGATCTTTATAAGTATTCACGATAAGTTTTTTTTATCTATCACGAATCCTATTACCATGTATATGATAGCGTTTTTGTTGTTTGGATTTGATTTTGGGTTATATATTTTTTTCGAAAACCTCAGATAATCATTTAATATCGTAGATTATTTAGAATATTTTAAAAATGTTACCCATATCTCTTTTGGCGTTCAAGCCGTGAACAAAAACGTCAAATATTTTGATTTTCAAAAAGCATCACGTATTTTTCAACGTGCATATAAATTTCGCATTCCTGTTAAGGTATAATTTTTTGAAAACATAATTCGACGGAGCCTGTACCTATACGAAATAAGGCTATAATTTTTAAAATTTTACAAATTAATATTTTAAGCTTCTATAGCATAATAGAAAAAAAATCAAATTTACTCGTTTGCCACGATACGATGCTGCCTACGAAAGCAGACAAAATCTAAGGATTTGTTTACCTAAGCATGAAACGTAGCCGGATCACCGTATCAATCCAATTATTAGACAAATACAAGGACGTTATGTCTGAAGCATCTGAAATCATACAACTTAGTTTAAGAATTTAGATTAAGGGCCAGGAGCTACTTCATTGGAAGTGTGACTTCATTACATGTAAAATATATATAAATATCTATTACATAAAAAACTGATAATTATATTTTAAATAATATAAAATACTAGATCTTTGAAAAAAATATACAGCGATTTCTACACCGCAGACACAAAACGTTTCAATTAAATTCGAGACCGACACAGCCACGGCGGAGTGTACTTGAAGCAATTAACATCATTATAAAAATTCGGTTTAAGTAACGCGATATTATAATAATAACAATATTCGCTTCAATACAGTTCTACGGTATCGTAAAACGAATTTTCAATTTTGGCTATCGGATTGCCCGACCAATCGGCGAGCCTGACTGATTAAACATTTTATTATTATAATTGAATTTTCGTTCAAAATCACGTCATTATTATATTTTGTAAAACCGCAAAACGTTTTATTGTTTCTGCTATATGGCAAAGCAAACTCACAACACTTACCGCTATACCTAAAAAATCCGTCTCGAGTACACACAATCCTATTCGAATTCTACACGCTTCGACATTTGTGCTTTTCTATACGCGATGAATTATGATAATAAAATATTTCCCAGTCGCGTGGTTTCGGTTAAATAATGCAAGGTGATTTTTTTTTTTCCATATTATCATTCCGTTACTTTTCGTAGAATTCTAAGTAAATTTGATTTCGATTTTTTTGATCATCTATCGAAAAGTTTAAACTCTATTTTACCATTTTGTTCAAAATGTTTAACCCTATTCCCTTCACCATAAGTTAATATAAACATTTTATTCTCACTCATCCACTGCCTTTCATCATAGATTCGAAACGAAAAATTTATGTTTTAAACATTTTTATGTGAAATTTAAAAGTGAGACCGGGGAAGTAGGAAGGAATAGAAAACAATACATTTCATATTAATTTCTAGATAATATAACTCTACTACTCTATCTTAAATTTTATATTGATATTTAAAATTCTCTAACACTACGTATATCCGAAATAATACACAAAGTGTACTACACAATAGTATTTTATGATATTATTAAGTGCAATATTAAAGAAAAATATTGTATCATTTTTATTGCCCAAATAATATTTTCAATCCTGACCTAAGCGATAAATGTATTGCTTTTACTATGTGTTTTTTTTTTTTATATTTTTAAACAACTTTTCTGACAGAAATCTATCTCTAATCAATAACTTTATAGGGACTTTTTTTATTACCTAGTTGGTACACCACTGAAGAGATCATTTTTTATTTTCCTTGTAGTTTTCTTTATAAATGGGAAGACCGGAATTTTTTCATACTTATATTTTTTGTTGATTTGTAGGTTACTTCAACAATAATGAAAACATACGAATAATAATACATTTTTCAGAATCGTTTTTCATTATCAAATATAGATTAAATTATTCTGTAATTTCTCTATATTACTCTCCTTTCTAAATTCTCTTCTAAAACAATGGCTTGACCATCAGACAGTAGGTATCAGTATTTTTTTTTCGACTTATCCGGTAGGTACCTATATATATATACACGTATATTATTGTGCCACTATATTGTATTATAACCACCACCATTAACGTGATTTCCCGCGTTATAACGAGAAAAGGTCTTTTCGCATTATCCCCTAACCGACGGCCGTGCACAAAGAACTATCAAAACTATATAATAATAATAATATAAACTAAAACCATTAACTCCTTATATATTATTGTATACAGGGTACGCGTGGATAAAATTATTTAACCTCTACTTAAAATTAAAATGACCGCCGTGGTATACGCAAAAGTGGAGGAATACTATTAAGTACTCTCCCATAATAATATTATAAAGTCGGCTGGTATTATTAATCTCTGGTCAGCGATAAACATTAGATGTCGTACGTGGTTAACATATTATTATTATTATTATTATTTTTTTTTTTTTTTTTTTTGTACGTTAGTGCTATATAAACCAAAAGGTAGGACATGCATAATAATGAAGTTCTCATAATTTTACGTATGATAATAGTTCAAAACGAAAAACGATTCTGAATATAGTATATTAATCGAGTTCTTCCCTCCCGGTTGCTAAGGTACCGACACAGAAATCCACAAGAGTCCAAATAAAAGAATTTAGGCCAGTATATATTTAACAAATTCGATAAGTTATTTCGAATAAAATATCACCGGTTGAAAATTTCGCATATTTTAAAATATTACGTATATAAATCTGACGATTTTTACTAACCCGGTACATTTTTAAAAAAAAATATTAAGAGCAATTTTTTTAAAAATTTTTGGAATTTCGAAATAATTTTCAATTTTAGTACCATCAGACAAAAAATCTATATATTTTAAAATATAACATTAAAAAAAAAAACCATGTTACTAACCTTTGAAGTGAATTCCGAAAAGAAAAAACACTTCTTTATAAAACTTAAGCTTGTGCGTTATAATCAAAATATAAAATACGATTATTTATACACCAATAAAATTGATGTAAAAACCGTAATATTTTAACAGTATGATGAAAATATCATTTTAATTATAAATAATATTTTGTCACGATGAAGATAGGTAACCATATTTCAACGATTATCTCACTAATTTTAATACCATGAACGACGACTTATAATGAATTTAAACACTGCATTTAATAATTCGGTTTATACTAAAATTCTCTCTTCCCAACTCTTTTCAAAGCTAAGCACATGAATAGATAATAACATTAATTAATTCATGTTAGTTGTGAAATGGTTATATGTTTATATGGTTTATTAATTTAGGTTAAAAGGTTTTTAAACTTCATAATTTATATTTGCATGGCGAAAAATATTAAACCAAGAGTAGGTATTTTGTTTTGAAATAAAGAGATGACCTAAGTTAAAAAAAAAATAACAAGAATAGTTCCTATTTCTGAGTATATCAAATTATACACTATTCAAAACTAGGAACTCCACTTGAATTATTGAGTAAAGGAAGTATAGTCATATGTATGACTGTGTCTATTCAAACAGACTGAAAATTTAACATAACATGTGTCAAAATTAAAATTAAAAAATAGTAATTTACTTAACATTGTATCATTCACGTTATTTTTTTTAAAGTATGAGTAAAAAAAAATTAAATTAAATTAATAAAGCAATTAAATGTTAAAATCTAAATTAAAATTAACTTTTTAACTATTTAGTTCAATGTCCATTTTTTTATTTATTTTACACTATGTTTAATTCGTTTGTATTATTGTTTTAGATTGCGTTGCGTGTTGCTTCATTTGAGAAAAGGACAAATATCTGCTGAGATTTTACACAGGAATTTGTTTTTCGCCGCTAAAGTACTGGAAACTGCTTTTGTTGATGAGGACCCATGGTAAGAAATACATTAATTTATATTAACTAACGGTAATAAGGAAATAACAGGTTTTAGTCAAAAAATATATAGGTATTAAAAGCATATAGATGATCTTGTAAGAAAATCGTTGATTTCGAGTCTTACGTGTCGACGAAAAAAATACCCGTTTCCTCCAAATATATCTATGTTATACATATGGGAAAACATTGATTTTTGTAATTTGATACTGTAGCGATGACCCAAGGAAAAGATCATATTTTCCGTAAAAAAATCTACCTAATCCTATGATATTTTATTTACCTGGGAATCAATAGAACATGCAATTTTATTGTTGTTGCTAATGAAATTATATAAATTTATTTTTCCTAATTTTGATTCAAATAATTTGTTTTATTTAACGATAAATTTGATTCTTGAGCTGTAATAAAGTGTATACATTACTCTATTTTAAATAATAATAAAAAATTCTTAAATATATCTTATAAAAAAAAAAAAGTTCTTAATAAAATAAAAATAGGATTTAATTTTTTTCCAGTATGATGTCTCCGGTACGCTTAAACTTCACAGTATTTCAGATAATCGCTCGTTTCATCCATTCGTCACTATAACGAGTTGAGCCGATTTTAGTTTGACAAAGTGACTTTATCGCATTTATTCCGTAAATTATGGCGCTTCTAAATCCGAATATTTCGTCGCGTATAGTGTTTCCAAGCAAAACGCAAAGTTTGCCCGCGTATTATATTTGCATAATTTCAGTCGGTAGGAATATCACGACAAGCTTTGCTACGGTTTAAAACCCGACGTTTTAGGATATTTTGGCAAATTCAGTTACATATGAGTACTCGACTATTCGGATAGCTAAAAAATATGAATTCTCTGTGATCATTGCATCGTCCGTGATAAATCGCACGGAACAATTTCAGTTTAATTTATACAAATAGTCATGTTTTTTTTTTATATTATTAGCATTATAATTAATATTTTATCACGTCATAAATTTAACATTGAATAAACTTCATTTATCATAATATCGAAATAACACAATGCTTATTATAATTATTGAAATAATCGTATGTTACGATTTGCACAAATTCGTCTATAGTAATAACTGGTTACACAATAATGAAATTAGTTCCGTTTCACCGGTCACATCGTTAACAAGACTCGTTTATAAAAGTCACTTTTCGTCGTCCCCTCCATAATTTTTATAACCCTAAAAACTATCCTTACTAAATTGTTAGACAACCAGAGTCCAACAGAATTTAAAAATTTCGTTCAAAAATATAATTTAACGTTATAACCCTAATTATTTTAATTTTTGTTATAAATACATAGAACAAAATGTATTCAGATATTTTTGACCGTTTAGTTGAAGGGGGTTGGGGTAAATTATCTATGGGGTGAGTTTTAACCGGCTTTTATGTTCGTCGACACCGATTACCAACTGGTTACCGGCTCACTAGACATTAATTAGTGACCGGCGGTGGCTCCTAAAGACAAAAATAACAATACGGAAATATTACTACGTACGTTAGTGTAGCAATATTGCATAAGCGAATCGCCGTTTCACAGTATTTAATATAACAATAGAAAATCGACGTTCCAAAATAATACTATCGTATTTGATACGCGTGCAGCCACAGACCTGCGGGACTTTTGCGGCCTTTCGGTGCACTGGTAGACCAGGGGTTTCCCAAACTTTTTTATTAAAAAAATTAAAAGGACTAAGCGGACCGCAATTCTAAGTTTTTTTTTTTTATTTAATCAATCGAGAATCGTTAAGAAAATAACCCGAATGTTTAAGCCGATATGACCGACCTATATTTTAATATATTTCATTTTTCCAATTGTTCTAGAATTCGGATGTTTTGAAAACTTTTTATTTTTTCGAATTTCACATGGAAATCAGAAACACTTCGTCAGAACTAGATTTTAAGTTTACCGATTAAGTTTTAGACCATTCAAAGATCTTTTAAAAGACCGGTTAAAATTTGTTCGTAGGCCGTACTTTGGATACACCCGACATTCCTTCGTACGTTTCCCGTAGCCAAGTCTTTTTCGTAGATTTTTAGGCATAGTGTAAGCATATCATGCAGTGTACTCATATAAAATATGTACGAGTCTATTAACTTTAAACGCGAAACGGACGGAGTCCTTTATACTCGACGAGTTAATTATTCCGGATAAGAGAACGGTTTTTATACCGCGTTTTATCACCGTAAATAATCATCGCGTTGTGCGGGTCACGTACCATTTTACTTTTATAAACGCAATAAGTAAGCTCTTCTTTCTCGTTAATAAGGTCGCGTACTTAACTTTAACTCATATATTATTCCGCCATAATATATAATAGTATATAAATACGCGTTTAACTCAAAAGGAAAAAAAATTGTTTTCAAAAAAATACATATTATTAACATGCGTTTCGGACCATCGTTCAGAGTTTTCGTCGACATATATTTGTAGAAGATTAAAATTAAATTTCACCTACGAGTATATAAAATATTTTTCTACATAAAAACCGTATTCGATTAAACGGTTTTACGTCTCCCTGTAGAAGGCGATCAGAATACTTGATAGCCGGTGTAAAATTCTGTCAAACAGTATGAGGTATTCTAAACAAGACTTTGACGAACTGTTCCATCTCGTTATCTAGCGAAATCACAGCCAAGGGTACCGACTAATATTAAGTTCTTGGTACCGCTTCGTCAGTAAATGGTTGTCGAGATATGTCCAACTTTTGAAATGTATGAAAAATAGTCCGGGTGGTCTTTTGAGCCCCAGCGTTGATCCATTCTCGGCGCCGAACAGAAACCCGGATTTCGGCCGCGGTCACGTACTATGGTCGGCGCCTCACCTACTTACTTGACGGCGGCCAAACCGTAGGTAGACGGTAAGGCGAATTAGGAAGATGGAGAAGGGACCACGCTTTGATGCGTTGTCACACATCCGAGGCTTACTCTGAACCACTTTGCCTACTGAATAGCCTAAAACTAATATAAGGTGCATAGTTATACCATCGCTTTATGTGCGGGTTGAAATTTGGGTTCATCTGTCCCATCTCGGATTTGTATGGTGGCAGGTGACAGGAGATACTATGGTACATGGTATTTGTAGATGATATGGCTTTGATAGAAGACAATTCGGAATAAGTTAACAATAAGCTTGAGGGGGTATGGAGGGTAGTACTTGAAGAAAAGTGACTAAGGATAAGCAAAAGTAAACCGGAGTGTGCGTTTATTTATAAACAGGACAAGATAGATAAAGACAACAAGTAGTGAGTCACCTTTTGTTTAATATTTATTATATGTAACGAAAAAATGTATATGTGACTTAAAGGTAAGTTCGTAAGTGAGGTAAGGTATTATCGCATCTGCTACTATTTAAAATTCGCATCCTACAGTTAAATATATAATACGACGTAGACAAATGTTTAAATAATTAAAAACATCTACGGTTTTCACGGGTGAATTAATTCTGCGGAAAAATGTACATGGAACAAATGTAAAAACTATACGAAGGTTTATGCTCAAAACGCAGGTGGCAATATAGCCGTTAATAATAGTATTATAGTCTTTTCTTCGTAAAAAAATACTATTAAAATTACTCACAAATTAAAAAAAAAAAATACTCTATGTATAGAAAAATAGTAAAAAATGTAAAATTAAAGTTTCAATTTTGTACAACTTTCGTTTATTTAAGCTTTTGTACCACGCTACGTAGGCGTTTTTAAAGATATTCGTTAAGGCAACAATATATTTTGATTATGAAAATATAAAAATTATAAATATAGAACGATTGACGATGACGTTTATTTATGAGAGAAACCTATAAAACCATTAAAGCAAATTTCACGGAAATGTCATTTCTCGAGGTAATATTTTGAGTTACCCAAACTGACTGTTAATCAACTAGAAATTCATTTAATGTAAAAGTATGTACTTAAAACGGTAAACAAAGTTTTCGGAAAATGCAAAATAAAAGTATCGCTTTTAAAGTATAAAATCTGTCACGTGCATTAAATTATATGCTTAGTAAGCATCATCTTAGATCACTGTCCGAAAAAAAATGTATTTTGCATTGAAATTCGGGTCTCCTTGGTCTATCATATATTTTATTGTTTTATTGTTAAGCACGTTTAATAAGTATCTACTATAAATGCGCGTGTGTAATTTTTTTTGTTTTATGTTCGCCATCTACAGCAGCCCAGACGCCAAGCAGAAAGATACGGGGAACGCGAAGCCGGGCGTAGGCCTAACACAGAATGTTGTTGCCATGCCCACCGTTACACCACCAATCAGACAAAAACGTCTTCGCACGCCCATCTGGGCAAGGTTGTTAAACAAATTAATTAGTTATGCTTTTTCACCTATAAAATACCGTATATTTTTTGCATTTGTATGATTATGGCTTTTGATAAATTTTTCCCGCCGCAAACGTGCATATGGTATAACACGTTTTTTTTAATTTATAATCGGTGACCACCATCTGTTGTAACAAAAAAAAAAAACAAAAATATATTTATTAAAAATAGCTTTATACACTATACGTTGTGTGCGTATGATTTCTATGCCAGACGTTATTATATCGTCCATAGATCGAAAATGATGCCAAGAAAAAAAAATAATTATATCAAAATTGGGAATGTTAAATTATATGGTTTAATTCGAATTGCTTCGATTTTCAAACGTTTTTCGTAAAACAAAATCATATCGTTTGATATATTATGGAAAACTGACCACTTCAAAACACAAGATTCACTTTTAAAAACACAAACGAGGAAATTTTGTTTCCCGTTTATAAGTGATCTGCTCATGCACAGTATTCTCCTGATAGACGAATTTTCTCAATTACGAGAACGAAATATTTGTATTAGTATACTTTTGAACATTATACGTGTTTAATATATATTTATTTTTATTTTTATTTTTATTTTTATTTTTTAATAACTACCATGTCGTGATTGTAACTTTTTTCATATTTATTATTACAAAAGGGAAATGTCATGTTCATTTAATTTAAATAAAACATTATGCAATTATTGCTAACTCTACAAGTACAATATTCACTGAAATATTGATACAGGTACTACTATTATTGCCTAATTAAATTACTAAAGATTCGTTCATAACATAAACGAAAAGAATACAAATTCTATTAATTGACTGAAAAAAAAAATTGTAATTTCATTTTAAAAAGATAAAAATAATGACTTACGATGCACATAGTATGATATGCGATATCATATAATTTATGATGTTTGCCTAGTAGCAATGTAAATAGGTAATTTTATTTAGTCTGAAATTATTTTTATTGGACACCGGTTAATTTAAAATCAGCTATTTTAAAGAGTTTACTTTTAAATTCTAAAATTTAAATTTACAATAAAACAAAATAGTTATAAATTGGCACAAAACAAATTATACGAGTATATCTCTGATTAATAAAATATTGTCTAGAATATCTCTGAAAATAAAATATAACAACTTTCAACAACGTCTGGCAAATCAATAGAAGTATTTGCTTTGAATATTTTATATATGTGATTCCAATTTCACATTCATCCGAAATGTTTATAGAGACTAAATAGAGAGTAATCGATCACCATAATATAATAATATATAGATACATAAGTAATAATACATTCCAATACTCAACAGTTTTAAAATACTTTTTAGTTGAATCTTGTTATAAAGCTCAGCGTTATCGACAAAATATCCATAGGATCCGAATTTTAATGGTGTTTCTTATCAATTCGTAATTTTTCTGTCGTGTCGTGTGTAAATTCATGGCAATGATAAAAAAAATCTAGCATATTATATTTGTAATACATAAGATAAAAAAAATGGCACATTAAAAAACATAATCTAAACATGTCGGTGTCTATAAACCTACAGATCCAGTAGATATATCCAATAGTAGATCATGTAGAATTTGTAGATCCAGTTGAATTTTGTAAAGCGAGGTTATTATTAAACATTTTTTTTTTTTTATCTTTTTACAACACTACATCTACACAGGTGTTTGAGGATATAATTGTAAATAAGCTGCTCGAGTGTAAAATGATGGCAACTAATTGCAACAAGTGCTAAGTGAAACTGTATTTGACGTGCAAAGTTTGTATGCCAGATGCACAAACGAAAACATATTATAGTATACTTGAATATTTGATTTTTGAAATAAAATTAATTTTTAAACCCTCAAGGAAACGCCGGTGCAATTCCCAACGCAATTTATAACATATTCAATGTTGAACAAAAACATATAAAATATATAAACATTAAACATAATATTATATTCGGACAGTATTACATTATATTGGCTTTATATTCGGGTTTTTGAAATATCGTTAGCTAACTCCCGGCTTAATATCGGAAGTCGAATTTTAGAATATGTTTAGATTCTGAGCGGATTATGAAATGTATTAGTTTTAATATGATGTGTTTTTTAAATTCTGAACGGAAAAAGGAATGTAATGATTTTACAGTGATGATTTTTTTTTTTTGTCTGTGAACAACTTTTCTATCAGAAATCTTGGTATAATTTTTTTCAGGATATCTAACTGGGCCGGTACTTTAAGCAAGTAATTTTTTAATTTTCCCAAATATTTACATAAAGAGATTTGCATACAGTAGATGAGATTACTCTTCTACTATACTCTTATATTTACCTAAACAGGATAAAATATAATTACTCCGTATACATACACAAAAATATAACAATAATTTAAACCACCATATAAGACATATAAAATTAACATAATATAATATGTAATAAATATGTTATTACTGTTATTATTTATAGATTAATCATCTTGACAAATATCATCGTTTCGTTACCCGTAATACATTTTTTTATTGAATTATTAATTCAGGCATATTTTTAAAATAAACTCTACAAATTATTAGTCTTTTGAAATGTTATTGGCAATATATATTATAAATATATTATTTTATATAAAAATATATTTTTTTTTTTTTTTTTTACTATATAGGAAAATGGATTATGATCAATTTTCCATGGATCAGTAAAGTCTTATAAAAAAAAAAAGTTATACATGTATTAACACTATTCGAAAACTTTTCTCGAGAGAAAGCTCTATAGAAAAATGAAAACAAAAACCAAGTGCGCGGTCGTATAAAATGTATTTTTCATATCATAAAAACGTTTACTTTACTTCTTAAACATTATATACAAAAATAATAATAATAAATGAATAAATATTCGGTAGGTACCTGTAAATAATTTTACCGAAAATTAACAAAAAACTCTTTAAATATAAAACTTTCGAAACAATTTGGGCTGCGCTTTAAAAAAAAATTTAATTCAAAAATCAATATCAGTAACTTTAAAGTCACATAAAAAAGCTGTCGGTAACCGTTAAGCAATAATATAGACAATTTTTGGTTTTCAGTTTTTAATTTGAAGTAGTTTCACGGAGAACATTCTTCTATCACATCATCACGACTTTTACATTTGATTATCATAATAAATTAATAACTTATTGTAAAATATATAAATTATAAATTGAACATTTTAAAATTAAAAAAATTAAAAAAAACATACATACTTCGCACGATGGGTGGGCCACTGTTATAGTTGGAAATGCAGGATATAGACCGGAATTGAATGTATATCTGTATTCAACAATTAATGATTAATAACAAAAATCGATTCTGAGCAGAGTTTGGTTTTACGTGTTTCAAAAAGCCGTTATATTTACGAAATTCAAAATTAAAATTTACTTTTCAAATTCTTATAAAAAAAAAGGAATTTTACATTAAACTCAATTTTTCTTATTGACTACAAATAACAACTTAAAAATGAACCTCCAGTTAAATCTTCATGGGTTTCTGTTTGGTATAACAATTGTATCCACAAAAATTACGAAGGATAATTTCTATAAATATCTCAAAAATGGATACATATTTTCTGCGTTTAGAAAAGGCAAATAAAACTTTTATGTCTAAATTTAGGTCTACTAATATTTTTTGCTAAAAAACAAAACTGAAAATAATAAAGGTATTATTTTCGTACATTTTCCCGTTTTTCCAGTCATTAAGAAAACTGTTAAGAAAATAAAAAAATTACCTCTATAAAGTACCAACTGGGTGAAATTTATTTTCAGAAATGATACACTTGATACATTGGAGCAAGATTTCAGATAGAAATTTCACACATGGTGTAAAAAAAAAATTGTAAAAACCATCACGTTCCTCGCTTCGTTCAGGATCTAAAATTTTAATTTTTCTGACACTATAATTTTTTTCACACGTTAAATTAACAAATACAATAAGGGGTTAAAGAATATAATTTATATTAATATATTAAGATAGATTGCATACTGTAGACAAAAAATAATACAAATTAATGATGAAATAAACAGATGAAAAATCATACATTTTAAACAATAACCTTTTGAACGATATGTTTTACGTACGATTATTCTCTCATTTACTATTAAATAATCTATTTTATGAGACTTAATCGACGACAACGCTTAAAATCTTAAAATATACATATATCTAATAAGAATAAATTTGACAACCTTATTTAATTATATATCGAATAAACAATAACTAATCGTTGTAATCATTATTATATTTAAAAAAACCAATCGATTTGACTTATAGCTTTATAATATATCGGATTTATTTGAAATTATGAGTGCAGCGAGAAATAAATTGGTTTTTTCCCTGTTTAGAATCAACTTTTTTTTCCAAAAATCTTTATCCAATAAAAAAAAAATTCAGGTGAACTTTTTTTTTTTTACTTTTTGTACCTGGTTGGTGCAATGAGGAGGTCAATTTTTAATAATCCTAATAGTTTTCATAGTAATCTATGATAACCAAGAAAAAACGTGTAAATAAAACGGAAAATTATACAGCAACAAAAGCTTCATTGTTTGCTAGTTTTTTTGTTTTCTTTCGAAATTCCTGCTCCAAATATCAATTAAATGATTTTTTCCGAAAGATGATGTTGTACGGTTAGTGCAGAAGAAGATTGTAGTTTTGATTTTCCATGAGGTTTTCCTAATATAGATATTTATACCGAGTTTATCGCATTGTTATTTCTAGATTATTACAATAAAATATATATACACCTAAATTCAATCATCATTTGAACCGAGAGTAATGCGCACTTAAATATTATACGACAACATGCAACTATTAATATAGACACATACTATTATATATATTAGATATCGATGGAATATTATATCGGCCATTAAACGTTTTACGTTTATATGCTTAGTTACGAATTTATAGACGCATCATCGTTTATATATGTTTATTTATTTATTTATTTAACGGGCCAGTAATTTGATCCATTAAATATAAAATTGAATTTGATTAAATTTTTAAAAGGTGAGTTTTTATGACAGTCCTTTTTTTTCTCCTTTTTGTACGTAACCAAAATCAATAAATGAGATACTATTTAAAAGATTCAGTTTCCCTCATTTTAAGAATTGTTAACTCAGAACTTTACCATCTATATAATTTGTTTAAAATTTTATGTTTGATGTGAAATTTTGTGTGTACATTCTTGGTTGGTCAATTGGTTGACCGCAATACAAATTTAGTTTCCCATTTAGAAACGATGTAGGTAAAGGAGAAAATATTTAAAAAAAAATATACGTATGACAGACGACTGTGGCCATACTTGTATATTGGATCACGTATATACAAGACTAAAAAATATTAATAGCTACACCGAGAAAATAAAGAAAAATCTATAGAAAAATATTATTTGAAAAACAATAAACAGCCGAATACTATGAAAAATACACTAAAATTATTTGCATTACTTTGAAAAAGAAAAATGAAATTTGAGCATGACATTGGTAAGGTCGAGAAACCAAAGTTGAATCCCCCAAAAGACACATGTCCTTGATACTAACGCCATGTAAAATTGCACGCTTCTGACTTCGTTGGATGGAGATCTGTATAGGTGTGTTCAAAGCTAAAAAAATCCATTTTCAATTTAACTTTTATCATTCCAATCCTACTATAAAACCACTCGAGTTACCAAAATCATATTTAATCCACAGGGAGGGTGTTCAAAAGTAGTGAAAAAAATTATACAATAGACACAATAAACAACAATAGTCTCTATTTACGAAAACCATATGAAAAAAAAAACCCGAATACAGAAAACTCGTTTTATACGATAAGCACATATTAAAATACGTGATTTGTTGTATTGTAAACATTGTGTTAAATTTTTCAACCGAATAACATTTTAAAATAAATTTAAAACTCATTGCGAGAGGTTTTTTGCAATAATACCGATAAAGAGAAATGATAACGTTATAGAACTATTAAGAAATCGTATAAATAAAAAAACTTCTCGAATTCTTTTGCTTTTACGAATAACTAAAAAAAAAAATAGGTAAGTAAGTAAATAACTGGGACGTTGTAAATTGCGTCCCAATTTTAATTTTTATGTAAATTGCGGCCTGAGTATGTTTAAAATATAGTATCCGAATTACATAGCACTTTAAAATCGCTTAATGTAGAGAAGTCTACTATTTATTTCTTTACTATTAACTAATAAAACCTTTTCATTTTTATGTGTTTTAAATTCTTTGTTGTCAAGAATGTTGTGTAATTCCAAAAAAGTGTCTGGTGATTTTGGTAGTATTGAAGCTCGAGCATTGTGTAAATTTCGTTCAGTCAACTTTATGTCTTGAGTAATTAATGATTCGACATTTTTTAGTTCAGAATGAATAATTTTAGATGGCTTAGTAAACATATCGTCAACGGCATTCTTTTTAAATTTTTGTTAAATTTCTGTCGATTTATTATTTGTTCCAAAATATTTTAAAATGACTGTGATATTTAAAACTATTTATACGCACATTATTATTATTAAAATTCAAATATCATTTACACGTTTTAACTGTGCAACACCACCGTTGAATATCATTTTGCAGCAATTTGTGAAAACTAAATTTGAAACCATCAGCTACTTTCAACATTTTTATTAAATGTTGAAAGTAGCTAACCTAACATTTCGCTTTTCATAACGTCCATTTTTATTAAATTGAAAAAAAATATAAACTGTAGAGAAACGTAGAACCTCGTGCGATCCGACTTTCACGATTCAATCAAATGCACACTGGTTGCTAGTAATATTATGTTAGTGAACATATTATTATCTACATATATTAATATTATTAATCACAGATTAATACTTATCTTTGAATTGTAAAGCCGGCCGGCAAAAACCCGGGATGTATTTGACGTACGATTCAAATAAACCCGCAACGCGATTTACGTATGTATTAAAAGTACACGGGCCGCAATTTACATAGTGTACGACTATGACCTTTTTTTGGGGGACTCAATTTACCGACTCCGAAGTAACCTACAACAAAACAACTGGCGGCATTCGAATTGCATCCAAAAATTATATTTTATCCGATTTGTGTCCGTAGTTTTCCCACGACGCTTCAGAATTGCGTCAGTGGGTTCTTAATGACGGATACGAGCTGCGTCCGCAATTTTCGCAAAACAGGTCAGAGTCACGTTTCCATTGGTAATTTAAGTACACATATTTGCTTTCCCACTTTAAAAGCATTGCGGATGTTCAATTATAAAAATAGTGTGGTCGAAAATTCGTGTATTAGGTAGCTGTATATAGCTAATATATTAGTATTATAAATTATAAATTATAACATTCAGGTACGTGAACGTTTTGAAAACGAGAGAACCGCCTGTAAACGTTTTCGGAAAACACTTTTGTATCCGTTAATACGAACAATCAAATATAATTGTTTTTTTTTTTTTTTTTTGTTTTTCCTTGGATAATTTTAATTATTTCGCGATTTTGCGAGATTTTGTGTTGTTGCAAAGTTGAAGTTTATGGGTAATAAGTACGCTCAAACAACAGCAGTGGACGTCGCGGTAGTTAACTGACATTAATACGAACGAAATTCATGTCCAGCTATAAATAGTTTTCGGCGGTATTTACAGATAAGACACACCGACAAAACTGGCCAACACGCAAATACAATACAAGTACAATATAACCGAACATACTGTTATTGTGCAGAATAGTATCTAACGATAGCAATCGTGTGGACAACACTCGGAACGGTGAACGAATAACCGCGGACGCGATTCGGTTGCCGCGGCGTATATTTTCCGTTGTAGAGACGCGATTCGTATGCGGCCGTCGAGACACGAGGCGTGGCGTTCGGTTTTCGGTTAGCTGTTCGTGGCTAAACGCGTTAGCGTTATTGCTTTCGGGTTTCGTCCCGTAAACGTCAATTGTGTCCGAATTTTTTTTTTTTTTTTTTCCCCGGATAACGCAATATACAGCCCGGAAAGGCCGAAAACGAACGCGATTTAATAAGGAAACAGTGCAACGTTGTTTATCGCTCGGTCGTCGACAATACATTTTCATTATCGCGATCTATAAATTCGCACGGGCAAAAAATATATCTATTCGTATTTGTATACAATATTATTTGACAGTGCGATCGTCTCGCAGAAAAATCACTATCCCGTCGTCATTGTATCCAGCTACCTTCACATATTTACACAAGTATAATATTATATACTATCTTTTTAAACGTTTTTGATGAATGCGATAAAATTGACTTTTCCTCCTTCTCGATACACATACAGAGGGATTCTTTTTACCATGAACCGTCATTTTTCTCGGAGGATTTTAAGTAGGGCTTCCGGTTTAGTACGTGTATTCGCGTACATGTGTTGTACATGTAATCAGTACGTTAAATAATTAAATTTACAAGAATATACAAGAATGTATACGTGTATTTAATCACACAAGTTCTTGAAGTTTAAATTTATCGTTTATGTATTATGACCGTTTAAAGTTTAGATCGGGGGAAAGGGAAGGGTAATAAATTGCATATTTATTTTTAAATAATAAATTGATAATTCTTCCCTATGCCTCCTATGATCTAAACTTTAAACTGTTATAACTCGTGTATAATAAATCTGATATTAGTGTTATGCATATCAAAATTTCTAAAAAAATATACACTATTTTAATCTGTGTTTAAAAAATAAAGGGGAGAGGGGTCCTATTTGAAAACAAAAAGTACATAATTGTTTAAAGTATATGAAGAAGGGGTAAAAATATTAAAATTTAAACCCATTTCACGATAGTTTTTTTTTTTTTTTTACCTTTTACAGTCCGTGTAGGACCTTCGCCGTTTCAACCACTCCTCTTCATTTATCTCTGTTTTCGTTGTCTTCAATTCTCGTTCCTTGTGATATTCCAGTAATATCTATTTTCACCCCTATCTTTCCATCTTTATCTCTGTCGACCCCTAGGCCTTCTTCCGTTCAGTTTCTTAATTTCCCAGTTAACGAAAACTTTTTTATTTCTATTTTATTTTTTTGTATCGGAAATTTGATTATTCAATTTTAAATAGGTATTATTTATACGTTTGAAGACAAATTGAATTTTTATTTGTTAAAAAACAATATTTAAGTTTTCAATTTTTACAGCGGTGTTATAATATATTTTGTTAAAAAACTGTATACAGTTTTTATAGAAAATGGCATTTGATTGTCATAAAAACTATTTAAAAATCGGTATCGCTGCACGTATCTGCGAACCCTTTCGTCGGATCAACATCGCTCAGAGTTTTTTTCTTTTTATTGACGACAATCACAATTTTACGAAATGTTAGACCCACCAATAATATAGTAATGACAGTGTGTGCGTATCAAACATACATTTGTAAAGATACATGGTAGACCTGGAAAATGGCTACGTGAAATCAACATAATCAATCGCGTATTTTAACCTAAATCATTATTTTGCTATTGATTTGTATTATCGTCTGTACATGACTCGTCGGATATTCGAGATGATAGTAACAATGATATTATTATCTGTTATCAATAAATCTTGCAGTTAAAAAACGATAATGTGGTGGCAGTGGTATACCTACTTCCTTTATGCGGATTGGTATTCGAACGTCATCCGGGCATTACTATAATATTGTTCAAGGTTAGAATGTCTCTTCGATTTTTCATGATCGATACGAAAGAGTTGTGTACACAGTTTGCTAAATGACTATAATATTATAGGTACGGGTGAATTTGAAAAACTTGGGGGATACAGGATTTTTTTGTGTACGATTCAATTTATTTTTATTTTTATATGATAATAACGAAAAGGATAAAAAAAATCGGATTGTAAAAAAAAAAAAACGATAAAAAAAATAAATCGAGAAGATAATTTATAATAACAAGTGGCCAAAAAAAAAAATTAAATTCGGTAAGATGAACGCGCTCTAGTGATGGCGCCCGGTCACATATCGCGCCAGTCGCTCTTGCAAAAGATGATATTGTTACAAAATTTCAACGGAAGATGGCAGGACAGTGTTTTCGCGGTTTTTTATATTATAATTATCGATAAATCGGAATATTGTTCGCAAATATTTTATCGGTTTATTCTTAATAATAAGTCAGTTTATAAACGGGAGTTACGGAAGAATATAATGAACAAACTCTTAAAGAGATAATTTATACATGTCAGTAAAGAATAATGTGTATTCAACTATATAAGATTCCAAAAAAAAATTAAGAATAACGTATAACGGGGTGACTTTGATAATAGGGGATGAGATTTATTTTTATTGGAATTATTGATTTTTGTGTGGCTACACTGTTTGTATATGAACGTTTACGTTTTTCTTGACAGATGACGTTTAAGAGATGATAATATTTCTCATCGATACAATCGCATTTTCTTTGTTGATCTGTCCATTGTGTAAAGTTTTGAACACGTCCGTGGTTTTTTACATAATATTTTGTGTCTACGTAAAAATATCGCCGAAAAGTAAGTCGTACGGTACATAATATTTATTTTTTTTAACATTGTTTAATTAATACGCATAAAAGCAGTGGCGGACGTAGAGTGTAGATACAGCACACCGTAACACCCACCGAAATTTCTTTCCGGACTATTTAAGTATAACGCACATCTACTCGGTCGTCCTGTCAATAGTGTAATTGAAATTGTATTCTCGAAGTAAGATATTTGTTATAATTTTACTTTGAATTCATATTATACCATAATAATGATAATAATGGTTTTACAGTATCATTAGTTTCGTTTTAGATCAATTTTTTTGGTGAATCACAAATAAAACACAAGTTCCCACAAACGATCCTGACAAACGGCACCACTGAACCAGTTGGCAGTAATCTATTTACATTTTATTTTGATATTCTTTTTATGTACTTTCTATACGTACATTCAGTATTTACTATAATTACAATCATCATGGGATTATCTGTTCCAGTGGTTCTCAATCTGTTGTGGTTCGTGTCAAATTTACCTCCAATAACCATTACGTCACAATACCATTAAAATATGCAATGAAATGATAGGTTGTAAACAATTAAAACTGTAGATTTTATAAAAAAAAAAATAATAATAATACTAATAATGGTTTCATTGTAAATTATAATTAATTAATTACAATACACAGGAAAATAATAAACAATTTTACTAATTATAAATAGTTTAAAGATAAGAATTTCGTGATTTGGCTACTTAGGATACACAATTCTCATTAGCAGCGGCATTGTTGAACAATGAAGTTAGATTAGGTTGGTGGGGAAGGATAATGATATTGTTTCGACGATGGTGGTGATTGCATAACGGAGACTGCAATAATACGATTTAATTCGAAAAAAATAGAATTCTCTTATTTTTTTTTTTATCTTTTTATCGATAATTCATATCACCTGTACACTGGGCCCATGTCACCCCGGTTTAGAACCACTGATCTATTCTTTGTATACAGGAAACACAACCCATACCTACTTAAATGTTTTCATAACCCTAGTCAATAAATTTAATTTAACTTATTTTAATTATACGATTGGATCACTAAAATACAACTTTGTTTTGCCTGGTATTTCTTACCTCCCAGTAACATTTTAAAACCACTGTACATTAGCTGCCATACACAAAAATATTTTTATATACAACACTATTTACAGGTAACAAGTTTGAATATTCATTAATATTTTTTTAAAAAAAATCACCTAATTGAATGTAGAAAATATTTAGTAGCAATGTTTATTTTGGAGAGGGATCATAAATAATAACCGGATGACTTTGATGTCAATTAAAAGTATTTTTTTTTTTGTTTTGTTTTTTTAGTGGGTTGTAAATAAAAATAAACAATTGGGTGCAAACCTTATGACAATTATACTAATTCTACACTAGACTACGGTTTGTCAACTCTAGTAGTTGGTAATTATCAATTTGAACCGCTAGTAAATGGTTTAATATAACCTTAAGGTACACTGCATAGTTTTTTCACTGGTGATCAATAAACTAAAAGAACTAGAGGCCATGATAACTTTAATTTTTTTGTGTAAATTATGTAATTATTCTTTACTTTACATTTAGCAACTGATGTGATATAATAGGTAGGTAACTTTTTCATACCTACCTATATGTTAATGTTATCTACATAATGTTCCCAATTTATTATAATAGTTATAAAGTTAATGTTATATAGTTAATATTAATTTGAATTATTCAAAGTAGTTACCAAACATTCTTTGTTAAAAACAATTCTATCAAATATTAAATGTTAACCAAATAATGTAGTATATCAAAGAGACTGTTTATTTTCATACATACTTACTTTCTTTTTAAATTTGATGTACTCTTGTTATTCTTTTCAAATTGTCTAATAAAGCTATAAATGTTACTTATTTAAAGTCCTTTCAAAGTCACCTCGTTTAACATTATACATTTTAAACAATTTTTAAACTAATGGACCAAATTGTATGCTAGTCAAGAACAATAGGTTTCTATGCAATGTCATCAATTTGATACACAAAAAATAGAGGGATAAAAGTAACTCCACATGTGGTGTAAGATTAATAGGAACATTAAAAATATAATATTTCAAAAACTAAATGATATTTTTGAAATATTACCATACCTATAATTTAAGACAATATTAAACTTAAAGTAAGGACAGTTAAAAAAAAAAAGGAAAATACTTATAAACTTAAAACCTTCAAATATGTTAATAATATGCACTAGAAATACTAATCATTTAAAATTTTTAAAAAACCTACCCAAATATTACCTATTTAATTTAATAGAATGTCATACCATAACCAAAAATAGTTTTGCTATAATGAAACTATTACATTCACTTAACTAGACATTGGGAAATTGTATTAAATAATTTATGAAATTGGTTGATTTATACATAAAATATATTTAACTCCTTTTTTTTTAGATTCTGAGTGTGTGGTGAAGAATGTATTGGTTTTAAAAAGTTAAAAGTTTTTTTTTTTTTTATACTGTGTACAAAANAAGAGAATGTTCAAATGGTACTTTTGACAGATAATTTTTTGATTGAAGCGGTTTTCAAAATATTTTGGAAAAAACAGAATAAAACGTTAGAAAAACAATAAATTTACTTTTAAAATACTTTTATTATATTTCAATTGTTATAATTCAGTTAAAAATATTCATGGAGACTTGAAATTTGGACTTATATTTAAAAACTTATATTTGCCTTTTTTAGACATGGTAAAAAAACCAATCTAAATATGCACAAATAATTACCAACATAAAATTAAATATTTTCTTTTTGTTGATATACAAACAGTATAAGATATTTTAGCTCTAATGATGTAAGACCCAAAAGCATTTTAACGGCACGCAACTGACATTGGTCAGACGAAAATATGCTCCGAATCTAAAAGGTCGAAAAGAACTATAATTGTGACGCGCAAACGAATACCCCGATATAAAAGGAGCAAAATAGCCCAGCAAAAACCGGTGTGGGTTACTAATATTCGTATGTGAAATAGGAATTAATATATTTTAAAACCTTAATTGTGATTTCCCCGGCCCCTTCAATTATTGCTGTATTCTAATCCACCCTCTTCAATGTTATTATTAATTATTTAGCGTCTATACGGACGTCATAAAACGAAACGATAAAAAAATGTAATGTCTCTGTAAATATTATAGCCGATAGCCGAACGATTACAACACAATCGTACGTATTATCGTCTGCATTATTTTTTTCTGTTTTTTTTTTTTTTTTTTTTTTGTTATTTACAAACATTTACCGTGGATATTCTGTTCATTCTTTCAGACGGTATTATAGACGCACTCGTAAAATCGGGAACAGTAATTCAATAATTAAAAAAAAAAAAAATTTAAAAAAATTATCGTTGCGTTATTACAATTGTTGTCATTTCGAGATAAGAGAAAACTTAAAAAGAACTATCAACAGTGTTTAAGGCGCGCAAACATCGCGCGTGACAATCGAAAACCCCGAGCTGAGTATATATCGATTTCGAATATTGAATAACACGCTAGGTTACGCGAATGCGTACAGGTACGTCACTCGTAAGCACGCTGTTTTCGCCTCATGTAAATAACCGATAACGCGAGCGTTCGCGACACCACGTTGGGCGATCAAAAAGCTTCTTAAATCTGAATACTGTGTAGAACGGTACCGTTAAACGTTTCCGATAATATTCTTACGATTATATTATTATTACCAAGTTGTTAATCGCGTGTTGTTCAAATATCCCGACTCGAGTGCGTGTGGTGTCTGCACCACTCGTATACACAATAATATAATATTACGATGATTTTATCGATAGGAAATAATATATAGGTAATTACTAAAACAAAAACAAAACAAAAAAAAAAAAAAAATACGCGCCTATAAACGATGTCACGATAGTACAACGACAGGATGTTAAGTACATTCGATTTCAATTCGTCTGCGCAGTTCGAAACATACCGTCACGGTTGTCGTCGTCGTTCTCCCTAATACTACAGCGAATACAATATACAATACTATAGTAGTAGTACAGAGGGTTCGTGGATTTTAAATACCATACAGACCTCGGCAATTAAAACGAATCTTACGTGTCTAGTAATTAATAAAAAAAAAATTTTACACCGACGACGAAAAAATCTGACGGTACGCCGGTATTTTCGAGTCCTGTATAGGTACCGTTGAATATTTGTTTTGTTTTATTTTATTCATTTTTATGTTTTTTATTTTTTTTAGTATAAATATTGTCTTCTTGAAAGTGTGCGGCCGTTTAACGAATATAATGACGAATAACGACAAAGTTCTACCGCGGTACGCTGGGTAATATACAATAAACATTTTGTTGATTTATAATAATATTAATATTATATCCGTGGAAAGAACGCAGAAACAGTCGCGAAATTTCGAAAATACCTGTGTAACAGTTATCAATACTACCTACTGTATTCCTGTTATTTTCTCTGTAGGTATGTGAATATTTTCGAAATCTATAGGTTTTCATCGGACTAGTCTCGCGTTGTACCTAAACTAAACAAATCTCGTTGATTTTCCAAATTCCTCGCATATTACACTATCTATTGTGTTTCGATAAAAATAAATTATAACGATATCATCATTGTTATATTGGCCCATATTTATAATATTGCAATTAAAATTACTAAGGAATTCAAAAAAAAAAACAACCTCTTCAATCCAGCAACTAGGTACACAGTTCTATAATATTTAATAAGGCTCTCTTGTCGTTTATGGTTTGAAGTTTTCTAGTGGAAAAATACCAATTCCTATATTATGAAAATCCGGAATCTACGAATCTTTCGCTAATGGCCTTTTTTTTTTTACTTTTTTATAATTTCCGAATATAAATGGTCGTGCACTCCCCCGCACAGCGCCCGCCCGGCACTTGACCCATAGTTTGGTTAATCTACAATGGTTTGCCGCGGGCATTAGACGTTCTAGTTACGCCACTGTGGTTACCTCGTACGAAACCCTTCAACTCGTATTACGTGTATAGTCGATATATTGAAGACGTGTTCACTCAATACGCGAATTCGTGCGCCATTACTACAATAATCACACACATAATGACATTTGAATTATATTATATTGAACGCAATTGTCATGTTCTACGCACTGGTTAATATCGTCATAACGTAAACATATATTCGTCATTCGATCATCCCTCGCCGGGACTTATTTCCATGTGTGTGCTACGGCATCAATGTAGTTTTACGAAAAATCGACGAAATTTAGATAGGTTACTCGAGGCTCGACAGACAGAAAGTAAGTCGATTAAGTTTTTGTGCGCGACTAAAACAAATTTCGAATTCGAACAATTCATCATTCGGCGACTAAGCGCATATACGTACCTATACGTACGACCGATTCTCATATTTCTCGCACTAGGCGCTACTAGAATAAAGCGGTGACTAAACGAAAAAATACGATTGTTCAGGAAATCTGCAATTTGAAAGTTTAATACAAAACGGTAATAATTTTACGGTCCACAAAAAAAAAAATGTCTAAAAAAATCGGTCGCATTTTGATTTTCGGCCAAATATTGCCCTCGTGAATATGACCGTATACACGGTTAACGCAATAAATGTTTTCGACGAATATACTTTGTTCCGTATGAACGTAGATGGCGGAACTATATAGAACTATATAAAAAAAAAAAAAAAAAACAGAACAAAAAAAGAGAAAAACAATTACGAATCCATTAATACACTGAAAACACGGCATTCGTATGTGTTCAGTAATGTCGCAAACGGCAATGTGAACATCCATTTTAATATGTCGGCTAAAGAAAGATTTTTTTTTTTTTCATTTCTAATGTACATCTATATTAGCTTATTCCGAAACCGGACGAGTGTTACAGCACAATATTTTAACGCGCGATTAATCACCCCGTATCCGTAATATACTATTGTAAACTGCAGTCTATACATTATAATATAATAGTTGCGTAAATTTCGAAATTCATTACGCGCTGAAAACGGATCGTTTAGCATATCAAAAAAAAACCCACGAATAAAAGTCGAAATATTTTTCTCGTTCGCAAGCGCGCATGTGTGTGTGTGTGTGCATGTGAACAATATTCAAAGGCTTTTGTATGGATTCCGAACAAAGCTGGCAGAGCTATTATGTACAGTTTTCGCAACGCATTATTTTTCTCGTGAAAAAACGCCGTTCGACGTGTAAACGCTACCGTTTTTTTTTTTTTTTTTTTCGGCACACTTCTCAGATAAATAATAATCGATCGTGGATCGCGTAATATGATTTTTACGTAAATGCATTGACGTTTATCGGGATGCTGGCGCTTCGGTTCTACAGTTTTTATTATACAGACGGAATTCGAATTTTTTTTATTATTATTATTATTAATACCAATATACTATAATTCTTTACAGAATCGCGTTCGATATGTTCTTGTGTCGATTGATATTTTCGATTCAAAATTCTCCGGCTCTGGAAACGAAAACAAAATTATTCGAGTCATAAACCATCACGCAAGCGAATCCGACTGTAATTATTTCGACTATATCGATCACTGCGGGAAATACACCCTATAGATAAAATCGTCTAAAAGCTAATCTATATAACGACATGCTAATCACTTTTATCGTGATGAAATTATCGGGTATATTTCTGAGCACCATAGAGCACCACACTATGCGGTACATAAATATATTTTCGAAAAGCAAAATCTATATAATATACCGCGCCGTGTGGTCCGATAAGTTCATAATTCCTTTTATTGTCTTTCACTTTTTTTCCAAAACAATTACCCAACTTGACCTTTTTCAAGATATAACGATCGGAATATTTTCAGTTAAATTATGCTGGAAATCTAAAACGCGTCTCCGCGAATAACCTTCGTACGCGCGCAACGTTATTAATCATATCATTACTCCGTAATAACACTGTAATAATTATGTGCCGTCCTAATCCGAATTAATGTGCAATCGGGATCGACGAATAACTAATCACATACCTACTAGATTACAGTATGATACAAAATAAATATCGTTGAACAATTAAAAACTCGTTCTAGGCTCTCGGCCTTATATAGGTGTCCGAATCTAGATTGACCGAGGTGACAAGTAAACAAAACGAAAATTGCGAAATATTCGCGGTTTTATGTAGATTAGTGTCTACGAACGGTATTAATCTGTGAAAGGTTCGTTGAAGGTACCTAAAATGTACCCGGCGTTCCCGCAGCTAAATTATTCGAGAGTAGGTTAAAACAACATTTATTACGTTAAACCGTAAGAAATAATTTATACGGCCGGTGCAGATGCTGAAATTGTTTAAAGAGGAAAACCAGATTAACCGTTGTGTGTTTGTCAATGCGCACACTGGTGATTTAATAATAATAAAAATAATAGTATTAGTATTATAGGTGGTAGAATTATTGACTTCGAGTATCGGCCAAGTGTGTTTTTGACTGGTAAAATAATTATTACAAAATCAACGCGAACCGTTCGATTTCCAAAACACTGATTTCGAAGAGATTGATGTTGCTATAAATTCGTTGCAATACCCGAGAGAAAATATCCCTCAAGATCGATATTATATCTATGAAATATCAATTATAAAAAACTGTCCTAGTATAATGTGAATGGGTGCAGCCACTGATGTTTTTGGAAATCAGGAAAGATAGGATATTGACAACAATGTAATGTGTATCTGTACGCAACGATTAACCGCTACTAAAGAACAAAACGATTCAGAGCGGAGTTCGGTTAATAGTGATGCATTGTCAACAATCTGTATGCCATATTGTGGTAAAATAATTAAATAGGCATTATATATTTTCATTGATAATATTTGTTTAATACTGCACCACCTATTTTCCCGGTTTTCCTGCGTTTTTCCCGGCTTTTCACATTTGCTGCGAAAATTCTTGGGAAAATCGATAAATAACCTCTTTAAGTTACCATGGAGATAAAATTTTCTTTTTAGAAATAAGCAACACTTGAAATATCGGAGCAAGATTTTTGGTAGAAAAGTTTGCATAACAAATCAATAGGTATTTTACGATTAAAATAGTCCGAGCGAGCGATTGCTTGGGTGCATTTTTTTTTCCTTGTTTAGGTAAAAGGGATTCAAAATGCAAAAATTTATCCAACGTTTTTATCTAAACGCGGGTTCAAACTCGCGAACCAAAGATGAAAATAGGTATGTATAACTGTGGTCTTAAATACTGTGAATAACTGTAAATGTGTGTCCCGAGTTTTAAACGTGTTTTTACCTTTAATTGTAGTAATAAAAAATTATTTGGAATTTCAATCCAAATAAATCTATATATTCTAAATATATCAATATAAATTAATAACAACTTCTTCGTTTTCAATATTATACAAATATACCATACACATTAACCATAGTTTGACGATTATAAATATTAACCAAGATGTATCTTTAATCATGAATATAACAAATATACCTTGTGTCTATAAAGTATAAACTATGTAAGTAATCTCGAATTTGTGACAACTGCTTATTATAGTTATTATTGTTCTGGCGTATATTCGTGTAACTATTGGTAAAATATTTTGGACTTTCACTAACATTTATTTTGTACATTTTTAGTCCAAACGTCATATAAATAATATAAATGTGTAAGGTAAGAGATGCATAAAAGGAGGGATAATTTCGGGTGTTACAACCCCCCCCCTTTTTTTTTTTGCTATCAAAACTTATCGACAACTATAATTGAACTAAGAAGTGTGTCCCCTGAAATCAAATGTATTTTAGGCCCTGGTATAACCATTCAGCTACGACAATCATGCTTTAAAAAAGACAATATTTAATTATTTAACATAACATACAATGTCCATATAATATCAAAACTTTAAAAAGCTATAGTTTCAAAACTTAGTCAGTCCACTAAATTCTGACTTCACCAACGTTTTTAAATAATGTATTTAAAAAAAAAAAAAAGTGAAAAACTAGATTTGTTCCATATACATTTTTATTCATTTTTATTAACGATTTTCTTCAAAATTAGATATTAAAATTCCTTTATAAATAAAAATACTACATTAAACTTAAAATTTCTTTTTTTTGACCACAAAGTAATACTCTCAATGAACCTCCTGTTAGATTTTCAAGCAATTTTTTTGAGTCTAACAATTTTACTACAGAGTACCTACCGAAAACCTACAAGACTCGAAAAATTAAAATGTCTATAAATAGCTCACAATGGCTTAAATTCTATGAAAATTTTACCATGTCTAAAAAAGGCAAATATAAGTTTTTAAATATAAGTCCAAATTTCAAGTCTCCATGAATATTTTTAACTGAATTATAACAATTGAAATATAATAAAAGTATTTTAAAAATNTTACATCATTAGAGCTAAAATATCTTATACTGTTTGTATATCAACAAAAAGAAAATATTTAATTTTATGTTGGTAATTATTTGTGCATATTTAGATTGGTTTTTTTACCATGTCTAAAAAAGGCAAATATAAGTTTTTAAATATAAGTCCAAATTTCAAGTCTCCATGAATATTTTTAACTGAATTATAACAATTGAAATATAATAAAAGTATTTTAAAAGTAAATTTCTTGTTTTTCTAACGTTTTATTCTGTTTTTTCCAAAATATTTTGAAAACCGCTTGGAAAATCAAAAAATTATCTGTCAAAAGTACCATTTGAACATTCTCTTTCAGAAATAAGCCATGCGTATATATCTGAGCAAGATTTATGGTAGAATTTTTGTACACAGTATAAAAAAAAAAAAACATTTTAGTAAAACCAATACATTCTTCACTACACACTCAGAATCTAAAAAAAAGGAGTTAAATATATTTTATGTATAAATCAACCAATTTCATAAATTATTTAATACAATTTCCCAATGTCTAGTTAAGTGAATGTAATAGTTTCATTATAGCAAAACTATTTTTGGTTATGGTATGACATTCTATTAAATTAAATAGGTAATATTTGGGTAGGTTTTTTAAAAATTTTAAATGATTAGTATTTCTAGTGCATATTATTAACATATTTTAAGATTTTAAATTTATAGGTATTTTACGTACAGATTACGTAATTAGTTGTCTTTTATTTCAACGTGTACAAGTATTTTTCTTGGCTACATGAATATTACTATAATATTACGTAGACATGTATCGTGGTAACAAATCGTCATTTTTATTGAAGGATTTGATTAAAAAAATTAACAAACTGTGTATGATATCGTGTCAGTTTTCCGGGGATCTCGCTCATTAGACGAGTACTTTATGAGTTAAGTCACAACGTATAAAAATAAAATATAGTTTATCCAGCACCACCAGACTCGAAACGTGCAGTCATACTTACATTTAGAAAAAACACCTACTTTACTATATGCACATTGGAACACGAGTATTCCTACATTAAAATAACCAATTTTAAATTCCTAATGCCTTTTTTTGTATTTGTGATAATGGTAATATTAGTACATTTTTAATTTAATTCTTTTTTTTTTTTTGGTGATCAGACGTTTGGCCGCCGAAGAAGAAGACGAGCTTTCGGAAGTGCAGCCGGACGCTGTACCACAGGAAGTTCGCGAATGGCTTGCTTCGACTTTCACCAGGCAAATGGCATGCACTAGACGCAGAGGCGAGGACAAGCCGAAATTTAAATCTGTCGCACACGCTATTCGGGCCGGAATATTTGTCGATCGCATGTACCGCAAAGTGGTTAGCACGCCATTGATGTTGTTCCCAACTGACGTAGTGAAAACATTGAAGGTAAGAATTTTTGTTTTTTTTTTTTTTTGGTCACACTTCAGGTTCCGGACAAATTATGTAGCCTCTGGATGGTGGAACTTAAATATAATTATTTGTTCCGGCAAATTGGTTAATTTAGCCGCTATATAGTAAATAGTAATATTCATTATCTAATAATAGTTAAAACAATATTAAACACTGACAACATATTATTAGGAAATAATTATATATTTATATTATTAATTTTACATTGCCATAGTAGCCTAGCTAATGAACAGTGTTTGGAAAAAACGCGTTCAATCAAGGGACAATTGAACGCGTTCGATTATCACACGAAAGCGAACGACTTTTTTCATTCATTTAACGTTCATTTAATAAAAAAATCATAGTAATAAATATTACTATCAATGATACCTATACGGTCATACTCTATTCCAAATTTATAAATAACTAATAAGTAATAAGTTTGGAGAAACTATTCATAAATAGTTATACTGCCCTCCAAATGGAACAACTTTTTTTGTATTCAGTTTTTATTATTTTTATTATTGCATTATTTTTACTTTTTTTTTCATTTTTAAGGAAGTCACTATTTTAGTGAACATTTCAAACACTGCTAATAAACATATTAGACATTAGTTAAGAAATTACAATTTAAAATAAAAACTATTGCAAGTGGGTGGTCGGGAAAGTTCAATACATTCAGTTTATACAGGTTATGATAAATCAATGCAAAAGAAAAAACAATATTCTGATTGGAATAGTGTTATTCGTGTTTTTATAACCTTGTTGCCAAGGTAACCCAGAGATCAACAAAACCAAAAAATAAAAACCGAACCTAAATAGATTGCTTTCAATAAATGTTTCAAAAAAGTTTCACCGGCAAAAATGTTACATATTTTGAAGTACTGCGGAAAAGAATGTAATATTTTCCTAACCAAAAAAGTATTTAAAAAAAAAAAGTATTAAATCGAAGCATTTTTACCAACCAAAAAAGTGTTTTTTATGAATAAAAATAGCATTATAAAACTAATAGCTTCTTCGTTTTATAATCGGAATCTAAAATTGGAAAAATCTTAAAAATAGGGTCTGTCCTGAAACAATGGATTCGTTTAAAAAATGTCAACCGTCTTGTAGTCAGGGTATAATTAATTTTGAAAGTTATCCATGTCCCTATAAATGTAACAACGTCAATTGTGTCCCTATATTGTAAGAGATAAAACCAATTTAACTGTTGTTTGTTCACATGACACGATATTGGGCAAGAGGGGGTGATTTTTTCAAACAAACCCTTTCTTTTATAAAGTATTTGGTAACGGGTTTTCCGATTGCCCGACTCGGCGCATATCAACAGACTTCAGACCCGAGTCTTTTAAATTGCTTGCACCACACCGTTGCGTTTCGATCATCGAATTCCGAGCTGAAAACAGCCAAGCATAGATTTACTGTGGAATCGTTCGTTCGACAAAGACGAATGATAGTCGTGGTCGAGCGCGTTAAAATATTGTCGTCAGCCGAAACGTCAACCGATCACTGTCAATAATGTGTATACTGTATAAATAAAACAAGTAATAAGATGATACTGAATATACTTACTTATTATAATATACTGTTTTATTCATGCCCGTCATTATAATATTTTAGGTTAACGTCAAAATAATATCAGTGTCAAATCCTAATTATAATGATATGACGTGATACCCACATTTATTTTACTGTCTCAGTGCAACTAACCGTAACGTATAGCGAAATAACGTAACTTTCTTGAGACGTTTTGATAAAATTTAAAAAAAGTGTATAATATTTTCAAGGGCGTCTGAACCACATTACTTTTTTACAAAAAATATTTCCAAACAAAAAAACGAAAACTTCTATAGCTAAAACTTTCTTATCCTCAAAAATATATCAGCCTCTTTAAATTCTAAGTTTTACTAAGTAATTTTTACCAATCTTTACCGTTAGTCTGACTAAGCCAGTAAATCTCAGATATCGTGTCTTCGTGAGACCACCGGATGCTATAATGGATATTCATCAAATGATGCGCTTGCACGATTAAAATAGGTACCTAGTTATAATCACATTGTTATTATCACATTATACTCGTATACACTGTACACTAACCGCATATTCTAAACGGTCTCAATTATTATGCGCGGGAATTCACTATTATTAAAATATGATGACGGTAATACCTAAGTAAAACCCTGAAACGTTTAAAAGGTCACGTCTAGTCTGTTTTAAAACCGTATTGCCGGTGTTAGGGCTGGACTGTTTAACATCTGTGCAGCTGCCGTAAAATTAATCCAAGCTCTTCACACTACAGGGCGTCGTACCCGAGGAATCGTTATAATAATATTTATACGGAAAATGAGCGCGCATAATGTTAATATAATTTATGTTGTTATTATAATTACTAACACTCACCGTGCTATTATTATAATTTCCGCTATTGTATTAGGAAATTAGAAGAGAAGCTGTATAGAGTAACTCAATTTAATGTGTGAGCAAGGATTTAACCGTTTTGAACAGAGTATTTTAATTCGTATTTCAGTATTTTCATAATAAGACGGCATACGTTTAGCTAATTATTATGCTTATACGGGAGAATCTATACCTACATTTTTTTTTATTGGTGTTCGATCATGCACTAACATTTAATCTAACACTTTAATATTATTACAATGTTATTTCACTTCAATTTCACATTGAAAAGACGTCAAATGAGATTTTGTCGTCTCTATAAAAATAACGGGAAACATAGCGAAATTCCATCATTTAAAATTAAAAATGTGGCGTTTACGTTACAATCAAATTTTAAACCATACTTAAAGAGGATAGTACTTTTGAAAAAACCACGATTCTTTTTTTTATGTTGCTAAACAAAAATGCATCATATATTTCTTTTTGTGAAGAAAGCATATATGAACATGACTGTTGCTCTTTTATTCAAAAATACACTCGTATTTTAGAAACGAAAGAAACAAAATGTTGCCCTCGAAAATATTAGTCTCTTTAAATTTGTTCATCAGTATTTAGGCTTAAATTTAAATTCAACACCTACAATTCTATTTTCAATAGTTTTGCTATGTTACTCGTTAATTAGATTGAGACCAAACAATTTGAGTATCACGACCTCTGAAAATAATAATATGATATGTAAATTATAGGTATTGGTAATTTCCACGTAGTAAATACTAATGCAAAATTATCACTAAATATAATTATTTTACAAAAAATGATTAACTGTAATTCATTATGTAAGTTTTAATTTGTTTGTTTTTTCCCAGAAACTGAACGAATGGTCTTTCGACGTCTACCAGTTACATAATTACGGAAATGGACAACCGATCAAATACTTGGGATACGATTTACTCAATCGTTACGGTATTTTCCAGAAATTTAAGGTAAGTCATATATTATTATAATACATCAAGTCAAAATTAAGTTTTGTACGCTCGTATAGGTACTTATAATTAGTTGAATTTTCTTTTCCCCTTTCGATTTGTTATTATAACTAAGCTTCATAAATGGTATACTTTTATTTGGACGAAATTTCCTATTATATTTTATTATGTTCATAAAATTGAAAATGAATAAATTTCAAATTAATAATATCTTTTAGAAATTGAATACGTACCTATTTTAAAAAATAGTAATAATTTAAATATTTTATTAATTTATATTGTTTTTGTTATTATAGGTTCCGTCAGTCATAATGGAGAACTTTTTGTCCAGAATCGAAGAAGGCTATTCGAGACATAAGAATCCTTACCATAATAATTTGCACGGTGCCGATGTTGCACAAACTGTGCACTACATGCTCTGTCAAACTGGATTAATGGTACCCATAATATTTTATTTTATATTATACAACATAAATGTGACTCACTTGAAATATTTCATTCTGTTTTCTGTCGTAGAACTGGCTGTCTGATCTAGAAATATTTGCAATGTTGATAGCTGCAATTACACACGACTTCGAGCACACCGGAACAACAAACAATTTCCATGTGATGTCTGGAACTGAAATTGCTTTATTATACAATGATAGAGCTGTGCTTGAAAACTACCACATTAGTTCCACTTTTAGGTTTGCTAACACTGCCATAACATGTGCACAGGACTTAATAGTCTGAATAAATGGCTCAACACATTATTAAAATTTTTAATAATAATAAATTACTCTTCTTTTTCTCCTTTGCCTTCGTTCAAACTATTTGGGGTCAGCCACCATTATCCTAAACTTCAACTTATTCCTGATCTTTCACATCAACCTCACATAATCTTGTTCTCATATCATTCTCAATTGCATCCAACTACCTTTTTTACAGTCTTTTTCTTCCTCTCTGTCCTCCTACGTTTATTTTCATTGTCATTCTTATTACTTCCAATTCCTCTCTGTCCTCCTACGTTTATTTTCATTGTCATTCTTATTACTTCCAATTCCTCTCTTCGTGATGTGGCTAAACTATTTCCATTAATTTTATCTAATTTTATCTACGATCGAAACCATAACAAATCCACCTCTTATATAGTTTTCCTTATCCTTTCGTCACTTCACTCATCTATCTAAATATTTTTATTTCCATTACACTCATTTTCTATTACGTGTTTTGTCTAACACCCAATACTCTGAATCATACAACATAAAATAATATATTTGTAACAATAATATTATCTATTTATCTATGGTTTTAAATACTCAGGATTCTCAAGGACGAAGACTGCAACATATTGCAAAATCTTACCAAGGAAGAATATCGCGAGTTCCGAACTCTAGTCATTGATATGGTACTAGCAACCGATATGAGTTATCATTTTCAGCAGTTAAAAATCATGAAGGCTTTGATAGCATCGCCCGAACCTACGTAATATACCAATTAATATTTGTATATTTTTTTTTTTTTGTATAATTATTTAGTTATAAAAAATTATAATTTATTTTGTTTTGTAAACAATTATATATATTATTTATTGGGTATCAAAAATATAATATGTATTAAGGGGTGTCTATGGTGTCTATTAATTGGGGGGATAATCTTACAGAATCGACAAATCCAAAGCCATGTCAATGGTGCTGCACTGTGCCGACATTTCGCATCCAGCCAAAGAATGGAATATGCATTACAGATGGACAAGTCAACTACTGGAGGAGTTCTTTTTACAAGGTGATATGGAAAAAAAATTGGGACTTCCATTCAGTCCCCTGTGTGATCGTAATAATACATTGATTGCTGAGTCTCAAATTGGTTGGTCTTTCATATAAATTTTTATATTCTGCTTGATTATAATTAGATATAGATAACAAACAAGTAACAATGGTGTACTTTACCCTTTAGGATTTATTGAATTTATTGTCGAACCAAGCATGGCTGTTTGTAGTGAAATGTTGGAGCTAATTTTGGGGCCCATTAATATTGTGAATACGTCTAAGAATAATGAAAAGAAAGCAGTGACCCCCGCCGAGACAAAAGAGGATGAATCGAGCCAGTCCGATGTGGCAAAGGCATGTACAGCAATGAGCTGCAACATTGAAGACACAAAAGAAGAGAAAGACGATATAGATGTAACTGCAACAACTTCTGACACTATTGAACCAGCTGAAAAATCTGAGAAAGATAAAGGTGGAAATTTGTAATATCAAATGTTAAAATATAATATCTGAAGGGAAAGGAAATGTTAAAAATGCTTTTTTAGTCGTACACAGAATAGTATATCAATAATATAAATTATGAAAAATGCAATATTTTTGATTATTCTTTTATGCATTAAATACTGACTTTTTAAAAAAAAAATTATATTAACAACATACATATTTCGTGTATATTTCAGAAAAGGAAAAAACTGCTGATAAACCTGAAGACAAGTTATTCCAAATCAAAAAACCCTGGATTGAATGTTTGACTTACAATAAATTGAAGTGGAAGATACAAGCGGTTAGAGGTAAGTAATGAATTATTTAATCTTAATATATTTCCGTAGTTAGACGCAAGAAAGACGAGTAAAAAAAATATATATTTAAATATATTACAATAATTATGCATATTTCGTTCCATTTTTGGAATTTTTATAAATAAATTTCTTTTTCAACTTCCAGTTTTTATTTTTCAATACATTTTTTTTCACATCAGACTTTTTTGGACCTAACCACAGATTTATATATGATTACCATATTATAAATTAAGCTCTTTATCATTTTATTTTTCAATCCATTGTCTCTTTCCACATTCCATATGATTCTCACAAATTATAAGGCAAACTACTCATTGTTATAATAAAATTTTACTTATCTTTCTTCTTATTCTTAAAAGTAATTATTCATTTACTTTGTAATTACAATTGTAACTATATGTTTCTTACTTTATACATATTATACGATGTGTTAATTATATAAATATTATAAAAAATTTAAAACTTTATAGAAGCTAAACTAAGAGAGTCGAAGACAAAGTACACCATGGCAGACATTCTAATACCACTTCCCGGAGAAATGGATGAAGAAGAATTTATCGCATTATCTTTGCAGGCTGAAAAAGACGCCAAAGAAACTGCTGAAAATGCATCCAAAGAAACTGATGAAAACGCATCCAAAGAAACTGATGAAAACGCATCCATAGAAACAGATGAAAACGCATCCAAGCAAATTGATGAAAAGGAAACTTCGCAAACTGATGAGGGAACGTTGAAAACTGATGAAAAAGAAATATTGCAAACTGTTGAGAAAGAAACATTGCTTACTGATGAGAAAGAAATATTGCAAACTGATGAGAAAGAAAAATTGCAAACTGATGAGAAAGAAATGTTGCAAACTGATGAGAAAGAAATGTTGCAAACTGATGAGAAAAAAACATTGAAAACTGATGAAAAAGAAATATTGCAAACTGATGAGAAAGAAACATTGCAAACTGATGGAAAAGCATCTTCATCAGTAAAAGTGGAATATAACGAATAAACTCTCACTTGCTATATTAATTTTTAACCCCATTAATGATTTTATGAAACGTAATTCTTATTTTTCTCTTTTGGCATTTATTTGTGTTAATTTACATTATATCTGATTATAAATCATAATTCCATTAATTTTCCATAAATAAAAGGAAAAATACATTTTTTTTCTTTCAAATTTCAAATTAATTTCAAATTTATATTAAATATTAAGTATTAAGTCTGTGTGTTTTATTATATTATAGAAAAGATAAAAATTTTCTCACTGCATGGTGTTGAAACACCAAATTAGTTTTATTGGAGTAGTACCAATTGTTTTTTTTGTTTATTTTTTTTACAGCAATGGTACTTTCTTCGTAATTTTTAAGTAATTAATTATTTAAATATATATATATAAGTCGCTAGTACTACTAGTATTATTAATTAAAAATTCTAGTTTGTAAGACTTTTTAATGTTATAAAAGTTAGTTATAAATTAAATTAGCTAGATTACGTTATAACTATATGTAAGTATTTGATTTGTCTACTGGTTCTCAAACTTATTTTACCGAATCGAACCGCCGAATAATAAATTAATATTCTACAGATTTCCAAAACAAGAATAATGGTTTATAATTTTTCAAGTAACAATAATTTTTATCGATTTAATGAAGTTCACAAAATGCCAATTCAAAATGAATCATTTAATATTGTTTCACGCTAGATATAAGTGCAGTATAGTTTTAAATACAAGTTTTAAGTAAAGTCTATACATTATTATAAAACAATTACGGCAAAACCGTAATATTATTATTTGAAATAATATATTATAATATAGTATTGCTATGTTTATATACAATTAAAAATAATATTAAGTACAATACTGTGCCCCTCCCCCCATTCCATTTAAATTGTTGTTTAATGATTTTCTTGGTCTTTTATTTGCAATGTTAAGATATTATGGTTTAATAATTTATTACCCATTTTACTTAAACAGATTACTCAAACTATTACAATATTATACAAATGTATGAACAATAAATAATATGAACAATGAATAATTATAATTATAATTATTATTATTATTATAAATCAATATTTTTCAGAATCAAAAAAAAAAAAAAACATTTTAATAATACTATTATTTAATCAAGCTTTTTTTTTAGGATAACAATTATTATAAGACATACATTATTATAAGTATAATTATTTATTTCAAGTTATTATCAAGTTATTTACATACTATATTATTATAACCATAATTATTTATTTAAAATTATTATCAAGTTATTCACATACTATATTATTATAACCATACGTAGTTTTAGTAAAAATTTCTATACGATAAATTGTCTAAATGTTAATTTATATTATAATATGTTGATTTTAAGATTTTCCTCAAATTACATTATATATCATATAACATTAATTATTATGACGATAATGTATCTTATAGAATCTTATAGAAAACAGTGGATGGCTCCTCCTCATAAAAGGATTTATCTATTATACCAATAACAACAGTCATTACACAAAATCAACTTTTTTTTTTTGTATTATTTGTAAAATTTTGATTAAATCCGTATCAATAATACTATAGATATTGATCTATCTATCAATACCTATTCCGAAATTTTAATTTAAAAAAAAATATAATAATAAAATAAACCGACATACCGAAATAAAAAATTATACTATAAACTATAGCATAGGTGATCTTCCCTTCGCCTATTCTATCGTTTTATTTAGTAAAATTTAATATTTTCGTCCATATATTACATACATATTCAATTCAATGCATACATTTACACAGTTGACATTTCACCTAACTGAGAAGCATAGATAATCTAATAGATTTGTTGTCCCCAGATGTTTCGGCAAGATTGTTGAAGAGCCCCCGCCTTCTCACTACAAAATTTTTCGTAACTGGCTCTCATTCTCCCTCTTTATAAAACGATGACCACCACTGTTAATAATTATTATTATTAGAAATATTTCATTATTATATCACGATAAGATTTTAGTGTCTATAATATAAATGTATGCGTGCATTCGAAAAAAAATTATATTATTATCATAATAGTTATATTTTAAAAATGTATAACATTAAATATTATCATTACAATTTATTATTACAATTATTTCTATTATTATATTATATAATCTATCATAATAATTTTATTATTCATTTTACTTATACTCAATGGTACATTAAACGTTTAAGGACTAGCCTAAAAGACATTAGAAGTTTATATATAAATATTACCTAGATTATGTCGATTTTAAGATTTTTAATATATTTAAATTTATTTAACTAAAACTAAACAACATTAAAAATATAGCAGACTTTGTAATTTAGTAGATACTTAAGTAGATATTCTATATAATAATAATATTATCTTATTGATGTTTATTGTTACTATCGTTATTAGTCTCTATATGTGTGACGATCCAGTTGTTCCTTTGTTTGTGATATCTCGTAAACGACTTTAATTTTACCTATAAAAAAAATGATAGAAGTATTTTTTTTCTTATGATAAACCGACAACCATTTTTTCAGTCAATATAATTCCTAGCCTCATTCAATTAGCTGTAAAAGTACATATGAATTATTGTAATTTTTTGTAATGAAAACCTATGTGTTTTAGCTTAATTTTTCGACACGTTTTGAGTTTAGATATACAGTGTGAATTGAATACGCAGGCAAATAATTCTTAGTACCCTGTGCTATTCAATTTCTAAACTATAAGTATTGTGAAAGATAATAAAAAATGTCAGGTAAAAAACGTCGGAAAATGGAGTTGACAATAGGTTGCCATTAAAAAAAAAAATGATATCTATAATGGTAACAAATTTTAATTTTTTTTCGGAAAATGTAGTTTTATAATTTCTTACCACAAAGTTCTTCCATCTTTTCACCTCGCGTAGTGACTTCCCAGCAGATAATATTACGTCTGTTTCCTAATTCCCTCGAATCATGCCAAATTTTTACCAAAAAGTTGATTTTATCCTCAACGTGTATTATTCCTTCCTAATTTCTTTACAATCTGTCAAAGCACAAAAATATTAACTGAGAAAAATGGTTGATTCGATTCACTACATTTTTATTTGGAATTTTTATTAAAATAACTTATAATATTTATTATGAACACTAAGTTCTTTGAATTAGCATATTAAACAATAATTGTTTGTAGTAGTGTGTGCTTGGCGTTCCAAACGTTTAAAAAAAAAAAAATTTGTTTAGATTTATTAACAGATTTAAAACTCTTCCAATACTTATTAATATATATAAAAATAATAATTTAAAACATTCAACTACAACAAAACGATTTTCTTTTTCTACAAATTTCACTCGAATATATACAACAACATTATATAGCTAATACATTTTATTCTGTTTCTGGTTTAACATAACTAAAGTATTACACGAATGATAAATTAATGAATGGTTATTATTTTATTTTTTTTTCAGAAAATTACATTATAATCATTTATTAATTTGAACACTATAATAATATCATACTCATATTATAGTGAAATTAAACTCAGTACAGCTAAAATAATAATCTTACTGGTCCTAACTATTTTTCATGCAAACTCTTATAATATATTATAATTGATAAATATTATCTCTATATTAATAATGTTATTTTAAAAACGGTGCCAAATTTAAATAAATTAAGTTGTAATATTCAATTTTTATTAACATATTAGCTGATGCAGAATGGTTCAGAAAGCTGTGACTAAATTTTTTTTTATACCAGTGAGATACTTTTTCGATTTTAAATTAGAAAAACCCTTTTCCTAATAAGATTATTAGATTAAATATCGCAATTCATTTTTCTTCATTCTTAAGTAATCAAGTCTTTCCTACCCTCCTCCCCTCGCCCATCTTTCTCCCACTACTTATACCGTTTCTATTCATTCCTATCCTTGACTGACCCTTCCCCCCACCCCGTTCGTGGGGTCAGTCAGTGAGTCACGCTAACATATTTTTTAATATGATTCTGAATCATTTTGTAACTGTACAAAATTTTAGCTATAGTATAATATAACATAGGTAGGTATAAACATTTTATTAATATTATTTTTTTTTTTTATTTACCTTGGAAATATCTTTTGTTCTAAATTTAAAATTTTAGTTTCATTTTTTACTTAATTTTTTTTAAATAATTCTTTACCTTTTTTTATTATTATATATTGTATACGTTCGTTTTTGTTTATTATTAATACTCAATAGATATGACTAAATTGGCGATTTATCTTTCTCACGTTATTAAAATATTTAAACATCGAAAATTTGCATTCATTTCTACAGGGTGATTACAAAAAATGTTGAACATTTTGAACAAAATGAAACCTATCGGTGACGTTTATCATAATCTTATATTTTGTATTGAGTTGTCCAAGAAATTTTTTTTCACCAAAATAATATATACCTAGTCATTTATGAACTGTAATGAAACAGTTATTGGTTTAACCATCAATTTTATGAACTTGACTAGCATTGAAACATCAACAATGAATCGATATATTTTAAATTATACCTTGGTACCGTTAATATCATAATAAACACACGCACAAAACAATGATATATTTTATTGAAATGTAAACATGTACATCTATTTGCAAAAGTATTAAAATCAAGTCTAAGTATATAATTTAAAATTCAAATTTTATTGTTTATATTGACAAAAAAAAACATCCATAATACTAGGTATATTATAATGATGCCCTGTAGATCATTTTATCCGTGTTCAAAATAAAGTATCCGCATTCAAAATTAAAATGATTTTTAACTGTTACAATTTTAAATATCTAAAAAAGTATTATTAATTATAATTATTTGCATTCGTTATTAGTACCTAATAGAATACACGTGTATCGATAGTCATTATATTAAGTTGTTTATGTTATTTTTTTTTTTAATGTTTTATTATGTATACTTTATACTTCAAATGCTATACCTATGTATGTTCTGTATACTATGTTTTTGCCTGATAATAAATCTAAACTTATATAAAATTTGTTTTTGATTAAATATTACTGTTGTCTGCTAACCATCTCTAGATGTAAGTGAAATAGGAATAAGTAATCGCGAACGAAACATCATAATAATTATAGACGTAAAAAGGGGGAGGGGAATAAGGAAGACTTAGTCTTTCTTAAGCAATCTCAAGCCCTACCTATTACCTATTTATAATATTTGATTTGATTTAGTCTTTCAAAAGATGGGCATTAATTAATTAAACATTTTCATTAAAAAGCTATTTTTTTTAGAGGGGCGAAGGGGGCGAATTACCCCAGTGGCAAAATTCTAACAGTTTTAGGGGTGGCAGTTTTATTGAATGTCTTAATTTTTGTTTTATCACAAAATATATAACACTTAATAGCATCATTGATTAATCTATGATTTTATTTTTATAAGTAATATTTAATAGGTAATTGTTATAAACGCTATTGTATAAAAGGACCGTGAGTGATTTTATGTTGAGTACGGTCGCCTTTTATATAGACTTTTTTTCTACACTTTGTACTCCCAAGCATAAATATATGATAAATATATTTTATATATCTATGCCCCCAAGTAATGAGTAATAAGTGATAACATATTAATTGTTTCAAATCATTTTGAGTTTAATGTGGTTTGAGTGAAACGATTGATAACGTATATAATTTACTTATGCTATTATTTGGTATGATTTTTTATTTGAATAAAACACTTTTTTGTACAAATCGTACGTAACAATCGTTTTTTTGTCACTAGATAAAATCGACATTTTAAAAAAACTACTAAAGAACTACGCAAGCATCAGTAAACGACTGATAATAATCGAATGATAAAATATAAACAATAATAATTATAATCGCATGACAATCGCACACATCGCTCGTACCCATAGATACATAAAATATCTAGATAGCAAACTCGTATTTATTATTGAAGTCAGGCATCAGTGAATTATTGATATTTTACAGTTGTTGTTCTTATTATTACATTGTGTTCATTATGAGTTAATAAACATGGAATAGATATAAAAATCGATAACATTTATATCGATGTCGATATTCTATTTTGCAAACGTTTTTACCACACCTGTAAATGGTTAACGACTTCAAATTATTGTCAAGCCAGTATACAGAGTTACAGAAAAAAATTATTTCTAGTTTTTGGAAGGGCTGGGACAATTCCAAAAGTCAAAACCACGTTTTTCTTGTGGAAGGGATTTTCCGAAAATTTCGCAAGTGGTCGTACAAAAGCGTACAAATTCCGTACTAAATATTCGCACAATAAAAGTTTAGACAAATTTAATTTTTTTTTTTTTTGTGAAGGCTGAAAAAACGTTTCTTTATCCCTCCTTTTTGTTTTGCTAATTCCTTTAAAAATAAAGTCCTAAAAATTCTAATTTCCATCGTACAAATTCAAACAAATTGCATATTAAATGTTTATAAAAAAAAATTTAACAAATCTTTAATGAGGAGGGGGGCGTGGGAAACGTACATTACAGATATTGGTATCTAGTTATTTTATATATCTATAAGCGTACCAAATATATCACATAACTCAAGAATCGTGTCACGTTGCAATCGCCTTGTGTGCGGAAGGCCTTAGAAATTGTAAATTGTTAAACCCTAAGATATTCATTTTAAAATATTATTCAAAACAAGTTAAGGGCATATGTTTCAGTAATTGAAAGTAGGGAGGTAAGGTCTGAGGTAGTAAAGAAAAGTAAATGAAAATAAGTGGGAAGGGAGAAAACGGCAATAAAATTGTTTCGCCTAGGGCACATATATTTTAAATGCACCAATAGTTCAATGTGTGTAATTTGGTTTAACTTAAAGATAGTATATCTTCATTATTATTTATATTAATGACCTCAATATTTTTTTATTGTAAATTAAATGTTTAAAAATATAAAAAAGTAAGTCATGATTTGTTGGTGTGGGGGAGAAATACCAATCTACGAATTTGGCAACTTGTAAAAATTTATAATTTTTCGCTCCTTTTGGAAGACTATAATTAAAACTTTTTTATTAAAATTTAAGTTAAATATTAAGTTTTTTGATGTGTATCTAACAATAGTTTCCATGTACGAATTCTGGGCAGGAAAAAAACAGGCAGTTTTTTATTCATATTTATCCACAAGTATGTTTCTAGGCACTTGCACTTCATTAATCAATTGTCGATTAGGATGATTGTGTAATTTCCTTGAAAAAAAATAATTTTTTCACCCCTTGATATACAGACAGTTGCTAAACATCCATTGGTTAGATTTTCATTACATTTCAAATAAATAATTCGTAGAATAAATAAGAGGAAAGATTTAATACTCAAATATACAATAAGGACAAAGCATAATGAAAACTTATAATTGTAATTTATTATTACAGATAATTTTATTAATATTAATAATAATACTTTATGATACTACTTTATAGTAATACTTTTTGGTTTTTAGAATTTTTGTTTTTATTCTATAAAATAACATACATTTTTATAGCCACTTTTTTGCTTTTAAAATATATAAATCCTAAATTATCTTGGATAACTTTTTCATTTTGATGAACACTGTGGGTAAACATATATAAAATTGGTCTGCAATCAACTGGCCAAAACTGAATGTCATTAATAACAAAATCATTGAGTATAACTGTAGTCTGAATTGAAAAGTGAGAACATAGGCATTATATTAAAAATCTTCTATAGCATTTGATAAGCTTATTTTGTCATGGTTTCCAACAGGGCTTTTTTTTTGTAATATCTAAAATATAAATAAGTGACACATTTTGCAAAAACCATCAGATTTAGTGTCTTAACATTTTGAAAAATGTGAAAGATGAGCATAGGTACTAGAGATCAGCACAGTTCAACCCATACCGGGCTTGGACTGGGCTAAGTCATAATATAACTATTGCAGGTTGGATATGGGTGGGATCGTAATTATTTTTCAATGGGCCGGGTCGGTCAAAAATAAAACTACTTAATTTAAGTTGTTAACACAGTGTGTTCACAAAAATAATCTTAATTTTATAAATAATTTTTTTTACACTACTACTCGCTCACAGATGTAGTCAATAGTTATTGGTCAATGTTAAGTATATATTTATTAAAGATGAAAATAACTTTATTTGTATTATAATATACAAATACAATACTAATAAGCGTTAGATAAGCAAATTTTCTTAAACTGGTGGTGTAGGCATTTCACAAATTAAAATAACACAAAATATGTGTATACATATATATTACTGTAAAAATAACCTATATATTTATAAATAGATCATTGATAAAAACAAATCATATTATTTCAACATGAATGGTAGTGGCAATGTATTTTTATTGTGTAATTATGTTTTTCATTTAATTATTTTTCATTAAAATATGGTCAAGGCTTTAAATTGTAGTAATCAGACTAGAATTTAACAAAACAAAATTATACTGCCAAATGATGAGTCAGGTCAAACCAAGATGGTGAAAAAAATTATAAACTGGTCTGGTCGGATAGGATTTAAAAAAATTTACTAAGCGGCCTGGTCAAGTCAAACTTCAAAAAAAAATTATGGACTGGGATTGGGCAGTGACAATTTTTAAGTTTAAGTTTCGGACTGGGCCGAAAAAATAACCCATCCTGATCTCTTATAGGTACTACATTAAATGTATACAAAAAAAAATAATATTAATTATCTGTCATAGACAATTCATAGTATTATAATTAAACATACTATCTGCAGCTTCAATATCATGGCCCATTTCAATACTTTCATGAACTTAAAACATCTTGAACTGAAAAATGTAATTATTTATTTATTTACAGCTTAACTTTAAACAAATATAAATTATTAATTTAAGTCTACATTGATTTTCACTAAACTACCTACTCATTATATTGAATAATGTTAGTATTAAAAGATTGTGAAAAAAAAATGAAATAATATTGGCACCTATATTGTTTACTATTATTATACGTAGGTCTAGGTCTAAAAACTTATCTACTAGGTAATAAATAGTCATGATCGATCAAAAGTCTATGTTGATTAATGTTCATTTTGATAAAATATTTAAAACATATAATATTCAAAATCTTAAAAATTATTTGAAATATTTGGTATATTATACTGTAATGAAATAACTTTGTCACCATTGTCAACCTTTACACTAATAAATTTGCCCTAGTGAATCAATTTGTATTGAAAGGGAAAACCACAATTGATTGAAAGTTATAACTTATAAGAAATGAAAAGATAGAATAAAATAAAATCTAATAATATCGAAATGATGTCGCAAAACAACTCAAAGATAAACTCTATGTGTATACATGGAATATGGAAATATGTTAAAAATAAACGTTTCAATAACAGTATAGGTACCTAAAGTTATGTCCTTTAATGACGTAAGTTCTTCTGATGAAATTTCCTTGGCTTATAGTACTAAGAATGGTGTCGCACTTGATCAACTAGGAATACCTTTAATCTACCAAACAATGTATACTTTAGTATTGATGATGTTTACCATAAGCTTTATAGTCTACGGGGTGTTGGTTCTGTTGGTCCTGATGGTCTCTCAGGTATATTTTTATATGAGCCAAGGGAAATGTTGGTATATCCTCTATAGGTCTTAATTAAGATTTCTCTAGATAATGGTTCGTTCCTATCTGTGTCTTATACTTAGCTCAATTACGCCTGTTTTCAATTTAGGGTGTCATAGTCTAATTACAAATTATTGGTCAATAACCATATGGAATTCAAGGACCAACAAACAACATTCTAATGGAATAACAGCAAGGTTTTCATCCAGGCCATTCTACTTTCACTTGTAATCTTCTATTTTCTAGCTATATCTTTAATGATTTTTAAAAATAACCCCAAGTAAATGTAATATATAACGACTTTAAGAAAGCTTTCTACTCAATTGACCATGGCACCCTTATTCTTGTTTTTAAACAATATGAATTCGGTGAGCTATTACTATCCTGGTTTAGTTCCTATCTTATTGACAGGTATCAATGTGTTAAGGTGTTGAGCATTAAGTGTAAAATATATCTAGCATCATCTGGTATCCTCCAGCTGTCTCCAATCCTTTTTTTCAATATTTATTAACTGTAACTATAATGTTCTCTACCACTGTCGTTTTATATATTGTGCTGATGACATTAAACTCTTTATACGAATATGCTCAATTGAGGACTGTCTGAAATTGCAAACTGACATCGATAGATTTTCTGTTTGATCCAACAAAATGGGTTTATTACCCAATCTATCTAAATGTAAAGACATATCATAGGATACAACTATCAATTGACTTCAACTATAGACTTAATAAAACAAATATTTTGCGGAAGTTGAATTCTATTATGGATCTTAGCTTTAAATTTAATTATAATCATGTCCCCAAGTCGCATATAGATTGTGTATGCTACAAAGCATTTAAAGCACTTGTTTATTATGCTAAAGATTTTTAGCAAGGAATAGTACTAAAAGTATTATTCTGTTCTGATATCATTCCTATTCTTGAATATGGTTGTATAGTATGGGATCCTTATAGTGCCAATGACTCACTGTAGCTTCAGCAAGTTCAGCAAAAGTTTTTGTGGTTTGTCAGCTTCATACTCAAAATACATTATCCTCAACACAATTACGCCTCGGTAACTAACTTACTTAGCTTTTCCTCCCTAGCCAAGCGTGGGCACACTGCTTGAATTAAATTTATAATTGGTTTATTGGATGGCAATATTGACTCACCTAGTATATTATCACTTTTATGTTTTAAGGTACCCCAGGAGGGAACAAGAGCCACCATTCCCTTCTATATTCCTTTTATATATATATATATTCCTTTTTCATTAAGATTCCTTAAAACGTGGTTAAGGGCAAGAGAAGGGAGAAGAAAAATTACCTGGGTTATATTCATAGAGATATTAATATTAAGAATAAAAATAACATTAATAACCTTTTTTATTTTCTGTCTAAACAATTTTTTGAAAAAAAAAACTGCTCCAATATATAAAGTTTAGCACCTTTTCTGAAAAAAAATATTATCTAGGTGGTGCATAAAAAAGGTCAAGAAAATTATAGGTAAAATATCAAATATAGAATTCATTTTTGCATCTTACGTTTTCTACCAGATATATTGCTTCAATTGAAACAAATACAATAGATCGATTTTGTTGCATTTTAGATCTAGATGCTCAGAATGGTCGTTTTTTGATTATTTATTTAGGTATTTTTCATCATAATAAGGAAAACAGGAAAAACAGGAAAATAAAAATGAACAAATTTATGTATAATTTTATTATTTTAAACTTCTACTAGAAATCTTGTTTCAATCAAAAACAACAGGAGATCTTTTTGTTGCATTTATAAGAAATACAAATATAAAAAAATTGGATTATCAAATTAGATAGTTAGGCAAAGAAGTTCTGAAGATTATCATTAACATTAAACAGACAGTGGATCAGGGGATTGGAAGTTCAAACCTTTCAAAGGCACATCATGGACAACAATTCTATACATACACATTTTAACCAAGTTACTTACTTTCATGAGTCTGTTAATGGTATTTAATATGGCATTTAATTTTTACTGTGAAATAAAGATATAAAAATTGATGGAGTGAAACCACTAAATGGAAAATCTATGATACTTGCACTATGTATAAACAAAATTTCCTACTATAAAAAACTCCAGTTCCAGAGTTCTTTTTGGTCTAACAAGAACTGCTAAAATGTTCAAATGTATCAAGTAAATAATATATATATATATATATAGGTGTATTCTAGTATACTCTATATATTTATATAGCAGATCCAATATAGTGCAATTGTACTATTTTTTAAATTAATTAAATAGAAAGTATAGGTTTCTTGTTCCTCTGACCAAAATACGAAATTTATTTATGCATGTATGTCCATTTTTAGTTAAAAGATGGATAAATAAAAATATAGTGCATTTATTTACATCAAAAATGGTATTAAATACCGGAGTTCATTAAAAAAGTTAACTAAAACTCATTATGTATAAAGGAATTAATAATTTTTCCTACATTTTTATCAAAACCTTTAATTAGTAACACTTTATTATTGTTCAAGCTTCTTTGTTGAGAAATCTTTCCATTTAGACAGCATACAATGATTCTGAAATAAATAAAACTGTGTTTATATTGCATATATATTATTATTATTATTACATGCATATATTATATTTATAATATTAGCTTTTTGGTTGGTCAATCTTTAAATCCTATTTTAAACAAAAATAAACTTAGTCACCAATTTTAATTTATTTTATACTTAAAATTATTGAAGTTTTCATTTTTATTGACTTATTTAATAAATGTAAATTTTGACAGAAATTATGACAATTATTTATATGGTATGCAAATGGTATTATTGCCTAATAGAATTGAATACACTGATCAACAAGTTGATAGTAAATTCTGTATAAATCTTGTCTCAGATTTATAATATTCAATCTTATTTTTGAGATCATTAACTCTTAAATCTGAACAATTATGTAGTTAAATTCTAATAGAAAAAAAAAATAAAACATTTTATTGGTTCCCTTAAATATAAATTTATTGTATCATTAAAGAGCTGTACAAAATTTAAAACCAAACTGTTAAAATTGAATTTGATGTTAGTTATTTATGAAAAAATTAATTTAAAATTTTCACTATAGCCTTTTTTTTTGGTATAAATCACAATCACAAATTAACAACCAACACAAAAAAAATTGTATAAGAATTTTTAAAAATCATTGTTGTATTTGCTACAATAGAGGAACTGACATAATTACTGTCAATAGAAAAATATCTGAAATTTTGAAAAATGTGTTCTATTGTAAATACTGTATTTATTATGAATACTTCTTAGTTATAATTTTTTTTATATATTAAACATTAAGATAAAATTATAAATAGTCTGAACAAATTGTGTATTTAATCTTGATTTCAGAAATTTTATGAACTACAAGCTGTCTTAACTGGCTTCACCCCATGCAATATAAAAATTTCCAAATAAAATTAATAAATAAATTATCATTATATTATATGCTATTACCAGAAATAAGGATTGCACTACTAAAATTAATAATAATTTTTTTTCCATGTTCCCATGGGTAACCCATGATTCAACAAAAATAATTATATTTTTATACTTAATATCCAAAAATCCGAATTTTATGGAATTTTAATAAGAGTGGATTTTGATGGCTATAAACCTTCTCTAGACAATGTAGAACAACTTCCTAAAGTGGCATAGTGATCAGACAAATAATATGATAATGCATAACTAACATACTTTCTTTTATATATAAGTAGTATATAAATGAGGGTTCTGAACCAGATTAGTAAAATGTAATTTAGGTACCTAACATCAGAAAATATTTAATAGAAATTATAGTTAGATTATTATTCTCTAATCTTTATTTACATTATTTTCTTTTTTGTTCTTTGTTGACATACTTTAATTTGATAGTATTTAAAAAATTGAATTTAATAATATTTAAAAATCAATTTCTAATTTTTCCATTCACATACTTTAATTTCATAATATTTAACCCTTTTGTATCTGACCAATTAAATGTTTCATGGTTAAATATCTTGGAAACAATGGGTTTAAAAATTAATCTCGATTTATCATTAAATATATTCCTCTTATTATTCATTTATTAAAACAGAAATATTTATATTTATTAATTATTTTTAAAATTAAATAATATTTAAAAAACTATTTTCACATAAACATTGCTCTTAAAAAATAAATATTATTATTATATTACACATCAACAGATATCATTCTTTTTTATTATTTATTTTTATTAAATTGTCAAGGTAATCTCAGAAACTTTCTCTTTCTATTCCTCTTGAAAAATGTCCCCAAGAAACAGTATCAATACTATTTTCTAGAATATATCTTTTGTTGTCATATGGACTAAGAGCTTTTTTAAATTGATTAACAATATAAATATCATGTTTATCTATTCTGAATGTATTCTGTTTAATATATTTTGAATGTTTAATAATTAAACAGTGTTTAAAATCATTGAAACATAATTAATTTTTAACTATGCATTTTTTACACCTTTCAATCTTTTATTTTCGTTTTCATTTTCATGTATTTTAAATAAATATAATTTAGATTTTAATCCAACAAATTCAGTCATTATTTCACCTTTAAGTTCATATTTGAATTTATCAAGAACTCTTTTACTTATTAAGGTATTCCATATTTTTATTCTCAGAATAATCTGAAAAATCAAATTCATTTAAAAGTTGTTCATTATTTTTACATCTGTATAAATGTCATTAGTTGTAATTTGTACTATTAAAAAGTCTGTATCTGTAAATAATAATCTCATATTTTTTCCATATATTTTGAAAAAGTATCTATAACATTTAACATATACATCTGTATAATTCAGGTTATCTAACCTGAATTTTCATTGCTATAATTTTTCATTATAACTAAATCAGCAGCCCATAAATCATCAATACCATGTTTTTTTATTCTCCTTTTAGAAATCAAGATCTTATTGGTTTATAAAGTTCTTTTTCAATACTTAGTTTATTTTGTTCTGATATTTTTTCAAATTTTATTTTAGATGTTTCTTTTCCTAAAAGGGTTTTAATAAATTTACTTTTGTTTGTTTTACATTTTGAACATTCTTGAAATTCTTAAAAGCTTGTTTGTTGTTTGAACCTTGATTGATTTAAAATTTTTAGTTTTCTTTTTACATTTGTGACAGTGTCTTGGTTCTAAAAATTCTTTGTCCATATTTATTAACATTTTATGTTAATAATTCTGCGTTAAAAATAATAACATTATCTGGCTGTCTAGTAAGATTTAATACATATATTGGTCTTGCTCTTTTTAATTAATTTAAAATGAGATAAATAAGAGGAAGTTCTTGATGTGTTTCATGGAATGTTTTCTTATTGACACACACATATCATATGCAAGCAAAAATGACTCATATTTCCAATCTAAATTTAATGATTCATGTGGATATCTCTGTCCATCAATTTCTAACTACATATTTTTTACATTTCATTGATCAAATACAGAAGCTTTCCTTAATTGTGTTTCTAATCCATTTGTTTGAAAAACTACAATAGCAAATAAATTATTATAAATATTTCTATATGTGCTTGCGATAATTCTCTTGAATGTTTTACCACTTTAGTTGGTTTCATCCATACATTGCTAAGATTTAAAATCTAACCTAAAATTATTTTCTTAAGATAATTTTATTAATTCATTTATTAATTGTATTTTATATATTTTGTTATATTCTACTGATGTAATTGTAATCTTAAAATCCTCAATGATAACTTTTCCATCAGCATGTACTGCAGTAGTTGAAAAAACCTATAAATAAAATGTATCATGGTCTCTAGCTATCTTAAAATTTGTTTAATTCCCCCTTTGAAAATTGGATATTGAATATCTTTAAAGAAACCTAAACAACAATTAGATAAATTCCCAACAGCTTTGAAACTACCTCCACCTATAAATCTTGATTTAAATCCTGCATTAATTGTTGAACAGTTTTGATCTAATGAAAAACTAACACATCCTTTGTTTTTTTAATATTAAGAAAAATATGTAGATTATCATTCTCAGGATAGGATTTTACCTTATGATTTCACAAAACAATTATTTGATTTTAATGAACCAATATATTATTCTAATTCTACCTTTGAGGTTATATTATATCCAAGAAAAAATTCAGTATGTACCAGAAAGATATCAAAAGTTTTATTTATTAAAAATAACTAATATAATGCACATTTAACTGTATTAGATAGACAAGTTAATGAAATTTATGAAGAATGGTCTTTTGAAACCTCTAAACAATACCTGGAAATTGTTCTAGCCAAAGGATTAATTTTTGATTCAGAAACCTGATTAAACAAAAAGTACTAATTTAGGTATATTGTTTTATAAATTTTAATAAAATCTAAACACAAATGTCCATAAATAAGTGGATCATTGTAATCTTGAAATCTTCTGGATGTAATTTTAAGATTATTTTCTCCTAAATATTTTACTAATTCTTTTGCGGATTAGCTTTACTATAGGAATCAAAATAAATTTTTTAATTTTCATGTTTTATCCATGCAACCCATTGCAATCCTTTTTCATTTCTTTATTATATGGTTTTTGTTCTTTTTCTGGTGCTCTCTTACGTTTTCCTTCTATAATAGTATTTACAAGAGCACTTACCGCTTCAGCTAATGCACTTGCAGCTCCTATTCCAGCAAAAAGTAGTGGAAGAAATCCACCTTGATCCTCTCTTTTCTTTTTTTAGATTTCTTTAATTAATTTATTTGTGTTTCAGTTAAGTTAAACTTTTGTTTTCCTATTTCAATTTGATTGTTTGTTAGTTGAATTTGTACACCTATATTTTACTATGTGCGGATTTAATTTTTTCAATTGTACATTGTTTAAATTGAGATCCATTTATAATACAAAATATAAATTTTTTTTATTTAAATAAGACCCAGTTACTAGTTGTCTTTTTACTTTTATTATATAACAGTTGCAAAAGCTGCTGTTTTTCACCTAAAGATGTTTCTGGATTTCCATACATATACTTTGCCATATTTTCTAAAATTAAATCAGCTTTATGTCTAGATTTAGTATCTTTATAATTTTCTTAGTAAAAATCATGATTCATTGAGATTTCATCTAGTTTGTTTCTTAGATTTCATAAAAGGTCCGAAATAATTATAACCTGGCCAATGCATTCCAGATATAAATTATTAACAAGTCCAGATCCACTGATCACATTCTTTGGTAAACTTGCAATAAAAGAAACTAGATATTTTATACCAAATAATTTACAAATAATTATAAAAATAAATATACAAATAATTTTTCTATTTCTTTAGTTACAAAATGTATAATACTTCATTTTTCATAGTGAAAATTATTATTCCCTGCTCCTTCTTCTGCAGCCATAAAATATAATCTTTTTAACAATTCCTTTAAGTTATCAATGTTATTTTATTGGGTTTTTTGTATAATTTATTAAACCAGATCCTTGTACAGTTTGTGATTTGTTATTTTCACTGATTTTATTCCACATAGGATGGATCAGATTCATGTATTTATTTATTTTTTTTGTGTTTTTATTATTATTCTGATATAATGAATCTGTTTCAATTTTTTCATAATTCTTAATCATCATCAGAATATAATGTTTTATCTATATTTTTATTATATGTTCATAATCTCCATAATCCTTGTGTTCCTTTATAGGTTCATTTGAAATAATATCGGTATCTTTAATATGAATCTCATTTTTACATATCATATGCATATTTGTTCCATAATTATGGAACATCCCAAATTTAACATCTAATAATTTAGGTAAATATTAAACTGCTACAATACCTACTTTGTTATTAATAAATTAATTTTAATCCTTTGTTTCTAAGTCTCTATCTCTAATCATCTTTCATTGCATGGTAATAAAATCTGATGTTTGAGTTAATGGTTTCACAGAAACTAAAAATGATTCAATATCATCATCTGTTTTTCTAACAGCTTGTTCAACATTTTTTTAATCCTTTGGCAATAGATTCAAACTTTTTTTGTTTTTTTATTTCATCATTTAACTTTGCCTCATCTTTATATATTTTTCAAAATTAATAGTTTCATTAATCTCTGCCTCTATTGGTTCTTTTTTAGGGTGTTTTTCTCCTCAAAATGTACTATTTTTTGAATTTTATTAGATTTTTTAAGTTTAATCCACTTTTAATTTTATTCTTAAGATTGTTTTGAATTTGTTCAAGTATTCTCATTTATTATAAAAAAAATACATTTTTATCAATAAATTATCATTTATTAATCGTCTTCATTAACTCATGTTTGATGTTTAGTGTTCACATAAAAATTGATCTAATTTATTATAAAGATGATTATTTGTTATATCCATTGATAAGAATCCAACTGGTTTTTTTCAATTCAAAATTAATATAATGGCAAATAAGGAGTTTTTTTATTGTGATCTAGCAATTATCTATAAAGATTTTATATCTTTTTTAGTAAGTTCAAAATTGCTTAATGATTTTATTAACAATATTTTACCTAAAATATTATTTGTAGCTGCTACCTCCCAAAGTGACTATAGCAAAAGGAGGAAGACAAAATTATTTACAATTATTTCATAATCACCCAACCACGAAAAAAAACTATAACAGACATCCAAAGTAAATTTAATTTCAAATTTTTGGATTCTGAACACCCCAGGAAAACATTGGTTTTACTATAATGTAAATTTTATTTATCTGTAAATAACTATTCTATCAAATACCTAGCTTAGATTTTCCAGTATAACATATTTTCTAAAAGCCAATTTTAATTTGTTGATGAGGAAATATTTTAATTTCCTTGCAATTTTCCAAAAATTGGAATTGACTTAGGAAAAACTGAAAAATGTTGAGCTATAACTGTTACATTGTTTCCAATTTTATTTTTAGTTAAAATAATAGTAAAAACCAGCAATCTTAACAGAATATATTTATTATATAGCTATTTCTAATGTTAAGTGTTAAAAATATTCTTTATCAATTATTAAGCAATTATTTATCAATTAATAACTATTTTTAATTTCAAGTTTATTTAGTTTTTACTTGTATTTATTGGAATGAAATTATTTTGACAGAACAGAGCAGAAATATTTAAAAATTGTACACAAAATTCACTATTAGATGTAAAAATTAAAAATCATGGCATTTTAATATGTTTAATATAACTTCACACAAAATATTTTTCTTTTAGCAATAATTATTGTTGTGTACAGATTTAGATTAAATAATTCTATGTATCCTATCTTCACAACTTCATTAAACAATATCATACCCAACAGCAGTATTAGTTTTTTTGTAAAACACAACTGAATTTCATAATTAAGAGTAGGAATAAATAGAAAAAAAATTATACAAATTGGTTGTTTAACATACAAATAATTTATTTTAATAGAAAAGATTATTTGAAATGGGTTATTATTAGACATAAATATAAGAAATATAAATTATATTATTTGGTTATTATATTCATTTTTTAAAATGTGTTGATATAAGATATTTATTTTCATTATTTCATTATATATATATATATAATTATAATAACATATATATATATGTAAACAATGTAAATTTTATTTTAGGTATTTAATATCTCTGTCTGTATTAACATCAAAGCTTATATTATAGTTATTTTCTAAACCATGTCTAGCGAAATTTGAATAAGGGGCTGTCTTTTTTAATTTTATTTCAGAAATGAAGCCCATTTCCCCCTGACCCCCCCTTTTTTGGAACTTCAAATTAAAACCTGTGTCATTGGTTTGTATCTTTTTTATACCTGATTGTACAGCAAGTTTGTACTTCAAGGCTCATCTTATTAACACTATTTTTAAAAAAAGGGACTGGGGAATGTTAGCCCCCTGTTTTTGGAATAAAGGTATGAAATAATAAAAGTGTTGAGGTACAAACAACAGAACATGTGATACAATTAGCATTGGTTTAAATTTGAAATTCCAAAAGAGGGGACCGGAAATGAACCTTCAGAAATGTGTTCTTTATAACTTATTTTAAAATTTCTATTTATCTTCATACCTATATAAAATGTATTACAGTTTTATTTAAGTTTATATATACCAGCATTTACAATAAAAAGGGGAATTTTTTGTGACATTTTTAGGTCTATTGTTTATATGTTTGATTAAATTAATATTAATTTAAAAAGTGATTTTTACATTATCTGTATTATTGTTCAGCAATTGTTTTAGCAAATTTATTAGACATATAATTTGATATTTCACACTACAATAGTTAAAAAAATTATTCGGTAAATTATATATTATTTTGTCTTTAATACGTTTATAAATTTGTTTAATTTTCAAATTTTGCTAAGCATTTTTTGAAACTAACCATAATATATATAGAGATATTAAGTACCCGAAATAATATATATATTAATTTAGTAATTACAACTGAATTACATTTATAAAATGAAATAACGAAAAATAATTTTAATAATATTTTGAATGTACAAACATATTTAAAAAATAATACCATGATGATGAATTTTTAATTTGAAACCAGTTGTATAATACACTTATAATACTCCAGGTAATGCATTCCATTAATTTATTTTTTATTTTTATAAATTTATCTACTTTATTTACAAGTATTCATCCTTTTAATAATTTTGTTTTTACTTTATTATTTTATTATGTAATATAGGTATTTAAATCAATCATACATTTTATAAAACTATTTATAAATAAATATTATATATTATTTATAAATAAGAATTTAAGATTCCTTGAGTTAGTTTTAGCCTATTTTTTAGACAATAAATTTGTTTTTAAAAGTTATTTTCAATTTAATAAAACTTATCAATTAAACATACATAATTGTAATAGAAAATTAAAAAGTACATACTTGGGAACCATATTCATATTATTTTTATATTCTTTAATTGTATTGTTTATATCATCAAATTTCATTGAAGTAGTTCCCAAAAAAATAAAAAAATCATATTTTTTTTTATTGACTTGAGCCCATTGAAAAGTTGTTAAAGGATTTATTACACGACAGTTAAAATCATTTGGAAGATCTTCCTCATAACTTGGCAAAGGCTAAACATATTTTATATTAGAAAATACTAAATAGTCAATAAATGTGTACACATAATATCTATTGATTAAAATTACCTTAAACAGAGCAGATTCCACATTAGCAAATGTCAAAGGTTTTGAATAATCAATTTTCATGTTATTAATGCACTGAAGATTTTTTTCATTTAAACCACGTAAAGTTGGTTTATTATGTCCATTAGGGTAAATTAAAGACAATATTATTAATGTTATTGCTTCATGAACTGTTATTAAATTAGAATATTCGCATTGTTTTAACTTCATATAAACACTACAATCAAATGCTATAATTATACTAGCATTAAAGGGTTTCAAAGTCTAAGGAAAAAAAAATATACACATATATATTCTAATAAATATCTATGAATAATATTTTTTTTATAATGACTATTGAAATTAAATTCATTAATAAATACCTTTAAAGTGCTATCAACTAGATTTTCAGACAAAAAGGTTATCAATTCTTTAACCAATTTTGGAGCTGGAAATAATTTTAAATTAACAGCTGTAGGAGCATTATTTTTTTTTTCCTTAAATTTTATACAATTTTCTCCAGAATTTATATAGCATTTAAAATTATTTTTTATATATTTTTTTTCTTTGTTCATTTGTATGAATATTTTTTTTTTAATATCAAGCGGTTTGTTGAATATAGTTTTTTCTCCTTTTTGCATTTTTTTAATATTCCTTAAATTATATAATAAGTATACATAAAAGTATATGTTTTATAAATTTCAATATTTAATAAACAAATTTATAAATTAATCACTACAGTACACTACAGGTATATTAAACTGCACTTTACTCACAATAATGTTCTTGAATATCTGGCATATTCTATAAAAGGTTCTATAGGGTGTATTCCTGATTGATTTAGTTCTAATGTATCATTAAACCTTAAAATATAAGCATCAACCCCATTATAAAGAGTATTGTTTTGAAATAATCTGGCTTTTGAAAAAGGAAATGTGTGGTCCAATACCATTTTCAGTGGCATATTTTTAAGAAGAACAATTAAAATCTAGAATGTATATGAATTTAAAATTAAAATAATAAATTGGTTTACAAAAAAAATGTAACTTACTTCTTTATTGTACAATATCCATTCAGGTATAAGTTCAATTCTCCACCTAAATAATTCAATTCCTTTTATCAATTGTGGTTTACTAATGCTTTTTATTTCTTTTAATTGCTTTAAAAATATGTAGATGGATTTAAATTCATTATACTCAATGGCATCATCAAATGTATTTATAATTGGAGCATTATTGAATTTATATGAGAATTGTTCTTCAACTTTTTTCATGCCAAATATTATATAAACAATGAATAATTGTTGATCTGTAAATTAAAAAGTACTATAATTGATAATTTAGTTACTTATAAATTATTTTTGTTTCAATACTTATATTATCAGATTTCAAATCAATTTTTTTCATTATTTCCTTATGTGTCCAGCCATAATAATGTTTATGATAAACTATAGTATGTATAGTGTCTATTGGAGACCTATTTAAATACCAACTCTTCACAGTATTTTTAAATCTATCATCAAATCTCAATGGTATTTTACACATATTTTCTAAAAAAAAAAAAATTACATTAAAATACATAAATACATTATTATTTGGTTTAATATTTTCCTTATTATAAATTGTGAACTCATGGGCCTCCACACAAACCTGTTAAGTGAGGTCTATTATCTTTTCAAAGAAATAAATAATAATAATATTACTAGAAATTGTACTAAATTTTGAGATTTATAGAACAAGAAATAAAATATTGAATTATGAAAATTTGCCTATTAAAATTTAACTTTACTTAAAATACACATATTTTTTTTTTTACAATAGTCACATCTCCTATGTTAGATTAGATATATGTTATTTCCAAGCACTCTGATTATTAAACCTACCAGAAACTATTTCACAGAATTTAACAAACATTAATAACTTTAATCCATTAGTACAGATTAATGATACTGCTGCATAAGCATCAGATACCATCTTTTCACATTGTTCCAAATTAAATCTGGTACAAACAGCCAACACAAAAATTAAACTTTGATAATCATGGAGTTTGCCTTCTTCTTTTATCTGAAAAGTTAAAGAATTACAGTTTATTATAGTACCTTCAAACCATATTCAAAAGTTGTGATTTCATTACTGATGTAATTACTTTTAAAATAATTGGAACAATAGTATTGATCTCATTGATATCATTTTTTTTTACAATTTGTTCAATTATTTGTATACCAATTTTTCCAATATAATCCTGATTTTTTAAATACTTTTTTCGTAATGCTGGTGGAACATACATATATATTTTATTTCCCAGATAAAAATATCTACGCAATTTATACTCTATTATTGTTCCCATGTTCACAAAATTATTTTTCAACTAGAAAAATATCACAAAATACATCTACACATGAAATTTTATAAAGAAAACATATAATTAGTAGGATAACTATCAAAACATAGGCAGATATTTGATTGAATTTTAGGGGAGGAGACATAAATCTTTCTTTACAAAATAAAGCGTGGGATATGTAAATTCGCACACACACCCCCTCTCAATTCACAATTACTGCACAACTACTGAATTACCAACTAAAAAAAAACAAATACTAAATATGCACTACTAACTACGTATGCATTTTAAAAATCATAAATTTATAATACAATAAATATATTTTTATTATTTAAGTACTATAAACTTATTTTTACTAGTAAATACCTATATCAATATTATTCTCAATATTAATATTAATATCTTTTTCAATAGAAAATATTGAAGAGTTATTAAATCTTTCTTACAGCATACTCATATGTACCCATTTCTTAATGGTTAGGTTAGGATGACAAGTATAAAAGTAAATATAATTATTTTATTAACAAAATTTCAGAGAAAAAAATATTTTGTTAAGTTCCAAGATTTAGCAATTGTTTTAAAATAAAAAACTATTTCATACTTTGAAAAATATTCTATAATTTTAAGGGGGTTTTTATCTTTTGGGGGACTAGGCTCCCGAAGCAACCTCCAATCTACCTATGCTCCACCTATGATATCAAATTAAATATAGTAAGTACTTACTTACTTTCTTGGGTAAGTAAAAATTATTTAACTAATTAAAAACAATTCAAATCATTTACAAATAATAATATAACATTAATCATTTAAAAATTGTTTACCTATTTGAGAAAAATAAATTTAAATTTTGAATTAATATAAATGACAAACACTGGGACTGGATATCAACTACTAGTTGATAACTAACAATAAAAAGAACATTACAAAATAATACAGGAAAGCCATATCCTTAGATCGTGTATGGATCATAATATGATCAAGGCTACATCCATAAGCCAGTGTAGCCAGAACAGAAAACTTATATTTTTCTATACCCATGTTAAAATTTGGTTGGGTATAGTTTTCCAGAAACTTTACAAGAAAAAAATGTCGTGGAATATTGAATTTTTAAATACACAAACATGAAATAAATTATGAATTTATATATTTTGATGGAGGAAATGTCATGTAAAACCGCGATTGTCAATTTTCTGTAGGTAATTAAAACATGAAGATGAGCGAGTTTGACTACATCCTTCCAAAAGTATACTTTTTTTATTGATAATTAAACTGTTGAACTTCATCACTAGAAAGCTTTTTAAAAACGATTATAATTAATTTTATTTATACTATTTTTATTGTAGTTGAATGTACAAGCAACAATAAAATATTTGACAGCATAAAAATACTTACTTAACTAATTAATAAAAACAACACAATTATAAATTATAAAATATAGTCATACATTTTAGATCCCGAGTGTAGCTAAGAATATAAGTATTAATTTTACAAAGATGTTTATTTCTTCTTTTATTTTTATATGAACACTTTCTTCCAGAAAGCTTACTCGGATGTATACAATGTAGACCCTTTTCTGAAAGAAAATTTTCTAGGGTGGTACTTTAAGAAAGTCATTTTTGATTTTTCCGGCAGTGTTCCCAACAAATATGAAAAACTGGGAAAAAACATGGAAAACCCGGGAAAAACGTAGAAAAAACGGAAAAATAGGTAGAATATTAAACAAATATTATTAAAGAAAATATATAATGTCTATTTAATTATTTTACCATAATATGACATATATATTGTTGACAAAGCATCACTATCAATTGAAGTCAGCTAAGAATCGTTTTTAGTAAGCAATGGTTTATCATTGCTTACAGATACATAAATTAATTTCCCCTCTATATCCTACCTTCCCAACATCTCATCAACAACTAAAACAACTTTGTTTGTTGGCTAAGGATTTTGTATCTATCTACAATTTTAAATTGTTTTTTTTTTTATCATTTATGTGGCGGTACGGCGCGCGGCATGTTAATAACAATGATAATGTGTCCTAGACGCCGCGCCGATGGTTTAACAAGGAGAAATAATAATTCTGATGAAGATGATGAAAAGTCACCGAGATGGTCACATTTTGTGACTGGTGAAAACGAATTTCATATATATGCGTCACAACTACCGACAGCCGCAGTGCACGCTGTTTAGTCATAACTCATGAGCATGTTTTCGTGACGTGTACTGTAGTTATAAAAGTATCCGCTACACGTTCCCACGTTCTCCATCGTCTCTGTCCAGCATTCCCTATATAACCACAAATACTAATCTCGTATATTATTTTTGTTCTATGGTCTCGTGTTTACACTTATGACTTGTCTGTATTTTATATTCTTTTAAGTTCAGACTGCGTTACATTATACTGATTAATGGTATTAGTATAATATTTATCGCAAATTCACAAACCGTAATAACAGTAAGAGTACCGCGTATTAAGTTCAAAATAAATACCCAATAACCTACTAATTTGCTGATTTTCATGATTTTTAAACCGGTAGTACAAATATATATTATTTGGCTGTTGTGCCTTTTAAAGATGATTTTTCGGAAGAATATGTTTCTTAAACCGTGGTGCAAACCGATCTGACTACGTTTTCTTAACATTTTTTTCTGAAAACTGTATACTAACCACAAACATTATATACCTAACCTAACCTAACCTAACCATTACCCCGTGTTTATTAGTATAAGGTCTATAATACTACCCAACATAGGCGCAACTTGATCACCAACTTTGGGGGTACTAAAATTATGAACATATCAAAAACCCATAAGAGCTATGCTCCCACAATCTCCTTTGCACGGCTCGTACAATAGTCAGTTATACCTTTCATTTAACATTTTTATATACAAATTTATACAACTATTTTAATATTATTTTTCATACAAACAAATGCATTGTCTGTAGGAAACTTGTATTTTGTTCTGTTTATTAATCATAAAATATATCATAGATAAAATATTTAGTCGTTACTATGAAAAAGCTGATTGGGTTTTTGGAGAGTGCTAATTTTAAACTTGGGGGTGCAAAATACCCCCTAGCATTCCCTTAGTTGCGCCTATTTTTGTACTTTTTATAACTACCTATTATTAGTAAAAAAAAAATCCTAAAATGTATCTTACTAAAATTTTAAATAGGAACAAGTTGACTCATAAAACAGTAAATTTTAAAGTGTGTAATGATGTTAATTAACATATTAGGTAATTCTATTAATCTAAAAATTTGATCAGTAGTTTTCATTAAAAATATACATGTTTTTAGGTAGGTATCTATTGATTTATATTGAACAATTTGTAAATGTATATTCATTTTAGATACTTCGAAATGTTAATAATCATACTACTGTAGGAAGTTTTGACGAAGACAATTCACTTGCAAAAGTTTTGTACTTGACACTTCTAATATTTCTCTGGAAAGTTCAAATAAGGATAGGTTAATGAAACGATGTGCGCCTTGCCGCCAAACAAATGATACAACTACTCTTTCCTATCTAAACTTAAAAGTGTAATATATCGTTAACGGATTGACGGAAAACATATATTTTAACATCAACATTTATTTGAAGTAATACTCCATCTATTTTTTAAAATTTATCATCTGAAAAATCAAATTTGGTATCACCACAGGATACTCATTAAATATTGTGAGTAATCTAAGTATTCGAAAATGTCGGCTAAAACTACACTTAACAATTTCAAAAATTAGAAACTGAATATATGCAAAATGTAATCAAATAAATAGGGTGAGTAAACTTAGTAAATCATCCTCTATAATATATAAAAAAAAACAAAATACATCTAGAACGGAGAACTTGATTTTTTTTTTAAAGGTCCAGGACAAACTAGGATATTCATGAACAGAGGACAAATCCTCGTAAAAGAGAACGTCAGGTCGCCCTATCTGACTACAGTAAAGTAGTAATTATGTTACCGAAACCAAATAGCAGTCATGATTTTATCATTTTATCACATTTCAGTATCAATAGCAACTGTTACTGGAAAAAAACACAATTACCAAGCTATTACTGTTATAGGCTACTAAATATACACTTGTAAGCAAAGTGGATTAATTAATAATTATTAATTTATTATTAAATATTAATCCACTATGGTTGTGGGCTGTGGCCTGTTTATTTATCAGTTGGAGATAAAAAATTGTAACTTATTGTTATCTCAGTTTTGAAGAAAAACAAACGCCAACGCCTAACATTGATAAAATATATGTATTGATTAACAATTGACAATTGACAACTAAAAACTAAGTACCCATGTGTTATTCGTGTTTCTACTGCACGTCTAAGTACTTATTTTTTGGTTCTTGATTATATTTTTGACGACTACATTTAAGCTCGATTTAATATCGTGTATTTATTTAAATATTTGTTATCTTACTACTAATACTTGACTTTGGCATATGCAAGAGAAATTAAAATTGTTCCTAATGAACGAGGAATAAATAAATAAAATTAAGTTTTTGTTTGTCAGAAACACATTCCAAACATTAAAAGCAATACCGAGAAAATTCACAGTTATGTCTTCGGTAAAATGGTTCGATGGCGATTCCGTGCAGGCATTACAAAAAGTACAGGATGAAAATTGTGTTTTTTTTGCTTATATAGGTATGGTACTTATAATATTTATTTATTCTATAGAAATAATTGAGATATTAGTATTAAATTATTAGTTAATGTTAATAAAACCCAAATAATAATATATGCTTATTATAATCACTATTATTTTATTATAAGATTAAAAAAATTAGGTGAGATATCTTAAACCATCCGCCTTATCCCACATAAAAACATTGAAAATATCTCATTTTTCAATGCTTATGATTTCATTATCATATGTACTTTCCTAGATTTATATTATCATATAGCATACTATATAACTATAAGTTGTAGGTATAAGTAAATTATAATACTATAGCATATTTTTGTGGCTACTAAGTCTACCTATGAATTTATCATTGTGGTCAGTAGGTTTATTTATTTATAAAGTTTTGCAATCTCACTAATAATTCTCCGCTGTGTTATATCTTTTCTATTTTTTTTTAAACAATTTAAATTTTATCAAACTTATCATAGTAAAAGTATAAACTATTGGTAATTATACGGTTACACTTACTATTAGTATTACACATTTTATTTTTCAGTAAATTACTTATCATTAGTGTGTTTAATGGAATCACTAATTTTGAACTGACTAATATGCAATAGAATTTAATGTTTATAGTTTATATAGAATATGAATAATTGTACAATAACAAAAATTATTAATTTTTTTGATGTTATTATGATGTTTTTTTTCTGTCTGTAAACAAATTTTGATCAGAAAACTTGCCCGGTCAAAAAATTGATAAGAGATCTTTTTTTATTGGATTTTTGATCTAGTTGATGCATAAAAAAGGTCATTTTTTGATTTTCCAAGTAGCTTTCATAATAATTGGGAAAAACAGAAAAAGAGTGTAAAATAAAAACTGTCAAATTTACGCTTTATGATTTCATCTTATATCTTCATCCCAACTATTTGGGGGTCGGTTGCTCTTGTCCTCATATCATCAACAATTACAACCAACGGCCTCTTTTTTAGTCTCCCTCTCCCACAATTTCCTCTTAAAATGTTTACTGATTCTGATTCCTCTGTTCTCGTGATAAGCCCAAACCATGTCAGTCTATTTTCACCACTATCAAAGCTACACTTAATCTACTTATGTTCATATTTTGTATCCTATCTTTTTTTTGTTGCACCACTTACCCACCTTAGCATTCTTATCTTTACTATACTCAATCTAGATGGTCTCACCACACTACTGTAGAACTTACCTTTAAGTCTTATTAGAATCATCTTTTCATATAAAACACCTGCCATTTCTCTCCACATGCTTCAATGCTTGAAAATTATAGTTCATTATAAATCATATTTTGTGCTCAAAAAAAAAAAAATAAGTGTAATGTAGAATTTATTTTTATAAGAATTTTAGTATCAAATTTTTACAAAAACTTTAATATTACTGTCTTTTAAAATTGTTTATCTTTAGCCATGATAAATCATTGCGTACAGATATTCATTAAAGATAGGATATAGAAATCCCACCTACAACAGCTTTTTTTTTTTATATTGCAGTTGTATTATATGCAGGTGTAAATGTGATTATCTATTATTATAATTTTGTTTTAAATTTATTTATATATATATTAAGTTTTATTTTCAGATAAAGTGAATACAAAATGTTCAGATATATTCTATGAGCCGGATATCATTCAATTGCTAAATAATGAAATTATTGTATGTTTTAAAATGGAACCAAATAGTCCAAGCTATGCAAATTTCAACAAAATTTGTATCCTTTAAAAAATGTTTAGTAAAGTTTATAATTGAAGTATGATAATAAAGAAATACATTTTATCTTTTTAAGAAAATAAATTATACATCTTTTTAAGAAAATGTATAATTTTTTCTTCAAAATTATATTTATCAATGGAAATATTTTTTTAAAATAATACTATTTAATAACTATGTATATTTTGCTTAATTTATTAACATTTAGTCAATCATATTACTATTCCATCTATATACGTGCTAGAAAAGAATAATGTAGAACAGTTTAATATTAAACTCAAGAAGTCGAAATTATTAAAATCAAATGAAGTAAAATTGGATTTTTTGGATTTGAAAATAAAGTTATTAAATGCTATTTACAGTGCTGTAAAAAACATTTCTGGTATATATATAATTTTTTAAATCATATTATTAATAGCAATATTTTAACTGTCTAATAATTAAATTACAGATTCTTTAGAAGACAAAGAGAAATATTTTCAGTTTATGACTAATGTTTCTGATAAGGTAACATAATTAAAACTTTAGGATTAGGACCAATAATTAGATACCTGCCTATCATTAATATTAACTAGTATTATCATTTTTCAATATAGAATAAGTTAATACTTTTATGATTTATTTTGTTTTTCAGTTGCAAAATATGATTGTTCAAAGAAAAGAAGCTATTGGAGGAGTTCAAAAGTAATTATTGGGAAAATATATCACTTTATATTTAAAACTCAGTTATACAATGTGTCTATTTAAAGTGTAATAACTTTTTTTTCTATTTTTAAACCCAGGCTAATATGTTTGTATTTTATTACTTTAAACTAAAAAATTAAAAATGTAGACATTTTATAATCCAATTTCCCTAGTTATTTTATAAATTAATTTTTAAATTTTGTTGAAATTCAAATTCATTTCTTGCTAATTTTACCAATGATAAATGATAAAAATATTATCAAACTACAATATTGTATATAAAAATCTAATTAACCATTTGAAAATTTAAGTACGCAAAATATTTCATGTTTCACAAAACTTTAAAAATTGTTTAAAAATAATTGACTCAACTTTAATAAACTTTTTTGACAACAACATTTTTCCAAAAAACCGGTTTACTAAATTTTTTTCTTAAATATTTTTTTAATTTTACATTTTAGATTCTGAGTGGAGCAAAGAATGTTATTGGTTTTACAATGATGTTCATATTTCTTTTCTTTTTTTTTTTTATGTGAATACATTTTCTACCAGAACTCTTAATCTGATTATCAAGTATAGCACTTTTTCTGAAAGGAAATATTCTCTGGATGGTACTTTAAAGAGGTCATTTTTTGAAATTTTCTTTAATATTTGAGATAATGAGGAAAACGTGGATTTTAGGCCAAAAAAGATTGAAAGATTAAAAATAAGATACAAACTATGTCGTACTTTTTTATTTTAAATTTCTTTAATTGTTAAAATTTAACTCTTAAAAGATAAAATATTTATATTGTTATTGTAATGATGTAATAATAATTTTTTTTCTTTAAAAAAAAAACTTAAAATTATTCAATTAAAAAAGGTTATTACATTTGTTAAATAGTTCGGTTAACATCCTGTGTATTGAAACTAAAGATAAAAGCTGATTTACATGGTACCAGTTGCCAGTTTCTGAATGTCAGTGACTGGTAACATGTAAACCTTACATGCCAGTTGATGGCAAAGGTGAGGAACTAGTGTGTCAACACCAGTCAAACAAATATTTTTGTTCTACTTGCACATTGGCTTTCCAGTTAACTGCAAACTGTGAATTAAGACTAATTTTCATATTGTCAATGATTGGCATGCATATTGTAGGGTCAATGGCATATGACAACTAGAATATCCAGGTTACTGGCACCCTTTAAGCCTGGTTTACATGTAGTAAGTAACTGGCATACTAACTAGTTAATTAACTGGAAAGTCATTAGAGTGTGGCCAGCTACTAATATAGTTTTAGTGTGCTATTGTATGTATAATTCGAGTAGTACACAGTTGTAATTAACTTAAAAAGCCAATACGCCAGTAGAACAAAAATATTTGTTTGACTGCATTAACATCTGGTGTTCTATTTCCTCACTGGCTTTGCATCAACTGATGGGTTAAATTTACACATTACTAATCACTGGCATTCAAAAACTAGCAACTGGTACCATGTAAATCAGCCTTAAGTGTTACACACACATTTTAATTTAATAGCCCTGTCATAATCATTCTAAAGATTCATTATTTTAAAAAAATATGGAAAATAATTTTTATCCAAGACTGTGATTTTATCATGAAAAAAGAACATAATTTTAACTTCTATGATTTTATGAAATTTCAAATATTTATTAAAAAAAATTAATGATAAATGGTTTGTCACAATAATGTTTTCCTTCTTAATATATAGTACAAATTGCATCCATTAATTTTTATTGTAGTCCCTTTATTTTATTTTTGTGTAAAACATATTTACTGAGTTTTATTACAAATTCTTGATAATGCAATAAATACTTTTAATACTGACACCAAGCCATTTTTTTTTTTTGAAATCTTCATTAAAATTGCATTACTTAACCTCTTAAATATTGAATGACTTGCACCTTAATTATTTTTATATGAAAATAATTTCATATTTTATAATGCAAAATATTATATTAATTCTAATATAATAAAATATTTGGGTCATTACAGCTTGATTAAATATACAAAAATTAAAATCAAAGTTCCATGTTTGAATATTACTATAGTTAAGGAATTTGAAACAACTGATACTTTGAATGAAGTAAAAATGTTCGTATTAGAGAATATCACAATTCCTAAAGGGTAATTTTTTTAAATTTGATTAGGTATTTTTATTGAATTTTTTTCCAACTAATAAAGTTTATATTTTCTTTTAGGCCTATAAAATTTATATCTGAGAGACAATTTACTGATGAAGATTTCAATCTAACATTAAGTGCTTTAAATTTGTGTCCAACATCAACAATATATGTGCATAAAGTATGTTTATTAATTATTGTTATTGTACTCCTATATTTTGTAGTTTTTATGTATACACATGAGTATGCTGGTTGTCCTGGTCACATTGCTTAGGCTCTGATTTTTATAAATACAATATGGAAATATTATATTGTAGGTTCCTACCTAAAATTAATTAAACAATATATGAATGTTTATTTGATTTGTCAGTGCTAATTTATGTTATTTTTTTTTTTTTCATTCATATTCATTTTTGGTTTTGAAATTCAGAATTGAATGAAAACAAATAATGGAATATGGGTAGTCCAATTGTTAAATGTTTTCATGATTTTCATACAAAAAATATCTAAACAGCAAATTGTTTGTTTTTGAGATTTTTGGATTTCAAAGGAAGGGAAGTCTAACCTAATCCTATCAGAAAGTGAGGAAGTTTGGAAGTGGGAAAGCATATGTACTGTATCATAGTCATCACTAACAGATGGCATGAATAATTTGATTGTTAATCTATGTGAATAAAAAGACATATACTTCACACGATAGGTGAGCCACTGTTGTAGATGAGAAGTTAGGAAGGTAGGATATAGATGGGAAGTTAATGTAAATTTGTCCACAATGATTAATTTCCCCACATTTTTCTCATTTGTTAAAAAGTTGTCCACAAAAAAAAGTAAACATTATTGTAGATTTTCCAAAAACTTTCTGTGGATAACTTTTCTACCAGCAATTTTTATTTACAATGATAGACGTTTTTCTGAAAGGAAATCAGACTGAGGTGGTACTTGAGTATATTTGGGTGCTATTTGAGTACTTTATCAATGGTTAATAGTTGAGTTTAGATATACATTAAATCTCTCCTTTACATTCCCAACTTATTACCTACAACAATGGCTCACCCACATGGGAAGTATGTCCAGGTTTTTGTATATTATAACTGGTTGTTTTGTTCATCTTTGTTACCAAGGTAATGTATCATGAATCAATAAAAGTTGTTCAATTTTTGTGCCAAATATATCTTAAAACCATATTTTAAGGGTTGAAGGGTTGATTAATCGGGATAAAAACTATCCTATATTTTAAGTTGGATCAAATCACATAAATGAGCATAATCTTTTCAAAATTGGTTCTGTAGTTGTGCATGCAAACCCACTTATTGTATACTTAATTTTTTTAAATACATATAATATAAATTAAAAATAAAAAATATTATTTATAACATTAATATAGGATCCATCAGACCAACATCAACCCATCATACTCGGCTTTAAATCCTGGATTTATGGTATGTTTCATATTTTGATCAGTCACCCATTTAATTATGTGAGAAATATTATCAATCCTCCTGCTGCTGTTGAACCAAAAACACCTGACCATCAAAAAAAAACGACAAAAACTAAGTAAGTACCTATAAATACCTCTCAAATTATTAGAAAAAAAAGTTAATTTTTAACTGTTATAATTAATTTGTTTGAAAAATGAATTAGCATATTTACCAGATGTATAAAAACTAGGGGCTTGTATCAAGCCCCTGCTTGATGTCTTGTATTTTTTTTGGTTATTATCAATTATCACTACTAAGTGATGTATTAAAAAGAATTGTATGATACAATTTTAAAAGGTTTTAAATAATGTTTCATCCAATAAATAGAAGAAAAAAAACTGTTGAAAATTATAACAGTTAAAAACAAACTTTTATTTATAGCACAAGTTTTGATTCTTTTTGAATGATCGTTAAAAAATAATTTTATTTTACAGAAAGTTCCCCTTTAAATCAAATATCCATACATTACGAAACAATAAATCAGATGATGAAAACAATACATACAATGGAAATTCTACACAACAAATGTAATTCATAAACTATCCAACTGAAAACAAAAACCATATTTAAATAAAAAAACTTCATTTATTATTCACAATAATATGTTCCTTTTTTAACCAATGTCTAATGATAGAAGTTATAAACATGAAACAAAAATATAATTCCTAATGGAAATCACTCACTGTTTTTACCTACATGGTTATAGCACTCACTGTTTTTACCTACATGGTTATAGCACTTGGTATTTTTTTTTCTTACACTAGAAAATAAATTAGAAATATGAGTGTGTATAATTTAGCCCAACTACTATTTAGACAGTCTTTGTATGATGTAATATTAAAATAGTAAATAAAACAAATCTTTACATTTATTTTACATAATATATTATATGTATTTGTATTTTTTTTTTCTTACACTAGAAAATAAATTAGAAATATGAGTGTGTATAATTTAGCCCAACTACTATTTAGACAGTCTTTGTATGATGTAATATTAAAATAGTAAATAAAACAAATCTTTAAATTTCTTTGACACATAATATTGTATTTATTTAATATCAAAATGATAAGATAATTGTTTTATATTATATTATAATTTGTTAATTATTATGTAGCTTATCAAGTGGGACCCACTTCAATGATATAATATATATTCAACAAATTTATAGTGATTTATTTGAAACACTATCACAGCTTCCTGGATTTCTATTCCACCATACTGATCACAGCATAATACTTTCACAAGTAAAAAAAAATTAAGATTGAATTAAAATAGAATAGAAATATACAAAATGTTGTATTAAATACAGCCATTTTTTTTTTTTCACAACATTTTAATATTTTTCAAACACATTAGCTGTAAACAATAAAATCAAATTAAAAAAAAAAATACACTATAAATAGTATAAATGTTAAATTTAACATAGTTTAGAATCAACACTGTAAGAATTCTCAAATATAGACAATATATATATGTGTATTTAACTTGTGTCCGTGGAAACAGTGTCCACTTCACCACTTATTACACTGTAAATATTATTCAATTCTGTTCTTGGGACATTAAACTAGGCTAATGGTCCTAAATTCCTATGACCTACAATTTTTTTAACTCGTGTATTTTGCACATGCCTAACAATACTTACCTTTTTTTTTTAAATAGCAACCATGTTCATATATAAATTGTAGGGTACATGGTATACATAAACCTGAATTCTTATTTTTAGTTTCACGAGTATACTTACAAGTAAATTCATCTATTATGAGTATATACTAACTAAAAATGCATACATTATATGTATACACTAGTTTTTAATTCATCATCACAATAAACCATAAAAAAAATAATAATAAACTATGGAGTTCCTTCTACAAGAATGTGGTAAAACCGACTTATGTTGTATTGGATATATAGAAAAATACCAGATATAAGTAGAAGTATAGACATATATATATTAAATTTGGAAGAACAGAACAAGACATCTGATATGAAACAGTGACACTTGAGAGTTTTAAGTATGGTTCAACAAAGGATTGTTTTAAATGACAAGAGCATTCCAATGAGACATAAAGGTAAGTTCTACAAGAGTGTGGGGAGACTGACTATATTGTTTTGTTCATAAAAAATAAATAATAAAAGAGAAAATGAGTGCAACAGAAATGAGAAGGATTAGGTGGATGAGCGAAGTACCACTATAAGATAGTGGAAGAAATGAGTAAATAAGAGGTAGATTAGGCATAGTTTTGATAATAGACAAAATGAAAGAAAATAAACTGAGATGATTTGATGTCATAAGGAAAACGGAATCAGAAGCAGTAAGAATTGTAATGGAAATAAACATAGGAGAAAAGGCCAAAGAGTTGGTTAGATGTGATTAACAATGACGATGAGAAAAGATTATGTATATGAGGATGATGAGGGGAATGGCATCAGGTTTAGTAGGAGGGTAGCTGACCCCAAATAGTTGGGATGGTGGCGAAGGTGGTGGAAGGAGAAAATGGAGAAACTATTATTAATTTTTTGTAAACTGTCCCAAAAAGAAAGTAGACCAGTAAGCAAGTTTAAAATATAAACACCATTAAGGGAGAAACTATAACCATTCTATTAACTTTTAATATTTGTTAAAAAATAAATAATTACATTTTATAACTATTACAAAAATAAAATTTCAAAAAACATTCACAACAAGGTAATGTGTTATTATTTAAGCATTGTTATTTTAAGTGTAGTGAAGAAAATGTTTAAGATATATTCAACTCCTTTTAGGTTGAATATACCCATACATTTATTTACCAATATACCACTGTATAGTTTATTATGTTCATAATATGGAGCCTAATGATAGAACATTTTTTAACATTTCTATAAAATATATTTATTAAATGATTAAACATATATTGCATTTACTTGATTTTTCAACAATTTGACATTATGTTATTAGGATTAAGATCTAAATTGTCCTATGTACCTATTATATAGTATTATATCTTATAAAATTAATTATACATTATGAATTTTATTTTTTTAACCCCAAGATTAATTTTGCAGTCTTCCATACTCTTTCTATTCCTTCCTGTCACCAGCTAACATCTTCAATTTGTTAGTTATCTGTATTTATTTGATGAAACTTGTAAAATTATTTGTTTGGCAATTTTAATTGTCCTCTGCTTGTCTTATCATTTATTTTTACTTTTCTTTATTCTATAAATTATATTATAACATGTCTCAAAATATATCAATATATGTTCTATTATCTCCTTATAATTGTTCTTAATATCTTAGTAGGTATATCTCTAGGAGAATTATTAATACAGCATATAATACATATTTGACACAAATTAAGTATATATTTGGACAATAACTAATACACAGTTTTCTTGTATGCAGTAAGTAAGAAGTTTCATTTATTAGAATAATCGTATTCTATATTATTATAATACCTATAAATTAAGTTTTTATTCTACTAAATTTCATCCTATAGTAGATAGAAGCAGTGGTGTTCAAATAGGGACAAAAACTGTAACAGTGATACAAATTATATTTATTTAAATAATTAGAACTAAAAAAATTAAAACTGATAAGAAAAATATCAAATACTATATGTAAACCACAGAATTTTATAGAAAACTCAAAAAATTATGGGAATACCACTAGATGTAAGTACTAGAAATGTTTTCTATATGAAGATCATATAAATATTGATTGATGATATTCATAATTTAATTGTAGCTACCTACATACATTGTACAATATACGTACAGCTATAATAGGTACTATAATTTAACAAACATCTAATTTGTTTTATTTGTCAAAAGAACATTTTTGTTTATACATATATAATATTTATTTATTGACTAAGATAACAATAAATATTTTTATATATATTAATAATTCAATAATTTAATTTAAACAATATTTATTTACAAAAATACATTTTCTTATTAGGATATTTTTTAATTTTAGAATTGGTTAAGGAACATTTAAATCGACATATCAGTCCAAGCATCCTAACAAATTTGATCTGTTCTACAATATCATATAATTGAATAACAACATTTTTAAATATGTTCTTAGGAAATTTATCAATCAAAACTTGATCTGATCTTTTTCTTTCTTCTGTTTGAAGTTTTATTGTCTCACTACGTGTAATGCGTGGATTAATAATTTGATCATTAACTAAATTTGTTTTCAATTTTTTATTTTTATTTATAGAATTTGATGGTACTGGTTTAGGTTTTTCTACAGTAATTAACCCAGATTTTTTTTCCAATATCTTTGTTTCATGATTATTATATATTTGAACTTCATTTAATTGAATATGATTTTCTAATTTGTTATAACTATGGTGATTGTTTTGCTCATCACAATCTTTATTCTGAATTACTATCCTTTCATTTGATTCAGTTTTATTTTTAACATTTAAACTATTGAAATTGCTTGTACTTGTTGTTCTATAAAATGATAATTTACCATTCTTTTTTTTTACTGTACTATTTTTTCTTGAAAGTACAACTTTTCCATTTCTTAATGTTTTAGTATTAGATTTTGTCATTGTTTAATGTATATACTGTTTTAGAAAAAAACACAGCGTTAAAACTATTTTTTCTTGGACATCAAACTTTGATATAAATTATCGGTTTTCATTTATATACATAGAATTCACAGTTCAACCTAAAATATAAAAATAATTTCATTAATATAAACTAATATTACCTGTAGTCCAAGCTGCATAGACAATATATCAGCCAACCAATTTTTCGCAATTACACAAACTCAAAATTATACAATATGACATAAACCAAATTAAATACAAGTATGAACCTTGTGCAGGCAATCAAGTTAACTAAGCCTATCCGCGTCTAGCTATTACATTGAAATACTTAAAAAAGTTAATGGATTATGTTCAAGAGTAGATTTATTTTAATGATGCAATACTTGTGAAAATTTGGGAGAAACCAATTTATGAATTTAAAGTAATCATAACCTATTCCAAAATAAATATTGGTTCTCAGTGTATACTTGTGAGAGTAACATTATTAGTAGTACCTACTTAAATCAGTATTAAAATATGTGTACACATAATAAAATAATATTATAGTATCTATTTGAAACTTTTCTTTTCTTTTAATTTAAATTATTTGGCACTTATACTTTGTTCAAAACTCTACTATTGTGTAATTTTTTCTACTATTGAATATACAAATAAGAAAATCACATTTCTATTGTTTTATAAATGCCTAATCAGTTTAATTAAAAATACTTTTCAAATATATTCAAAATGTGTTTGAATAATTATATAAATTGTATTTGATACTTTTTTTCAAAACATTTGATGATGTCTGCATTCAACAAATAAATACTTAAACTTACTTATAGAAATTTAATTTAAATATGTTCATCAATTTCAGATGCTGTATATTACCATGTCATGTAATTATATTATAATTCTTAGAAATTAATAAAATATTATTAAAAAAAGAATTAAAATTTATTTAAAATCATAAAATATAAAAATATTGTAATATAACAGTACTATAAATAAAAGTACTAGATATTCTTAAAAAAGTATGATAAAAAGTATTTCTAAAGTACTTAGATAATGATAGGTACATTCTTGATGTTGCATTAATTATACAAATAATCCAAATCCTTAAAATATCTGACAATTATGTTGTATTAATGTATACATGATATTATTATATATTAATATACCTATGTTGCGTACCTACTTATCATAATTAAATTATTTCAACCTTCTTTATTTCTTATTATTCACCTTATGAATAAGTCATATTTATTCGTTCAAATCGTGCTCAGTGGCCGTTTATTTATTAATACGAATAAATTATTACTATTATTATTATTTTGGGAAAATTGTGGCAATAAAACCAACAGGATAGGTTAGGTGCCTAAAAAGTAGGTACAAACACTTAGGTGAGGTTAGGAATCATAATATTTAGTCAAATTGTCAACAGCTACCTAGAGTAACCTTGAAACGGTTATCTACCTATAATTTACAGACAGAAAAAAAATATTACATACCTACGCGAACCATTTTCGTTACGAACCAATTGCGAACAATATTGTCCAATTCATTCGTCCTAGATTTATAAAAATAAGACGACAGAAAGGAAATCGTCATACAGCGCAAAAGAATGTCAAATACCCATTTTTGATGACGGCCGCACACGAATCAAATCCGTTGTTGCGGTATGCGGCCGATCGAGAGTCAACGTTTACACAGATAGGGCGTGGTGAATGGTGACTCATAGTGCAGGATGTTGAATATGCCTAACAATAATATTGGGCACACGACTGCTAGAGTAACTGGAGTGTTGGTGTGTTATATCTGGAGTGTTACAGCCTGTTTAGTTGAATTCTAGAATCGGATGATTGATAACGATTTTGATAACATACTATCAAACTATTAAAGTATCAAATAAACATCAACACAAATCAAGCCACAAATTCCTATCCACATTTACTTTCACCAGTTTCACTGAATTCGATTTTGCCCTACGCTATTAATATTATTGTTATCAGCGTCCATTCTGATCATAGATAAGAATACTAGGATACTGATCACCAAAAATTACTCACCAGTCAACTTTTGAATAACTATCGCTACCCTTTCTAGCACATTTTTTACTTCAAACTTAAACTAACAAAGTAAAATAAGTACATGGGTTCCATTAAAAATAAATGTCTTAGAAATTAGAGGTATATTTGCTTTGATATCTACCACATCCCTTACGATTCAGATCAAACATTGAACTCAGACTAGTCAAATTCCTTTTCTTATATTCACTTAAATCACTGGCCACTGATGTAGCATCCAATTATGGGACAGAGTTGCATTAACTGGCATAAAGAGGTACAAAATTGTCATCCGTTCCATCATAAATCCATGTAAACCAGATCATTAAAACATCCTACCAAAAACTAGCCCTACGCCAACTCCAACATAAAACGTCCTGCAACCAGTCACATCCGGATAACTCATCATTACGAAAAAAGGTAATTATATCTATAGAGACCTCCTTCAAATAAAAAGATACACCAAAGTAGCAAGTAGGACGTAGGAAGCTCCATATGGTAGCAGCCTTTACACTGTAATCATCATTGAAATCCCGTAGTTCCTGTAACGTGGAGTCCATTATTTTACCTACAGTTTCAAATTGCTTTGTTTGCATAAAAAAATAAATAAAAACTTTTCCTGAAATTAACAATCTTCCGAAGTGGATGATACACACGCATCTGAAAAACTGCCCCGATAAGATTGGGATTAGCATTATTATACGCATATTTTTGTACTCATTGTAGTACCTACTGTAAAGTATTCTCCATGATTTAAACCATAAATTATTACTTCTTACTTGTCGGATAGTAAGTCCCGTTCTAATTTTTTTTTTTATCCAAATATTCAGTTTACCACATGCACTATTTTATCCCAGTATAGTATAATTCCGATAGATTTAACAATTTGTAAGTTACTCTCATTTTTTGACATTCGAGAAGGTGTGTTCCGTATTTTGTATCACATTCACATTTACTGTCACTTACGCTTAGTTTCCATTTATACTCGTTATCTAACTACCTATACTAGCTACCTTTCCACTTGAGAATAAAATAACGTAATCTATTTGATGTTTTCAAATGTATCCATGGCGTATCGTTTCAATGTAGAAGTAATTTGTAGGTGACTTATTAAGTAGGTACTAAGGAACAGATTTCCAATAATTAAATATGTTTAAAAAAAACAAAAAAAATAAACTTGATTAACAAATGACACGGGTTTTAAAATATCGATAAGTTTCCAACATTTGTAACAGCACATATTAATATTGTCAATGGTTAGAAATCACTGTTTTCAATGCTAGTGACTAGTGCAGTACCTTTATTGTTACATTTCTAAAAGAAGAAAGGGAAAGGCGTTCTCTCCTATCATCGTCACTTTTTTTAAAAGTAATGCGCCACTAGTTTCAGCTTAAAATGGTAACGTTTTAATGTTTGACACTCCCCGTTGATTTATGGTTTATAGGTACCATTAATGTATTTACATTTGATGAAACTATACTAACATTAAATTATCGCTTGTTTACAGTTTGGAAGTCAAAATATTTTATTTTACTGTAGATTAAAATAAAAAGAATTTAACTACAAATTATTTAATATTTCGTTAGACTCACAATTTTATTTTAGTAACTAAATGAATTGAAATTTGCACTGATTTCCTATGAACAATGTTATACACATACGCTATACACATTTACCAAAATAAAGCAGGTTACAGTATTTCAAAAAAAAGTAGCACGCTACAAAAATATTGCCTTTTAACCACTGTATATTATTCATTTTAAAACCTACATAAGGTATATCTGGCTAGACATTTCCTCGGGATATGAGTATTTATTATATATACAGTGCGTTCACGCTAAGAGGTACCACTAAATATTTTAGTTGGATAACCTAGTATTGAAATGGAATTTTCGGGGAATGATAGGGAGTATACAAATACACATTTTCAGACAAATTTTAAATTTTAAACCATTTTGGTACGCGCATGCCCAATACAACTTACTTTTTTTTAAAATGGCAACACCATTTTTTTCCTACATATTCGGATAGACACAAATAAACACGTCAGTTCTTTTTATGGGGGCATTTAAAAAATGTTACATATGTGGATCCTTTTAAAAATGTTCAAGATTTAAAAAAACAAATTACGAGTAGCATGTAATAATTTGAGAAAAGACTAAATAAACGCTACCACATCAATAGAAATTTTAAACCATTTGGAATCATATTTAGAATACCAAGGCGAAAACTTCGAACTATTTATTTGATAAAACTATAGTTGCAAAACTATATAAAATAAATCTTAATTTCAAATTCATAGAGTGTACATTTTTATAATTTTCATTGTCTTTAATTTATTTCGGAAGAATAAATGAAAAACAGAACTGATACTAGGAACGGGTGCAGCCACTGTTGTAGGTGGGAAGTTGGGAAGGTAGGATGTATAAAATAATTTCATTTTATTTGTAAGCAACGATAAACCATTGCTGACGAAAGACGATTGCGAGCACAGTTCGGTAATACATAATTTGAAGTGACGAAATTTTTTTTTGCTATTTTCTTTTAAATTTGATTTCAAAACGCTCATTAAAAAAAAAAATTTAACAAAAGTATGGACTCTTGTCGTTTTTAAATTGGAGCTATATTTGTGCTAGAAAGTGTAGTTATACCTACTTATTTAAAATAACGAAATCGTGAAAAAATCTTATTTTTTTTCCCCAGTTAATCGTTTTTATTTTAAATACCGTTTCGAAAATCAAAACATGACCTATGTATTTACCAAGTAGATAAAATTTACTTTTAAAAAAGGTGATACACTTATACATCAGAGCAAGTTTTCTAAGATAAAAGTAGTCTATAGTATATATATAAAAAAAGTAAAGTACCATTGTAAAAAAATTTAAAAACGGAAAAAAAGTCGTCCGATGTTTTTGGAAATTTTATCACATCTAGGTAAGTCCAATATAAGTATTGTTACCAATTTTCAAGTCTCTACGTGTATTTATATCCGAATTAAAGCAACAAAACTCTAAAAATTACAATTTTCTAAAAGCTCAAAAGTGACTTAAAAGTTTTGACGATGATACTGTAAGAAATAAAATCAAAAAATCAACAAAAAAAGTATCTTATGATTTTTCGATTAAATCATTTTTCTGGTAAAAAACGTCATCCGTGTTTTTATAAAATAATGAAATCGTGAAATTGTACGTTTTCCTACGTTTTTTCCACTTAAATGCTTTTATTTGAAAATGACATCGAAAATCAAAAAATGACCCTTCTAAAATACAATCTAGACAACTTGAGTTTTCAATAAATTTGCGATTCGTAAAGATCGAAGTAAGTTTACTAGGAAAAAACGTGTGAACACAATAGAATAAAGGACAAAAAAAAAAATAAGTAGCATTGTAAAACCAATAGCTCGCTCGCTACGCTCGGAATCTAAAATAAGACTAAATTACAAAAACAAAAATTTGTTTATTTGTGTTTTATCTGTCTAAAAACAGATATTTCACAATATCGGAGGTACCATTATTTCAATATTTTAGTATACAATTTGAACATAGTTAAAATTTCGTCAATAACAGATTATTCGTAAATATTAAATTTCAATATACTATAACTTTGTAATTTTTTTTAATTAGAAAAATACTTTTATACAAAAATTGTTTAAAAAAGTACCCTATCCCAATCTGTAAAAAAAAAATGGTGTTGCCATTTAAAAAAAAGTAAGTTGTATTGTGAATGTGCGTACCAAAAGGGTTAAGAATTTGAAATTTATCTGAAAATATGTATTTGGGTACACTCTCTATCATTTTCTGAAAATTCCATTTCAATACTGTCATTCAACTGAAATATTTAGTGGTACGTCTTTGCGTGAACGCACTATACATACATTATTTTTTTCGAATTACTTCGAAGTAACGCCAGTAAATTTGTCAGTTTTCACTTTTCGTCTTTTTTTGGGTTTTCCTAATTATTATGAAAACAACTTGGAAAATAAAAATTTGACTTTATTCGTGAGCAACAAGATCCAAATGTAATAAAAAAAGTATTTTATCATTTTTTAATTAGAGTAAGATATCTAGTAGGGAATAGGAAGGTAGGATGAATATAGTTATTAAATTTGTATCTGCACGTAAAGATTAACCAATGTTAACGAAAAATGATTCGGAGCGAAGTAAGACATATTTTAAAATTACGTAATTTATGATTTTCGACAAATTTGGTCTTAAAACATTATTAAAAAAATTATTAAACTCAAATTTGTTATTTAGACCACTAAATACAACTTAAAATGCATTTTATGTTAAATTTTCAAGCATTTCTCTTAAGCCATCCATATAATTTAAAATTTAAATAACAAATACCTACCAAATATACAAATACATATATAAAAACACAAAAATATTAAATACCTATAAATAGCCTAAAATAGCTAGAATACTTTGAAAATTTGATTACATTTACAAAAGGTCAATATAAGTATTTTGTGAAAATTACAGGTTTCTACAATAATTTTTAATCGAATAACAACAAAAACCAAATTCCGTACATTTCGCCGTATTTCCTACATTTTTTCCTGGTTTTTCGAATTTATTAAGAAAATCAAATGAAAAATTAAACGACTACATTTTCTTTCAGAAAATATACTATTATTGAAATTTAGACAAAGATTTCTGATATAAAAATATAATCTTAAAAATTGTAAATATTAAAATCATTGTGCGAAATTTTGAAAAATAAAAACCCCGTATTTTTTTATCTTTTTTGGTTTTTTCCAATTATTATGACAACGTAAACTTAATTATAAACAACTTTAGATGTCGAAAAATAACTGTTCCTGTCAGTAGCTAGGTATTAAATGAAACAAATCGATCTCTTGATCTGGAGTAATATTTCTGGCAGATAAAAAATTATAAATAATTTGCAAAACTTAAAATGTATGAAATCGATAACGCCTTAAATATTTGCCGGTCTACCTATAATTTTCTTTTGGATTTTTCTAAACTATTTTGAAACCCCCTTAGAAAATTAAATATCCATTGCATTAACTACAGAAAATTACCTTTCAGAAAATATACTACACTCGATACATAGGAGTAAGATTTCTGGTAAAAAATTTGTTTACAGACGGAAAAAAAACACACATTATAGTAAAACCACCAATAGATATGCTCACTATGTTGCGAAATGCGAATCTAAATAAAAAAATGATACTGAGGACGGATGTGACCAGTTTTAGGTGGATAGTTGGGAAGGTGAGATACATAAAACCATTTAATTTATACCTATAATCTACATTGCTAACGAAAAACGGTTCGGAGCAAAGTTCGGTTATACATGTTTTTAAATGCCGTAATATTTATGATTTTCGTTAAAATTTGATTTTAAGACTCTTCTATAAAAATATTCTATATTGCATTCAACTTTTTTTTTGACCACTAAGTACAATCTATAAATGAACCTCCTGTCAAATTTTTAAACATTTCTCAATTTCTGTTTAGTTAAACAATTTTATCCACAGAGAACCTAAGTAAAGAACTCCCATTGCTGGTGTACATTGCTAGCTACTGTATCGGTGTCATAGAAAAGCTATTAGTCTTTAAAAGAAGGTTAGTAGTTGAATACTTGTGTTAAGTGCTATACTCTCAATATTCCTCTGTACGCCACTGCAAGTAATATTCAATAGAAATAAAGAAGTAGTTATCCATGAACCAAATTAACTATTATGCACCTACTATAGACAATTGCTTAGAGCAGTGGTTCTCAACCTTTTTGCTTTTGCGGACCTTTTTTTTACTAAGGACTACGGACCATATAGAGCTTAACCTCAAAAAATCAAAACCTTTTCCTTAAAACTCTATAGGTTTATTAATAAATTGCTTTGTTTTCTAAATGAGAAATAAGCTTAGCAGGTTTCATTGCTTCATTAGACAAAATAACAGTAGGTACCTACGCATTATTGTTTCGGAACGTTGTTAGAGTCTGAAAAACAACAAATATAATTTGAGATAAAAAAAAGATGGCTGGTCCACTGTTTTAGGTGTGATGTTGGGAATGTAGGATGCAGAGAGGAATTTAATGTATATCTGTTTGCAACGATTAATTATTACAAACAAAAAACAATTTTCGGCAGAGTCCGGTTATATATATTTTGAAAGGCCATAATATTTACAATTTTTCATAAAAATTTAATATTAAAATTCGTATAAAAAAAAATTCAATATTACACTTTAGATTTTTTTCTTGATCACAAAGTGTTATTTATAATGAATCTTCATAAATTTATTTAGCATTTCTGTTTGAAAATTTTACTACTTCTAGAAAATAAAGCAAATATAAATTTTCTATCTGAATTTCAAGTCTATAATTATTTAAAATTAAATCACAATACAAAGTATAATTAAAAATTATATATTTTGTAATTTCCTATTTTATAAATATTTTATAGAATATCTGACTATGTATGTTGCTATACACAACTTGAAAAATTATAGAACAATATAATTCAAATTATTATCTAATTTTTGTATCAATTTCGGTTATTAAAATATTTTGTTTTCATATTTAATAAAAAGATTGTAAACAAAGCACTGTCGAAAAATACAGAGGTTACAAACTGAGGTGCTGATAAAATTATTGCCTAAGAAAATTTTTTTCCTAAATCCAGTTTTAGAAGTATCTATGCACATTTTATTAAACTTATCAAATTGAATGCTTTATTTTAAATATTTTGATGTTCTTCTTTCCCAGTGAATAAATTCTAAATAAACTGTGTATATTTATGGGTACCTAGACACATCACCATGAAAATTGTAAAATGTAATATCATAGATTTCTTCTCCCTCACCTATTTTTCATTTTATTGGTCACATTGGTCCTAAAAGGCAACTAAAATCAGTCTTCCACTTCATCTACATATACCCAAGCAGTCCTCACATCACTCACAATTATTGTACCAAACAATCAATTTCAATCTTCTTTTTCTACTCTTTCCATTTATTTCACATTTTGTAATATCATGGATAAAATGTCTACATGACATCATTATATTATTATTACTTCAAGATGATCATCTAGATGATCAACTTAAGTTTTTGAGTAATGAAAAAAAATATCAAAATAAAGTTAAACATCTTATATATGAATAGAAAAGAAGAAAATTTTAATTTATGGCTTATGCTTTATGAATAAAAAAAGAGAAAAATGTATAAATTGTTTTCTTTCCTCTAATTTATTAGATGTCTTCAAAAATGGGAAAAAATAAAAGAATCTAAAATAGGATCACATATAAATTTGTTTGGAAAGGAGGTTTTGCTACCAAATGTTGTATAAGAGATTTTTTAATATTTTGAAATTTTTACTGTTACCCGAAAGCCAAAAAACATTTTGATGGATGTTTTTTTACTAAGTAAGATCATACTCGTCATGTAAAAATAATAATATTTATAAATATTATTATTTGTAACATTGTTCATAACTGTATCATTTGTTATTATTAAATTGGAATGTCTAAGAAGTTAATACAAATTTGTATGAAGATAATAAAAGAAAAATAAGTTTTAATAATAACATAGATTTATTAAATTCAACATAAAATATAATTATTCTTTATAACATTGATGAAAAATAAATAATAATAATTTATTTCAAATATTATTAATGGTAATTTATAAGTATCTTATAATAGTAAAGTAGATAGATAAAATGTGCATTTAAATTTCAAAGCATAAATATTAACTATTAATCCAGACATTATTAAATATAAAGTTAAGTACATTATAATATGAATAATTTATGTAAATAATAATAATACAATGGACAGTTTTTGAAAAAATGGAATAATATAAGAAATATAATCAATTGCATTTCTGTTAATTTAATAGTTTTTTTAACATTAAAATGATTCAAAAAATTAAAAAAAATTGATTCTATTTAATTAAGATAACTGAAGGACACATAAATATCTCTAAAGTCTATTTAACAATTGTGATAATGAAATGTCAATAAAAATAAAAATGTTACTTTAAAATAAATTAATAAATGCACCCAAAATAGATTATAACAAAGTTTCGAATATCTATGATTATGGTTCGATAATAAGCAAATTTAAATTTAAAATAAATCTATATAGACAACAATACATAAAGTATGTTTATTTTAAAAACTAGGAACATTCTATATTGATTCTTCTAATAAAATTGGTGAATCACACAATTATTTTTAATGGCAACTTTTTAAAACTATCCCTAATAAAATATGATTTCCAAAACAAATTTTGATTTTCTTATAAGTAAACTAATGTCAATAATTTCTATGAATAATAATACATAATTATAACACTTGTGATAAAACTTGTTTAACAACATATTTGTCTATTTATTATATTTTCAATACTTATCACTTATCAGCAAGAGCATTGTAGATTTTTTGTGCGTGTAATCGAATTTCTTCGTTTTTGTGCTGTTTCATCAATACTAAATTTTTGGTCCGCATTTTTTCTATTACATTTACACCATATATGTTAGCATACCTGCTAAACAAACTGAATATAAAACATTGATATTAAGTTGTACTATGTAAGTTTAATGTTATTATGAAAAAAAAAAGAGATGTTATTATTAGGTATTTCTTTTTTGCTTGGTTACTGATGAATGATGATATAATAATATTATAATTAATAATTTAGACAGGAGTAGCCAGCTACTATAAGTTTAAACATTGTTTGTACAAATAATGATAAGATAAGATCATATAAAATTAATATATCATAATTAATAAAAAAAGCCAATTATTACTTTGACCACAACTTCAGATAAGAATGTATATATAAATAATAAAAAAAAGTAACTAACAATTTAATAACTCCCAAGTATAATAATATTTGTTGAAAACTTGAGATTATGTATAGCTTCATGTATATTATATAATTGAAAGCTACATAAAATAAATACAATTTTATTACAGATTGCATTTAAAAAACCTTATAGAACCTAACCAACATGCTTTATAGAAATTATAATTTAAAAACACTAAAGAAATTTCATGCTAAGGTAATTTTGCTAGATTTATAACATCTAAATTATAGTGAAGTTTTAGATTCTAAATGGACCAAAGAAGCTTATGGTCTTACAAAGATGTTTGTTTTTTTTTGTGGACAACTTTTCTACCAAGGGACTTGCTCTCTCCAATTTTTAAGTATAGCAACTCTTCTGAAAGGAAAATGGTATGGGGAAGATTTTCTCATTAAATGCGAAAAACCAAAAAATATAATACTACATTTTTTTTTTGCCGATAACCTTTCTAATAGCAATTTTGCTCTAACTTTTAATGACAGCAATATTTTTGAAATGAAATTTCACTAGGGAAGTATTTTAGAGAGGTCATTTTTCCTGTTTCTCCAGAGTTTTCTAAGCAAACATGAAAAACTGGGAAACATTAGTACAACTTAGTACAACATTAAATAAATATTACGAAAGAAAATATATAGAACCTATTTAATTATTTTACTATAATATGGCATATATATTGTTGACAAAGCATCACTATCAACTGAACTTTGCTCAGAATATTTTTTTGTAAGCAATGGTTTATCATTGCTTACATGCATACATTAAGTTACCTACAACAGTGATTGCACTTGTCCCCATTATCTTAGGATGGTTTTTTTTAATTAAAATTATCATACACATCAAAATATACATTTTTTAGATTAAGTAAGTGTAATACAGAATTTGGGAAGAGATTCTTTTCATTTTACCATTGGCATGTATAATGGATTTGGTATTAAAATTAATACTTTTAATTATTTTAATAGTTACAAAAAATGTATTAATAAGTAAATTAAATTTGTTTTGTAGTATTTTATAACTATGATTATTATTATAATTTGTATGTTTTTTATTGTATATATATATATGATATAAGTATTATTTTATTTAGATAGTGCATATTTTAGATTCTGAGTTTAGTTTAACAAAGATTTTTATTTTTTTTTTATGTTTACACTTTTTCAACCAGCAAGCTTACTCTGATTATTAAGTATAGCACCTTTTCTGAAAGAAAATGCTCTCAGGGCAGTACTTTACAGAGGTTATTTTTAAAACTTACATTATTATTCAAGATAATGAGGAAAATCTGATTTTTTGGGTTAAAAAAAATTACTGAGACTATATTACTAAAAGACTGAGCAACATTAAAATAAAATTAATTTCCATTTCAATACATTCTTTTAAGTACAAAATAAAGAAATATAATATGAAGATAAATAGTTAAAAGAATGAATAGAAATGTAAATTTATTTTATTTTAATGTAGCTCCATCTATAATATTGCTTATTCAACAGAGTATTTGTATGTTTTTAATTCTAAATCTAAGCCAGATAGACTTACTATGACATCAATAAAAAAAATGTCTTTTTACCACATTTAGGATTAATTCCAGAAGTGCTATTGTTTAAGGTGTATGACTATAATTATAAAAGTAAGTAGTGTAGGTAAGTTTTGATTATACCAATGGATTGAGCACTAAAAAAACACACTTTTGAAAATGTTAAATTCTGACTAAGAAAACTTCATGAAGTTATCGCTTATAACTTCCAACTTTTTTTTTTTAGATTCTTCATGTACAGACAAAAATATACATTTTGAAAAAAACAAATTGATAAACGAGCTTGGGTTGAAAATTTAATTTATTGCTAAATTTATTTATTTATTGATTTATTGCTATTATGCCAACAATATATATCATGTTATGGTAAAAAAAATTATATAGGCTTTATATATTTTATTTAATTAAATCTTTTCTTAAATTTGTTTAATGTTGTACCAATTTTCCCAATTTTTCCTATGTGTTTTATAGTTTTCCAATGTTTTAAATTGATTTTTCACAATTGCTGGGTAAACTCTTGAGAAAATCAAAAAATGACTTCTCTGAAGTACCTCCAATGCCGATTTCCTTTCAGAAAAGTTACTACACATAGAAATCTGAGCAAATCTTTTAGTAGAAAGTTGCACACAGAAAAAAATAGGATAAACTTCTTTGTAAAATCATAAGCTTTTCCCCCACATTCAGAATCTAAAATGTTAAATTATCATTATATTAGATAAGAAAAATATATATAATATTTAGAAAATTAAATCATTTTAATTATGATTAAATAATGAGTATTTATCAGGATTATAAGTAAAATAAAGCTGACTGTTTATTTTTATAATTCCTCATTCATTTAATGTATATAATCTACAGGTTAAAACTCATAACCCATTTCTACTGTATATTTATATATTTTTTTTTTTTTTCAATCTTAAATGTGCTTTATAAACAATATATAAGTCATATTATGGTAAAATAATTACATAAGCTTTTTATATTTTCTTTAATAATATTTTTTTAATATTGTACTTATATTCCAGGTTTTCCTATTTGTTGAAAAAAATGAAAAATTACCTCCTGAAAATACCTTCCTAGGCAGATTTCCTTTAAGATAAAATAAAAGCTTCAATGATATCTTAAATATACAAACTAATTTTGAAAATAATATTCTAGTTACTCTAAATATTCTAATAACTACAAGATTTGTATAATCCTGTTGATAATAACAATATTTAATATGTTTAGTTTTGGTACTATTGTTTTAATTATTAATTCTATATACCTACCTGTTTTTTTTTAGATTTTAAGTGTAGTGAAGGATATATTGGTTTTACAAATACGTTTATTATTTTTTAATTTTTTATGTGAACACTTTTTCTACAGGAAAGCTTACTTTGATGCATAAGAAAAAGACTCCTTTCTGAAATGAAATTTTCTTGGGATGGTACTTTAGAAAGATCATTTTTCGATTTCCCAAGTTTTCCCAGCAAATGTGAAAAACATTACAATATTAAACAAATATTATTAAAGAAAATATATAATGCCTATTTCATTATTTTACCATAGTATGACATATTATATATTATTGACAAGCATCACTATCAACTGAACTACACTCAGAATCCTTTTTAATTAGCAATGATTAATCATTGCATATAGATATACAATAAATTATTCTTTATATCCCATCTTGTCAAATTTTCACCTACATCAGTAGCTCACCTACTGACAGGCATACTTAGTGCAAACTATTTTTATTTCTCTAATTGTTTATAAATGTACTGTAATTATTATTCATTTATTAGTCAAAAAACGAGTCAAATGTAAAAACATTGCCTAGGTACTCTTTGTTTGTGTATCTAATAATACTATTCAATATTCATTCTAATATTATTCATATATTTTAATTTGTAGAGTATAACATAAGAAGGTTTTGAGCCTATTTCCTATTCTGTAAGTTCATAAATAATCAAGTAATTAATTTTTGAAATAAATTCTATAAATAGTTAACCTGTACCACTATACAAAAATGCTGAAAAAATAGCATTCTTTGGTTAAACTGTTTTTTAAAACAATTCATTTTCCTATTATAATATTAGTATTTAAGATATTTTGAACTTACATTGTATCAGGTGCAGCAGCTTTTTGTTCAACGGGCAAGTCTAAAACTGGATCCAACTCCATAGCATTAACTGAATCAGTAATATTACTGAACAATGTTACTACTCTAAGAAGAATATCTTCATTTTCATTCAAGTTTAACATAGATAATAGTTTTTTGGGGGCCTAGAAAAGTTTATAAAGTATAAATAATACTGTCCCATTTTATTAAAATGCCAAAAATGTGTTGGTACAAATAGGAAATAATGAAAGGGAATTAACTGTGAGAAAAGACTGTGTAAAGAAACTAAATGTCCTTACTACAAAGCAAAATTAAGGAAATGTGATAAGTTATATGAAAAATTAGGAACTAAGGAAGATTAAATAAAAAATATAAAGATTGAGCAAGGTTAAAGAATAATGTTTGTGGATTTTGGATTTCTTAAATTAGAAGTATTCCAGAGGGACCTTTGATCAATTATGTTTTGTAGACTAAGAGTTTAGTAGAATTACAAAAATATTTGTCAACAAATTGAATCATTGATCATTAATTAGTAAGTCAAGATAAATGTTACATACTTGACCACCTAAAAGATGTGGAATCATTTTATCATTGCATGATAAATTAATTAAAAGCTTCAGGCATTGTAGAACCACTTTTTTATTTTGATTTTCTAATAAATCATACAAAATGTGTATGGCTGGTTGTAATTCACTATGCCATATATGGAAAACTGCAATATTAGTCAAAGTTGATAAACAGTTATAAATAATCTCATCTGAATCCATCATTTGCATTAAAGCCAACAACATAGGAATTGTTTCCTGAAAATAATATTAGGTTACTGAATTAATTTTTTCATTAGTCTCAAGAATAACAAAAATAATGAGTTTCAAATTAATTTTAAATTTAAAAAAAAAAAAATCAAAGTTGAATTACTTTCATTTCACAACAGTTATTTTTATTTAAAGCCAAATTTCCCAATGCAACAAGCGATGTAATTTGAACTGATTCTTCAGAATGATAAATTAGTTTTTGAAGTTCACTTAAAAATCCAGTTTCTCGCATAATTTCCTATAGAGATCATAAAATACAAACACTTTACTAAGGAATATTAAAATAACAGGTTCTATGAATTTATAAAAAAAAAAAGATACATTTAACCATCATCACTTGCACAGGGTAAATAATGACTCCAGCTTATAAGTATTAATAATTTTATTATCCTGAAAATAAATATGTATACATTTCTATAGCTTCAAATAATATGTTTATAGAAAAAATTTAACCAGTTTAGTGTTATCTCAGTTTTTCATTCACTTGCTAGAAATGCATAAAGTGATCAGCATCAGTGTTTGGAAATAATTTACCAAGTGCGAGTAATTAATTCTTAATTTATTTTTCTTATTTTTATGATTGTTTGATCACAAAACAACAAAATTTTGCACGACATGTGTTAAATTAATATGCTGTGATCATTTAATCGAAGTGTGTCTGAATCACTATGCTCAATAGGCTAAATAATAATATAACAATAAAATATATTTGTATTTAAATTTTTTTTTTCACAAGTTTTTAATAATTTTTTTATAGTATAATTTTATTTTATAAAAATAGTCTAATTAAAACTTGGAAACAAATTATTTATATCTAGGTTGGTTTTAATTTATTTACTTATACAATAAATATAAGAAACAAAACTTGGAAAAAAAAATAGCTAATGCGAGTAAAGGTGATACAGTAAACAGTGCGAGTGATGAGGGATTAAAAAAAATCATATCCAAATAGAAAGACAAGCTAGATTATATGGGTACATTAAAAACTGCTGTATAAGGATTAAAATAAATATACATACTTGGTTAGGAGTGAATGTGGCTAAGTTACTAACAGTTACCAGTACTTTTTCAAGTACATGAATATCTCTGGTTCCCATTAACAATAATAAATTTTTAGCCTCACTAACCTCTATAGGTCTAAATAATAATCATAACAAAAACATAAAAATAAGATCTCAATAGTTAATTTTCTATTATAAATTATAAAACAATGAAATACATTAGATAAGTATTTACTAATTAGTTTTACCTATTTAATAATGAAGGATTGTTGATCTTTTCAAATTGTTCCATATCTTGATCTGATGGGCTTATAGAAAGTTTATTTTCACTTGGTTGAGGGGATTTTCTTCTCAATGATCTGTTTGAACTTTTTCTTCTCAGCGGCGTACCAAAATTTGATTCCAAAGTATAATTATCACTTTGCAGTCTTAGATTTTCCGTAGAACGACTACCCAATATATGCCCAACATCCACTGGACTCATTATTCGAGGTGAATTCCATGGTGAAGCCTACCACATAATAATGGTAAAAATAACATCTGTTTACAATACTTGAGTATAACTCGATTCAACTAACCTAACAAAAAACAATTACACTGTATTTACAAACCTGTAAGCTCCTAGGTCCGTGAAGACTATGTTTGTTCGAAGGCGTCTGTATGGCGATCATGGTATCAGCAAACATCCTGGCTCTTAAATTTAGCTCTTTGATCCTTTGCTGGACATTCATGGGTCTCAGAAACATATGAGTCGAATCTGAATTGTCAATGTTCCCGAGAAGGACATCAGTTTGTGTCGTTTGGGAGAGACGGCGAAAATATAAGCGTTGATCTTCATAACCTGAACGAGAAAAACCATAGGTAATAGTACGTTATAGCATATTTATTAGTATAAACGTTGATTGAAGTTATATAGTATGGTATTGGTGCACTGGGGTGGAAGACGATAACCTGTACCTAACCCACACTTCATACGAGGATAATACCAATATTATCCAATAAGGATAATTATCAATGTTAACAACTTGACGCTCTACAAGCCATATATCCTCACAACAATTTTGCAAAAGTACAACATACAAACCATAAGAATATAATATATTGTTGCACTTAAAAGTTCCAAAGTATTCGACTCACCGTCATCGTTTTTTCGTCCCCCAAGCCGACGACCGAATGCGTTCCTGGCCACTGAGTAACCGACGTACGCGAACCCAGCGAAAATAGCAGAGCAAACGGCCACTTTGTTGACCGTGTGGTCATTAGTAGTCGTTGGATTTAACGCCATTTCTTATACGAAACCCAAGGAAAAACGTAGGACGACACTACCACGACAAACGGTCTGTCGAATGCCGCATAACGACGGGACTTCCGTCAGAAACTACAAAGCACCGTAATCCTTCAACGACGTTCAGCTCCACTTTCGCATATGGAACAAGGGGCGCTTTCGTCTTACGCTATTGACCAGCCGCTCGCATTCATCAGACGAAAATTAAAAAATCAATAAACAATTGTTATCACAAGTTTTTGCGTTTATCAGCAACCGCCAACCGCGGCAAATGAAGTGGTTGGCCTTGGTACCGTCCATAAAATCATTAATATCAGTACAATGCTTACATGACACTGCCACACAGGTTTCCAACACGGCGTAAGATATATCTTAGTTCGTGGTTCCCATTAGCAACAAATTCGATGTTCTTGAAATTATTTGTGTTATTACCTACTTATCTATACCACTAAATTATAGTCTGTGGCAATGTAGCAACCGTACCAAGCTGAGACCAGCTGACCCAATCGATCACCCACCGCCGTACGTCCTATGTAGTTCACGAAACATGCGCCGTAGTTATCCCATAATCTGGAATCAGTGGATCTCAATTCTCAATTTTTTGACAATACTAGTATAATTTGTATAGGTGTAGACATGATCATTTTTTATGGCATATTACATTATAAATTATATAATGATATATCGGATATAATTGGATATATAATAAATCGGATAAATTGATGTTGAGATCTCTCAGTTAATAATTTTTATCCATTGTTTTCTGACTGTTTTCCTAAAATATAAGCACACTTTTATTTTTCACTAAAAAAAGACAAGTTTTTGATTTTCCTAAATCATTTAACGTTTTGGTATCTAAGTACAAAATACTGCAATACCCTAATAGGTACCTACTTAGGAACTTATCTATACTAAATAGGTAGGTACTCGTATTTTCCATTTATGTAACTAAAACTTTGTTGGCTTCATAAAAATGCTTAAAAATTTAATACAAGAAATATATAAAAGGTACTAAAGAAAAGCCAAATATGGTCATTTATTTTTATGAGCAATTTAATCAGTGACATCAATAATTACACATAGTATTTAAAATCCAATATTATAACATTAATTTGGCCAGCTTTATAAACCGTGTAGGTAGTGGTTTGCGTCTTACTGGTCTACATATTTTATTTTTATTTTTAATTACAAACAAAAACATAATTCGAAAAATGCCGAATTCATATATTTTCATTGCATCCCTTCTGACCTGTGAGTGAACTTTTCCTCTTCTCTTTTCCCGCCGAGATACAAAAGGTGCACGTTATTCACGGAATTAGAAAAATTGATCACAGACGTTGTCTGGCTCTCGAGGTCAAAACTGAACTTACAAATATCAGAAAACGCTTTGGTGGTTTTCTATTAGTAAAGTGCCCTAATAAAACGCCAAACAATCAGAATTTCAATTGTTTAACCATTTTAGAATTTTTGAATATTTTTGGTGGGTCGTAGGTATAAATTGGTTATATTTTTCGTGTGTCATTCATAGACATATTAAGTCTTAATATGTCTATGGTATTTGGTCATTGGTCTTGAAGTGTTGTTTGTAATCATAATTATTATTATATAATCACATTTATGCTAATGAGCCTTTTTCGATACCGCGCGTCCAATTATAATATTGTTGTATTTTAGTCGCCGCGAGATAGCGAAATCGTCATAATATTAACCCGTACTTGTCAATTCTCCACAGACAATTTATCGGGATTAATTAAGAATATTATTAAATAGAAATATATGAAAAATAGTTACACAACAATATGAAGGCGTTAGACACGTTAGGGGTTGGGGTTCGCTTCTTGTTCATTTATAGGTAGGTAATCAGCACACAACTTGATCTTAAAACGGTAAAGTAATGGGAAAGCAAGTCAACGTCAAATAATGTATCTACCTATCAAAAATAGAAAATTTATTGCAATTTTTGGAAAACAAAGTTCGAATTTTAAAATCTGTCGAATCCGCGAAAAATATATATACGTTGACAATAAATCGTTTTATACCATTAAAGGCGGACAGTGTTTCGATGTTCGTATTGTATCGTATCGTCAGCGATATTGTTTTATAGTTTTTAAGTGTTTTGTATACAAATTGGCACACTCTGTACATAAATGTCCTACGTTACTATCATCCGTGGCCGAGTGTATACAGCGTGTTGGTGATTTAAAATTATGCAAAAATTGTTTGCGTCAGCATTTTGGTAAGCAATACGCATCGGGTAATTATTGTATTAAATACGGTAAACCCCATAACTCGTTACTGCATTTAGTTCAAGCTACAAATGCTAATAAAGTCGAAAATAAAGAGGAAATAGCTAATGTGGAATCAGTACGATAAATTAATGCTCACACAAAGCAAAAGGTGAAAGATGATCAGACTTCTCTATTAATGGTTTGATATCTAACCGTAATTGTAGTGTGGACCGTGGTTGATTAGTTCTTATAATTATTGAAGTAAGCTAAAATAAAAGCATTTAGTTCAGTATTGTAAAATTTGTTTTAAAAAGAACCTACGTAATAATATTTGAGTTTAATTGAAAAATGTACGACCTAATTTAGGCATACTTTACTTTCATACAATATTGCATGAGAACATTAATTACATAGGTAACAATAATAGGTACATGATGAATACAATTTATATTTTAGTTACATATAAAGTTATAATTTCTATTGATTTTTTATGATAATTTTTTTAGATGTTACTGATGGATAATACCATTGATACCTATTAGTTATTACCTATATACTTAAATTATACCTACGTATCAATAAGCCTACTTGATATAGTTTTAAATTAGGGTTGCCAACATTAAAAGAAATAATTGCAAATTATTACTAATCATGTGTTACTTTATTATACTGTTATGACGATAAAGAATATCCCCAAAAAAAAAAATTAAAATGTTTGTACTTTCAGTTTTTTAAGTTTTTTTTTTAGTACTAAAGATAATAGTGCAATTAAAATTTAAGGGAAATGGTGTTCATTAAATTGGAAGACAATTAAATTTGTCAGTTTTTATAGTTAAATTAGAGTCATGCTTGCAGCAGTCTAAATAAGCCAGCGTGGTTAGCGCCAAAGTCATTAACAGGAACTGAACAATATTATATGCTATAATAAAAAAAAGAGTTATTCGCCATAAAATTTACTATTAAGAAATTTCATTATTATATTTGTGATCATAACAATGCAGTGTTGACAAATCATCAACCATTAGTGTTGATAGTTAAAAAAAAGTTTGGATCAAGTTAAGAATAATAGGTTGAAAAGATTAAAGATAAAGTTGTTGAACTATAATTTTAGATTAGAACATTTACCTGGTAAATATATGTATATTATGGATTAGTTGACTAGGAACATAATACAGAGAAATGCAAAGTTTCGTTTTCTTTGAATGATTTGATACCTACAGTAAAGATAGCAGAGTTAAGATATAGTTCAGAATAGTGCTATTGCACACCTGGATGCGAGTTTTGTACTAAAAAGGAATTTTGTGTAAATGATCATAGATTGTTTGGATTGATCATGAATTTGTAATGTTATTGTAAAGAAAATATAGTCTACTGAAATGGAAATGATTAAAATAATAATTGTTTATTGGTTTCTAATTTTCTATTTGTTTTCTGAGTATTTATGTTGAGTATATTAAATATTTTATAACAAAATATCTAAAATAATAAAAAAATGATATTATTTATTTATTTATGAAATAATTCCACAATGTTTTGTAATCTTTTATAGATTGTTGTTAGCTACAGTCTATATACTAAAGAAGTATACCTAACATGACAATGATCAACCATTGTAAACAAAAAATGATTCAGAGGGAAGTTAAGTGACATATTTTAAAATGCCGTAATTAGGTATTATGATTTTCGTCAAAATCTGATCTTAAAAAGCTGATGAAAAAAAAAACTAACACATTAAACTCAAATTTGTTTTTTAGATCATTAACCACAATTTATAATGTACTTTATGTTAAATTTTCAAGCATTTCTATTTAATTAAAGAATTTTATTCACCGAATACCTACCAAATAAAAATTACATAAATAACTAGCAAAGTGAAAATGTGAGTAGTTTGTAAAAACAACAAGTCTCTTTGCATGTTTTCTAATTTTTAAGAGAACATCAGCATCATATTTTAAGTGTTTTAAAAGAATATAAGTGTGGACTATATCATCAAACTTTCTCTTTTCTTTGTAAATTATAAAATACAAGTTACATTAAAATATAATATTACATAAGCATATGCATAATAATAAATACATATTACTAAGAAATATTAATGTAAGGGCATTCTATAAATAAATAAAATCAACTTCAAATGTTAGGTATTATTATGTAGAAGAGTAAATTAAGTCTTTTGGCACAAAATGACAAAGATTCTATGATACTTAATTCAGAGGTCATTTTGGATTTTATATTAACCAACGACTGAGTAACTGTTCTACATATTTAAATTTATTTCTTCAACCAATAGTTATTAGGTGTAGTGCCTATAATAGAAGAGAGTGATTAGTACCTATTATATTTTATAGATCTTTTGTTTTTATGAACTAGGTTTTTTTTCTAGGGGACTTCAGCATCCTCAATTTCTATGTTGAAATTGTGCCCCTGGCGTCTATTAATCCTTTGGATATGCTAAATAAGGAAAACACAAAATTCGACATAGCTGAAGAGTAGTATCAGAAAACTACTCAGAATAATATGGAATACAGAGAGTGATATCTTTCATATAGTCTACGCAAAGTTCAATCATCTATTAAAACATTTTAGAATTATGCGTTGTATTAGTGAAATTAAAAGGAGCATTGAAACTTGAAAGTATTTAAATAAACGATTTTGTAGATTCATCAATACGTGTATTTACATAGATCCAAGCCTCGACTGGCTAATATAATTTTATATCTTCAATCTAAACTTAGTCCTAATCAGAACACCATATAAATAAAAATTGAAATAATATATACTAAACTGAGTAATTTAAAATTAAAGTTCAGTGTTTAAAAATGTTAAATTATTATTATTTTAGATAAGAGAAATGTATATAATGTTAATCATTTTAATTATGATTAAATAATAAGTATTTATCTGGATTATAAGTAAAATTCAATTGGCCGTTTATTTTTATATTTCTTAATTCATTTTTATATATATAATCTACAGGTTAAAACTCATAACCCATTTCTACTGTATATATTTATTTTTTAATTTTGTATCAATCTTTTAAAATGTACTTTAATAGTCAAAAGAAGTCATTAATATCGTATGAACTGAATGAATGAGGGTCAATAAAATAACTATTAATATTGTTATAATTTTTATTATAGTTTGAAATTGAAATAACCGATTATACATTTAAATATATAAAAGAAATATTCACTTAAAATGTATTTTTATAAAAAAAATTATACTTAGTTTTTCAATAAATTACATTTTTGATACAGTATGTATGCCTAATAAATTTAAACCAGTATTCAAATATTCTTCAGTAACTTTGCACAGTAAAATTCGACCATCATGCACTTTGACAATTTCACCTAAAAAATATTAATTTAATTTTACTGATAATTAATACAATAAAAAGGTAATAAATATATTAACTGTATAATTTTTTTTTTTATTCTTATTAAAGTATTGTACAATCTGTGAATAACATTTACAATAAACACAAGTGAAAGAATTGAAAGTTACGAGTATTGAGACAGCAAGCCTGAGGGAAGAAGCCAACCATTGATGGTACTTCAGGGTGTGTTTTGGTGATAATTAGTCAGTCAATAAGACCAAACACCACTTCGCTTGAGACGCCTTCTGGGGTCCCCAGGGATAATGAGGCTGCAGAGCTATGCTATTAGTTGATTCTTATGATTGAGGATGTTGGAATGAGTGTTGTTGAAAACATAGTATGGAGCTTTTGTTATTTGCCAGAGACATTTGGATTGGAAAATTTATATTTTGTTGATATTAGAGGGCTTGACAGCCCCTAAAGTTGTAAGCCATATATCCATATAGGTTTGAGAAACATTTTGTAAATAAGAAGTTTATTTCTGAGATTGAGATGTTTTGACTAAGAAAGTAGCGTAATTGATGGGAGCAGTTGTTTTTTCTAACGATCTAGGTGGAGACTCAGTTATTGAAAGTTTAGAGCGTTGGTAGGGCAAAGTCATTGAGGTATATGTGAGGGCAGTCAGTACGTTTTAGTGTAAATGTGCACTGGATGGATTTCGTTTCATTAATTTTGATACCCCATGCTTTTTAGCGGGTGGATAGCAAATTGAGGTAATTTTGGATGAGGTTTGAGGCCATCTCAGGGTCAGAGTGAGGCATAGTGGGTAGGTCAGAAGTAAAAAGATTGAATAGTAAGGGTGCTGCGACTGGTCTTTGGGGGACTCCAGCATTAATTAATGATATTTCAGACATGGATGATCCTGATCTTACGGAGAAATGTCTATTTTCTAAGTAGGATTTGAATAATAGGTTATATTATGGGGAAAGAATAGATTTCAGTTTGAAGAGGAGGCCTTTGTGCCAGACTCTATCAAAAGCCTGAGCCTAGAAAGGCACCAGTGCATATTAGATTTTTCTAGTGTGCAAGCGATTTTGTCAACTAGCCGATGGACTTGGTATATGGTTGAGTGGTTGCGACGAAAACCAAATTGAGTGTTAGGGAGGTTAGCTTCAATGGTAGGTAGGATACGTTTTAAAATAAGTTTTTCAAATGTCTTTGAAAAATAGGGGAGAATACTAATGGGCCTATACGAGTCTGGAGAATCAGATGGTTTTCCTGGTTTGGGAATCATGATAATCACAGAGAACTCGAAAGTGTGATAGCCTAAGCATAGAGTTATAAATATGTGTCAGGAGGAGTAGCGATTTTTTGAGCAGTTGTAGTGCAAATTCTGCTGTTATTAAGTCATAATCTGGGGTTTTTCGGCAGTAGAGTTTCGTATCCCATGTTCAACTTCGCTTGGACGAATATATTTTGGTGGTAGTGTCATGGGTAATAAGGATGATAGGAAATGGTCTACTTTTTCAGTTTAATTTGGGCATGGGATATTGTTGAATAGTTTGAAGGAATCTATGTTAACATTTAAAAAGAAAGTTTCCCTTGAAATTAAAATTTACACTTTTATTCAAATCAAATATTGTAATATTTCACCTACAGAAAACAAGAGAATAATATTGTTTATTTCCATATGGTCAGTTTGTACTGAAGATAATATTATTGAATAATGAAATATAATTTTCTAACTAATTCATGAACACTGTGTGATGCCATATAGAAATGTAAATAAAACTTTTTTGAACATTCTATACGAAGTGAAAATTGTCTGCATTATAATTATATAATTATGCCATGAAAAAAACTTGGACATTATTGGGTTTAATCATTTTTTTTTTTATAAAAACAATGTAAGAATTTAAAAATTGTAGATTTTGAAAAGCTAAAAATATTATTATTTTAATTATAAATATTAGATTAAGATTAGTCTAGTAAACGAATATTTACAAAAACAAAAATTACCGGTTTTAGGATTTTTTTCAATACAATAACAATTGTCATAAAATTCACTGAAAGTAGTAGCTACATCATAAAGATATTCACACAAATAATGGAGGCAAAAGTCATTAATGACTTTAAATAGTACTTCACCAAATCTTAATAATGTCTAAAAAAATAACAATAATAAAAATATAATCAAATAAAATTAGAAAATAATTAATTTTATAATAAACAAACTTTAGTTAATTTCCATTCATTTTCGTGGAAAACTGAAATAGCAGCATTTAAATCTTTACAGTGAGAACCCAAATTATTAATAATTGATCGTATTCTAGTCAATGCATAAAGTAAGTATACAGCAGTGTTGCCCTTGTCTTCTAACATTTTGTCAAAAGAAAATACATATTCATGACTTCTATTGTGGCATAAGTCAGCATATTTGATACAACCATATGCTACAGCTGTTTCTGCCAACTTCAGTTCTTCATCTGTTAATACTTTATCCCTGCCTTTTTCAATAAGTTTATCTCTGGCTCGTTTAATACCTGTTATGTAAAATAAATTGTTCAAATATTATTTAAATAAACCAAATAGCTACACAAAACTGTAACCTTCATCTAAAAGTCCAGCTAATCGAACAGTTTCACCAGAACGTGTTTTAAATTTTTTCTTGTCTTCTCCCAAAACTACTCCAAATCCAACAAAATGCATATCAACATTTGAGGGATTTAAAATTTTAGCATGTATTGCGCATTTTTTTAATGTTTCAAAATGTGTACTCTAATACAAAAATAAATATTAATTAATTAAACTCAAAAAACAAAAATAATAATAAGTATTTGTACTTGTCCAGAATCAGTTATGTAAATAATGGCATCAGCTTTTTCTTCTTCGATTCTCTGTTTTAGTGCAGCAAAATCAGAAGTATCGTATGTGAATCCACCATCAGATTTTACAATAGTCAATGGTATAGAAGCTTCTGGACTCCACATAATTTTACGCCCATTATCATCTTCCAAAAACCCTATTCAAATACATGTAAAATTGATATCTTTTTTTTTAAAAATCATGATTATGATAAAAAATTAAATTGAATATTTAAAGATACACTACCTTCTTTTTCTAAATATTTTACTATTGATTCCATCCGACTTTGATAAAAGGATTCTCCTCTTTCAATAATATTTATATTCAATCTTTCATAAATTTTTTGAAATTCTAAATAATAAAATCAGTTTTATAAACATTTCAATTATATAAAGTTTAAAAATATTACCCTGCCGTGAAACATCACAAATCAATTTCCATGCTTTAATATGATCTGGGGACATGCTTTGCAATTTTACAACACAGTTGTATGCACGCTTTTTAAACTCTGGATCATTATCAAAAAGTACTTTAGATTGTTTGTAAAACTCTTGTAAATCATTTATAGGAGGAGATACATTCTTATAATCAGGGAACTTATCTTGAAGTAATGCTATTAGCATGCCAAACTGCGTTCCCCAATCACCGATGTGATTCAATCTCATCACATCATGACCAATAAATTCGAATACACGACACAAACTATCACCAATAATTGTAGACCTAATTTAAAGTTAATTTATTATTAGTTAAGTTATAAATAATTAAAAGTCAATTTGATAAACCTCAAATGGCCGACATGCATTTCTTTAGCGACATTAGGAGACGAAAAGTCAATAATTATTTTTTTTGGATGCAACAATGGATTGGGTTTTAATTTATTTTCTAGCACAAAGTCTAAAATGTCTCTCAGTTTAAATTGACTTAAATAAATATTAATAAATCCTGGCTTAGAAACTTCTACTCTATCAATAATATCGCAGTGGTCTAAACATTCCACTATTTTGTTAGCGACTGTGAACAGTGGTATATTCTGACCTGAAATTAAATAATTTATTACAATTTCAAACACATTCACATCATTAATTTAATATTGTTATGAATAATTTAGTGACCAAGTAACATTCATGTTTGCAATTTAAAAATAGGGAACAAAATCTTTCTACTTACTACATAATTAAACATAATAACATGTTGTTTTGCAGAAATATGCTCAATGGCTTACTGTTACAATACATACTGTAGTAAGTAATATATAATATTTTTCACGAAAGAACGGTAGAGTCTCGACGAAAACCAGTCATTCTTACGCATCCCCACGCCACACCTCGCCCAGGGCTCCCACCACTATCGGGCCAGGTGTAATTTTGCGGACTGCTGTAGCGGTAGCGAGTGATCCGTAAGCTCAGTCTGCGTGCGCGAAAAACTACCTTTCTCTCGTGAAAAGTAGTATAGTATTCAAATATTACCTTTAGCTTTCAGCAGTTTACTCATTTTCATTGGTGCATTACATTGGTAATCAGCAAAATTTTTACTAGCAGTAACTACAGTTTCATCAAAATCTTCAAAGCCTTCATATGATGATCTGATTGCTTTCAAAAAAACATTGTTCAATGTTTCATGTAAATTAATCAAAGCATAATCCGGGCCATTTTCTGTCTGTGATCCTGCATTCTACAACAAAATGTCATAATCAGAATAAGGCCACACAAAATGATCTATTTTAAAAGTCATAAGTACCAAGTTTACAATAGATACCTATTATTATTTGGGTAATTGTGCATTGTTTTAAAAATATAAATGATGAACTTCAAATTTAATAAGTAATCATTAAAATAAAACATCTTTTTCTTAAGTTTGAAAAAATTCTATTAATAATGTTGTTGAGTTCATAATGAATACAATAATAAATATTATAAAAATGGGACATGGGGCATTGTTTTAATATAAGGCGCAACGACCACTAGTATACCTACTACATGTACACTTGGCGGCTTATAAAGCTAGAACAGCACAGTAGAAAACTACATTAAATATATATAAATCAATAAGGCTCTATACATGTTCACAAATTTCATTAATAAATAAATAATTAGATACCCTTAGGTAGGTATCAATTATAATTTATATATATATGATAAAATGTGAGCGATGGACAACTTTTCTAAGTTGATGATGGTAGAAGTATTTTCAATTTATGAATTTAATAATGAATAATCCTCAGGTTCTAAAGGACCACAGAGTTCTCAGGTCATAAACTAAGTATACATATTAAACATTAATTACCTATCTTTAACCGTATCTATGTTAAATATTGAATAGGTTATACAGTGTAGTTTACCTTATACAAAAGCCTTAGTCGGTATCTCAGTTTTTGATTTTGAACTTTCAAAATTTGAATTTCATTTTTCTTTGCGCTCAATTCCTCCAATTCCTCAACTTCTTTGGTCAACTGATCAATTGAATTGACTATAGTTTCCATAATAATCAAAGTTTAAAGTTGTCTTCGACAATAAAAAAAATTGAATATCAATGTACTAATATACACAATATATATAAAACAATTTAACAATTTTTTTTTTTAATTGAAAACTTGATGAAGAAAAGAACATTGACAATTTAAAACGTAAATGTAAATGATAACAGTATGAGTCACATTTGCACCATCTAACCTTAGATATTTAAAATTTTAATAGGTATCTATGCATCGAACACGCGTATTAGGTAACGAGTAAAATATCGGAAAACATTTTATTCGAACCGTATTTTGTACGAAAAATAATTAAGTCGAAAATAATTTACCCGAATATATTCGTTATCTCATCATAAAAACAAAGACTGTATTTATACGATAGAAGAACTTTAGAACTAAGAAATATATATTATATATAATAAATTTAATATACATTTATGGATGTTGTTATCATAAAAGTAGTTAGAGTTATACCTACAAGAGGAAGCTCTTCTCGGCCAACTGAATACTGTATATTTCTATAGGCAATATCGAAGCACGACGAAAGGCCATCCGACAAAATAACCACCCGACATAAAGTCACAAGATAATAATCCGACAAAACGCCATCCGACAAAATCCACTATACAACACTTTCAACTTACATATTTATACTGTATCGTATTTAACTAATATCCTGTAAAACACTAAAATAAAACATTACAACAGGCTAAATACTTTTTAAAATATTCAAATAAATAATATTCTAACTATATTTTTGATCCATTTACTAATAGGTATAGTGAATACAATATAAGTATTCTTCACTAGACTTGAAAAAAAAAAATAACTGTGTTAAATATCTATTAAAATATGCCTTCTCATCTATTTTTGTGTCCAAATCACACCATAGACATATAAAAGAATATGTGATCACACAAACATTTTATCAAATATTTTATCATATGAACCAGGCTTTACAGACATGTATTAAATTAAGTTTACTTCATGCAAAAACGGTAATATTTTCTAAATATTTTTATTTTGTTTTTATCAATATTATATTTTATTCTCTTAAACTTAAAGTTTAAATTACGAAAAGTTGATTTCGTGTTATAATTTTTTAATTAAACTTGAACCTTGTCGATTGAAACATAAATATACTAATTTATATATAAGTAAAAAAAATAACATGCAAGTTAATTAAAATAAATTAATAAATATTTTGTTTGTTTGTTAAATATATTTTAAATCAGAATCAAAGGATCCCCTCAGAAAAATCTTCAAAAACTACCATTGTATAAATACATTATTAGACTTCAATATCGTTGCAGTCTGATCTAAAAGGCCTGATACTTATGAAAGGTAAATTATAATAGTAAATTAAATACCTAGTCATTATATATTTATGTGTAAGTATACACCTTGTCAGATATTTGTTAGATTAGTACTAATATTGTTAGGTCAACAATGGACCAGTTGAAAAATTGTAACAAAAGCATCATCTTGCTAGAAGATGTATCTCCTTTAATATACTTACTGCATTATAAATAATAATATTATAGTGTTCATTTATAGCATGGATGGGCAACTAGCAGCCCGTGTACCATTTTTCACTGGGCCGTGCTACGTTTTACAATTAATTATTAAAATTAAAGAAAAGTTTAATTTTACTAAGAGATAGTGAAAGTAAAATTGGCCTATAGATACTACAAATGTTTTAGAGAGACGTACCAATTTACTGATCCGGATTTTACTGACCAGACTTAACTGCCCCGACCTGGGCTCCTCGTTCTCCTGGGCTGAAAATTGGAACAACCATCCATAGGTACACGGTTGACCTTATAACCAAAAATCAACTTTCCAATGCCATGGAGGCCTATGCGTTTACAATTTACAATGAGATAATAGGTAATACATTAATAATAATACAATTAACATTTGATGAAACACATACAATGTAGATAATAATTTTTATCTAAATAAATTTAATAATAGTATTTAAATGTAATTTGACATTCACGAATTACATTATATTAGAATATTTAGATAAAAAAAAAAAAACTCTGCTTCTATGACTTATTGTTATAGTTTTTTATTAATGCTATAACCAGGGCTCGGATTTTATAGTATTTGCTAATAAATTATTATAGGATACAGATAAAAATAGCAGAGTAAGTTTTACATATTTTGTTTTATGTGCCAGCAGTTGTGGCGGGAGGGTTTATTATTGAAGCAACTGCTTAATTAAATAATTAATTAATTAAAATCAAAATGGTTGGGTGGATACATTTCGGGTGATTAATTCATCATATAATACTACTGCCGCTATCATATAATGATATCGAATATATCGTAACATTGTAGGTACCTATTTAATCTAAATTCTAAAGCTGGTTACACACTGAGCGATTTGGTCGCGCGTGGTCGCGGTTTTTATACGCAGCGGATAACCGCCGCCTACAATTAAACATGGGTTATTTAAACGACATACCTATCAAAAAAAATGATGTAATCGTATGATAAATATTTTAATACTATGAAATATTAATGTTTTTTGAACGCACATTTTATAAATTGATCGAAAAACATTTTTATTAATTTTATAAACATTTTAATTAAGCTGTTTGTTATTTTAAGAAATTGACGTTTTTTAAATACCTACCTATGCATTTCAATTTTAACCATTTAATATCAAAAAAATGCAATGAATGATTACAAAAATGTACAAAAGAATGTTAGTTTTTTACTTTTAATATTTATATTACCTATTTGTCTGTCATATTAAAAAACATTACTTTATTGTGTCATGCTTATTAAGATACTAGGAAGAAAAATGAAAATAATAATAAAAAGAGACGTCCTGGGAAACCTGGGAAATACAGGAAGATATACGAAATGTACATAGGTATTGGCTGAAAAAAAGACGTCCTAGGATAAAGAGGATCGGTTTTTGCCACTGGTATAGATAATTTAATGTATACCTGTAAGCAACGATAAACCATTGCTAACGAAAACACGATTCTGAGCGAAGTTCAGTTAATAGTGATGCTTTGTCAACAATATATATATATCATTTTATAGTAAAATAATTAAATAGACTATATATATTTTCTTTAATAATATTATTGTTTAATGTTATATCGATTTTCCCAGTTTTCCAATTTAGGAAAATTTTGGAAAATTCCTAAAAAAATCTAAAAATGACCTCTTTAGTGAAATTTAGTTAATATAGTTATTAATGTATCCCAATATTTTGTTTTTTTATGGATTTTCGGTATGACATTAAATTTTTACGCTCAACATAATCGCACACATTAATACTGCTTTTAATTATGGCTTCGCCAAACATGCAAATGCACCGCAATCATAGCCATTGTATTATTGAGGAATTATTTTTGCATAAACTGAATACTCAGCAAAGGACTTATTGTAGAAGTCTTCATACATTATAAAGTAATTAAGAGCAATACTACTATCGTGTTTCGTGAAACAGTGATCACTATTTAAATACAATAAAGTCTTAATTTCGTTATGACCATTATCAAAAAATTATGTTCGTTCCTTGAGACAGGTATTAGTACAATACCGTACTTTGGAATTCGGTAACCCAAGAACTCTTCCAAACCTACTTGCAAAAGTGTTTTGATCATAATATTATTTGAAATATCTGAATAGTTACTAATGTAGAAATCTTCATAGATGAAGAAATTCACAGATCTGTCTTCTTCTCTGAAAAGTATTGTGAGATATACGCATATTGTTTGACCATGTATATTATATAGATATATATATATATATGTATATAGATTATTGATATTTAATACAGTCAATAATTGTTTGTCTAACGAAACCAAATGCAATTGACAAATTCTTCTTCCAAAAATGTAATATTCGTGGTATAACTTATTATAGTCCGTTTCTTTCTTTGCGATGATACCATTAATATATTTTTTTGATGTATTGTTTTGTGGCACTGATTTTTAATTTTATTATAGGTGTTAAGAAATTTCTTGGCGGCGTTATATCTGTGTCGTTATTGTTTAATTTTACGTCGTTGTCGTCATCGTCGTCTTCTGAAGTTAATACTAATGTTTTTTTTTATGCTTTTATTATCTTTTACAATAATAGGAACCAATATAAAATCTTTTAGATTCTGAGTGGAGCGATGAAGCTTGTGGTTTTACAAAAATGTTTATTTTTTATTTATTTTTTTTTTATTTAATGAAACACCAAGTAGGTCTGAGTCACCTGATGATTCAACATATTTAAGAACGACGGTGAAGTCAGAATTGAGAACAGAATTGTTCCTATTTTACTACAATGTCACAAATATATTGTTAAAGATATAGCTTTTTACAGCTTGTTTTCTACCAGAATATATTACTCCAATCCAGAGGCGGATAGGACCACCAGGACATCAGGATTTTTTGAAGAGTCACTACTTATATTGATGAAAATGGGCCGATAAAAAATACTGCTATTGTACATAAACACGAATATTCAAAGTTAATAAAAAAAGGTAAGATAATGGGGACGGGTGCAGCCACTGATGTAGGTGGGAAGTTAGGAAGGTAGGATTAGATGAGAATTTAATGTATATCTGTATGCAAAGATAAACAATTGCTTACAACAAAACAATTCTGAGTGAAGTTTAGTTGATCAACAATATGTATGTCATTTTATAGTAAAATAATTAAATAGGCTTTATATATTTTCTTTGATAATATTTGTTTAATGTTGTACTGATTTTCCCAGTTCCTACGTTTTTCCCAGTTTTCCCATGTTTTGTCCTGGTTTTTTAAATTTGCTGGGAAACCTCTCGGGAAAAACAAAAAAATTACCTCTTTAAAGGACCTTGCTAGTGAAATTTTCTTTTGGAAACATTGCTATCATTAAAAGTTGGAGCAAAACTGCTGGTAGAAAAATTGGGTACAGAACAAAAGAAGGCCGTAATATATTATCGAAAAATGACCTCCAAGCAAGAAAAGTTTGCATATATAAAAAAATAAAAAAATAAACAGCTTTTTAAAACCATAATCTTTTCATTTCACTCAGAAACTAAACTACAATAATATGGTATTTTTTATTTAAATCTTGTTTAAATCATAATAAATTACCATTGTATGACTATTAAATTATGATTGTATTCCCAGTCTGCATTATTCATAAGCAGCGTCGCGCGGCGGCATTATCACTAGTGTTTATCTTGGAATATTTTAATATTATTTTTGAGTTTAAGTAACAGCTGCTGTCGTCAACTAATATAGCTAAATAAAAGTATTTATTCGTTTATAGTACTCAGTTATCGAACACAGACGATACAGTGAAATTTTATTTAACTAGTCATTACATTCTGTTTTTGGCTTTTCGTTGTCACTTGGTATATAGGTACATAGTATTACGTATCAATCTATTTGGATTTAAATTCTGGATTTTAGGCAAGTACATTTTTTCATTTTATATATTACACCTATTTAAATAACTACAGCTTTTACTATTTTTTATTATTATTGGATACCTAGTAAAAATGTACAAATACTTATAGTCACGTACATTTCCCTGACTCCCCCAATTTTAAATTATGCTATTTTATTCTTGGCTCAATCGTTAGCATCCTGTTAGTATTAGATAGTAGAACAAAATTTACCGTTAGTAGATAATAGGTTTTTTTTTTTAAATTAAAAAATTCACTGAGGGGGCCGGAAAAATTATTAAAATCGCCAGTTTTAACAATTTTTTAATTTTTTTTTTATCCAATCGTTAGTATATCATTCGTATTAGATAGTAAAACAAGAGTACTTAACCTAACCTATGCCGTATACTAGGTAGTGATATTTTGGTAGACATATCTGTATATATTTTACATAATTAATCGAATAAAAATGAAATTCAATTATTTTTTAAATACTTACAATTGTTTGAAAATTTACCAGGAAGGGAGGAATAAGCATAATCGTGCATATGTGGCAGGCAGGAGAGGCGGCAGTCTACCCTGCCAAATTTTCCACAAAAATATTTTTAAAACAAATATGTTAGATATAAATTTTAAAAATAATATTAAACTCTAAGCTACCCTTAGTTTAGTGCATTAGTGCAAAAAGAGGAGGGGCTTTGGAGGATTTAGACCCCCTTCCCGAATAATCAAATAAGCCTCCTAAAGTCCTAAGCTCCTCATCAAGTAAATACTAAATATACATATGCAATATTATTGGGGCTTCAGCCACTTTCAAAAATATTAACATTATTTTTGCTTATGATTTTTGTGTAAGGTTCGATTTTAAAACCATTGTCTCTCCTGCCAAGAAGACCTGCGCACGCTGATATTTTTACAACTGCAGCCTTTTTAAGTAAGACACAGTGGAATATTTACGAGAGAGGATTCCATGGGGTCCAGATTCCCCATTGATATCAATTCTAATATAAAAAAAAATTGTTTTACCATAGTATACAATGGATTTTGTAAACATTTCCCAACGCTTTGTCGGTTTATCAATTTAAAAATTTTCAAATATCGTGATTATTTTTGTTATCAATTTAGTACCAAACATTGTGGAAAAATACTAAGATATTGGTCAATGATAAAACCAATAACAAAAAGAGCTGAGTTGAGAAGTTGAGAAGGTAGGATACATAAGGTTATTTCATTTATATCTGTTAGCAACGATAAACTATTGCTTGAGGAAAGACGATCAAATTGCAGTTTGGTAATACATAATTTGAAGTGCCGTAATTTTTTTTGCAATTTTCGATTAAATTTGATTTTAAAACACCAATTAAAAAAGTCGTCCAAAATTTTCAAAATTTTTAAAATTTTACCACGTTTAGGTTAGCCTAATATAAGTATTATCGCCAAGTTTCATATTTCTACGTATATTTATAACCGAGTTACAGCAAAAGACTCCTAAAAATAAAAAATTACTTAAAAGCTCAAAACTGGCTCA